CCCCGTCTCGGAGCTCTTTCACAGCGCAAATGGTTTAGTGGTAAAATCCAACGTTGCCATCGTTGGGCCCCCGGTTCGATTCCGGGTTTGCGCATTTTTTTTCTTTTTTATATTCGTAGGTAATATTAAATTCTATAAAAAAAGGTAAAAATATAAGTTTGGACGAGACAGGAATCGAACCAGTGACCTTCTGCTTGCAAGGCAGACGCGCTACCAACTACGCCACACGCCCTTAACTTTTTTATTTAAGTGATCAGTCTCATAAGAACTCGGAATGAAGAATCTTAGAAATTGTGAAATGTACGAATATTCACCAACATAGCTCATTCCAATTGACAATCAAGTTGTTACTACAATACCAGATGTTTCAGTTATGCCATGCAAACAATATTTACTATGAATAATTATTTAGTACTTCTCTCGCATTTGGCAACATACGATATAAAATCACATTATTATTATTATTATTTCTTTGTTGCTCGACAAGAAAACAATACTTGCTTCTAATTGACATATCAGGAAGATCTCCTTAACAGTGAAAGTAAGCCTCCGGGGGGCGCATACGCAATTTGCTGGATCCTCCACGTCTCCCCCACGTTTACCCACGTAATTTCACCGCATCCTGTGGGGGCGCGATTCTAATCGTCATCAAAGATCATCTTTCGAGCACACATTCAACCGCATACCAAGAAGCTGCATATCGAGTAAGAAATCTGTGGGGTAGGTGTATAATATAAATATATCCTACAATATCGAAGCATGGGCGTTCAATAGAAAATCAGATGGCTCAACATTATCATTCAAATATGAGTTCAAACGAGATTAAATCTTTCTCTTCAAAAGGGTCTATAGAAGAGAATGAAAACTCTGTCACAGATAACTCTGCAGGAGAAGCCATGAGAAGTTTAAAAAACAGATTCAAATTCAAGAACTTATTCGAAAAGATTGAAGATAGAGAAACTCCTTCAGAAGTTTACAACTGGAGAATATACGTCACGGCTATCATTGCATCTGCTGCTGCCATAATTATTGGTTACGATGGCGGTTTCATTGGAGGTACAGTTGCCTTAGATTCTTTCAAGACTGAGTTCAACTTAGATGATTCTGCTCATTCTGACTACATTGTTTCAAATGTCATATCTGTGTTCCATGCTGGGTGTTTTTTTGGTGCACTTGTCTCATATCCATTTAGCTATTACTTAGGAAGAAGGATTTCTTTGATAATTGCAGCGGTCTTAATAACGGTGGGATCTGCTATAATGTTAGCTGCCTCCCATGCCAATGGCTTAGGGCCACTATATGCTGGAAGAGTACTTTCTGGTTTGGCAGTGGGATTCTCTACGAATTTAACGCCCGTTTATTTGAGTGAGATCTCACCTCCAGCAATAAGAGGTAGAGTTATTGCATTATATGAAATAGGATGGAGAGTGGGTGACTTGGTTGGTTTCTGGATCAACTACGGTATTGATTCTCATATCCCAAGTTCAAAGAAGCAGTGGTTTATACCATTCGCGATTCAATTGATTCCTAGCGGGATGTTTTTGATTGGTAGTGTCGTAATGAGAGAATCACCTAGATGGCTATTCAGTGTAAACAAGTACGACAAAGCATTAGAGAATCTTGTTTATTTCAGAAACTTACCTGAAGATCATGAATATATTATTTATGAGGTAAATCAAGTTAAGGAATCTATTGAGCAACAAAAAAATACGGTTGGATTAGGTTTGTGGGATCCATTCTTTGAGGTATTTTTCAAAAACAGAAAGATTTTGTTCCGTTTGTGCATAACGTGTAGTCTATTCCTTTTCCAAAATTTCTTGGGAATCCAATCTATTAACTATTATTCACCGAAAATATTTGCCAGTTTAGGAGTTGATGGAACGAATGCAACCTTATTCTCAACAGGAATGTTTGGAGTTGTGAAATTCATTTGTACCTTCATATACGTGTTACTAATTGTTGATACATTTGGTAGGAGAAAAGCATTTATGTGTTCTTCCACAGTTTGTTCAATTTGCTTTTGGTATATTGGATCATACCTTAAAATTAATGACCCAACGAAACCTGGAGTCCTGGCTGGTCCTGGGGGTAAAGCTGCCATTGGAATGATGTATATATGGATAGCATCTTTTATATTGGCATGGTCTGGTGGTCCCTTTGTCGTAGGAAGTGAAGTCTTTGACCAGAATATTAGATCCTTCGTACAAGCCATCAATGCAGCAGTTAGTTGGGTTCCTATCTTCTTTATGTCTCGATTTACTAGTGAGATGATTGACAAAATGCACTATGGTATTTATTTCTTTTTTGCAGCCTTGGCTGTGCTCTCAATTCCATTTGTTTATTTCTGCCTACCTGAAACTAAAGGTATAGCATTAGAAGATATGGATAAATTGTTTGATCCAAAACTCCCTGCCAGAAGGGCTCACAAGGTTGTTTTAAGCAGTCTTAAATTGGAGAATGATATTAGGTTGCATGATAAGACGTTATTCAAAATGGACACGAATAAGTCGAACGATATTCAAAATATCGAAGATGTTGGGAAACTAATGATTAAAAATAATGACGTATAGCTTTTTAATTAAAAATGAATGCTATGATATAAATGTACTATGTGACTACACTTCATTTCTTCTCTTTCGTAATCTCGAAAATCTAATTTCAAATTAAATATACAACATATTAAAGAAAATTGAACAAAAAAAAAAAATAGAAATTGATAGCCACTTCTGGGTGATAATAAGATACAGTAAATTTATTTGCTTCAGCTAGCTGCTCATTTCTTTTCAAGGTCTTTTGCAACTTTTTTCCATTGTTCAATTTCTCTATAAGCCCTTTCTAGTTCTTGCTTAAGTTTTTCATTTGAAGCACTCAATTCAGAAACAGCTTGTTCTGTAAGCAACTTTTCTAAAGTCCATTTTTCAATGTTATTGCTTTCGTTTTCTTTTAATCGTTTTATATATTCGACACCTCTCTGCAAAATCTGGGACTTGTTTGTATCATTGGTGGGAATAAGAGCGGCCAATTCTTTGATCCCTTGATTGATTGATTCGCGTCTTCTTCTTTCGACTTCTTTATGATTTTCACGCCTTTGTCTGTGCCATTCATCAGAGCCATGTTGTGGCTTACTCATCCCTGATGACTTAGGCATACCAGTGGGCTGAACATGAGAGAGCCCAGGACTGTGCTGATCCAGAGAAGGTGACTGTGATTGTGGACTTTGTTGGCTAGGAACTACCTGTTGCCTGAAAGCATTTTGATAAGCCAAATGTTGTTGTAACTGTTGTTGCTGGTGTTGATGCTGTTGCGAGTTTAAAGCAGCAGCAGCATTTGCTGGCTCGTTCGAGGATGCCGCGGCAGCTGCAACAGCTGCGGCCGCAGTTGCAGCATTATTTTGATCATTATGTTGACCACCGTAAGACAGCTGTTGACCCAAGAGTTCGGAATCAATGGCAATTTCATCTTTCTTGCCATCTGCTTTCACCTTCTTTTCGAGCTGAGAACCAGCTTCTTCGGCCTCTCTTTTAGACATATTTCAGGGGAAAAAAAAAAACAACACTAAATACTATACAAAAAGGGCGTCAGTAATCTTTGTTTTGTTTAGGAACAACATACGCTTTGCAATACTACTTACTCTTCTTTTCAATGTAAATAAGCACTCTGGTTCTTATTTTTTTATGTGTGCTGCGGCAGTCTTTGTTTGATTGCAAAATCAAATTAATCTCCAAACTGCTCTGATAAAATAGAAATGTTTGGTGCCAGAAAAGACAGAATGACTTTCACGAGGATTTTGCCTCACATGTGTTTCAGGTGATTATATAAAAGTTGATGATTTTATCCGGGTAAAAGGTTATGTGCTCCGTAATATTAAATTATTTCTTACCGCGCGCAAGCTACATAATAGCATAGTTTAAAGTGATGAACGAGATCAAAATAAAAATATATGCTAGGTGCAGGATGTTTTGGATCATGAAGAAGCCTCTAAGAAGAACCAAAGAACTAAGCAAATAATAGGAAGCAGCCTCAGCTTTTAAAATATTAAGTAAAATATTTTGCCAGTCACAATGAATTACAGAATTGAATGGAAGTAGATATCAGGGAATATTATGGTGGTGGAATGATAGGGACGTAAACTGAATGCTGTATCATCGTCGACCTTCATGACGATTTCTATGGAGTCCATTCCAAAGCTCTAGTACCATAAAGAAAATTCTTGGAGTCCGATTGCAATGATTTTGCCTTCTAATCTTTGTAAGAACTGTAATACCGGATATGAGGCTTTTTTTCATCTTAACCTCAACGGTTCATTAGATCTGTATACTTATCGTCCGACATATAGTAAGAATCCACAGTTTGAACAAAAGAGCACGTATATAGGTTGTCTAGTATCTCCCAAGGCCAAGAGGTACGTGGTTTCTTATAATAATAGAACGCTTAAAAATGTTTGGAAGGTGCTTATGCCGAGCAATTAAACCATCAAGACTGTTGTCGCTATGTCAAAATAGGACCATTTTTTTAAACTTGAGGGCGCCCTCTGCGACCAGGTATGTGAGAGACGGTTTATTTCGCATAGGATGTACTCAAATGAAAAGACATATCCAATCCTCTCACGTATTACTGAAAAATGATGATAAGAATTCATCGAAGGTTTTATTCGGAAAGGAAGTGTCTACATCGGAATTCGGCATGATGAAGTCTCTTTTGGCAACGATATGGCCCAAGAATAAACCAGCATTTAAGTTTAGGGTAATTTTGGCATTGTCGCTATTGATTGGATCAAAATTACTAAACGTTCAAGTGCCTTTCTATTTCAAGGACATAATCAATGGCATGAATTTGGATTGGGCATCAGAATTGGGAACTGTTGGGACCGTCGTAGGATCTCTTATCCTTGCGTATGGTGCTGCGAGGTTCGGAGCAGTGTTATTTGGAGAGTTAAGGAACGCTGTATTTGCCTCAGTGGCTCAAAGTGCAATCAAAAGAGTAGCATCAGATACCTTTAAGCATTTATTGAATATGGATCTTCAATTTCATCTATCGAGGCAAACCGGGGGTCTTACAAGAGCAATTGAAAGAGGAACAAAAGGCATAAGTTACGTTCTTAGCGCCATGGTGTTTCATATTATTCCTATTTCGTTTGAAATTTCAGTAGTTTGTGGAATCTTGATTTATAACTATGGATACTCTTTCGCAGCTGTGACTCTAGCTACGATGCTCAGTTACTCTTTATTCACCATTAAAACGACAGCTTGGAGGACTGCATTCCGGAGGCAGGCTAATAATGCAGATAATCAAGCGGCCAATGTTGCTCTTGATTCATTGATCAATTATGAAACAGTAAAGTATTTCAATAGTGAACTGTATCAGATGTCGAAATACGAGTCTGCTCTTACGAAGTATCAGAATGCAACTATAAAGGTAGCAACTTCTTTGGCATACTTAAATAGCGGTCAAAATTTAATTTTCACAAGTGCATTAACTGCAATGATGTATATGGGTTGTCAAGGCATTGCTACAGGCGGTTTAAGTGTTGGTGACTTGGTTTTAATAAACCAATTAGTATTTCAGTTATCAGTTCCTTTAAATTTCTTGGGATCAGTATATAGGGAACTAAAGCAATCATTGTTAGACATGGAAAACTTATTTCAATTACAGAATTACTCAATCAAAGTCAAAGATGCGCCCAACGCGCAGCCATTACTTTTGAACAACTCTGGGGTTCCTGGTGAAATTAAATTTGAAAACGTCACATTTGGATATCACCCAGATAGGCTTATTTTGGATAAAGCTACATTTACGATACCACCTGGTCAAAAGATTGCAATCGTGGGTCCATCTGGTAGCGGTAAATCTACAATTTTAAGATTGATATTTAGATTCTATGATGTTAATCTGGGAAGAATTCTAATTGATGGCCAAGATATATCGAAAGTTACTTTGGATTCATTGCGAAAATCAATCGGAATTGTTCCTCAGGATACTCCTTTGTTCAATGAATCAATTCTTGAAAACATCCGATATGGTGATGTTAAGGCTACTGATGATGAGGTGAGAGATGTAATCAGAAAAGTACAATTGAATCCTCTTATCAAGGATTTGCCTGAAGGTTTAAATACCATAGTAGGAGAGAGGGGTATGATGATTTCAGGTGGTGAGAAACAAAGAATAGCAATTGCAAGGCTCCTTTTGAAAAAAGCACCAATTACCTTTTTTGACGAAGCGACTTCAGCTTTGGATACTCATACAGAGCAGGCACTCCTCAGAACATTGAGGACTATTTTCAAAGAAGAGAAAAATACACACGTCTCAATCGCTCATAGACTTAGAACCATAGCTGATGCTGATAAAATAATTGTGCTCGAAAAAGGAAAAGTTAAAGAGGAAGGTTCACATCAAAAGTTGCTAGCAATTTCAGGAGGTTTGTATGCTGAGCTCTGGAATATTCAAGAAAATCTTGATATCGAGGAAGAATTAGTGAGGTCTCTGGAAGAGCAGGAGTCAAATTTGAGATGAAACATTTTGCCTGTGTAATATACTATACGTTTATTTAACAATTCTCTATCTACAAGGTTAATTGTATATACACTAACATCTTGAAATGGGCTGCGTAGATATCTGTTTAAGATTCACACTTATTCGGTTGGTAGATTTTTCGTTAATGTTTCGTAAAATTTACCTAAAGTAATATTATGAACATTTTTTTTCTGTAAATTATCTATCAACAATTTTAGCCCATGTTCTGGCAATTTTTTTAATTTTTCCGCCACGAAGTCATTCTTTAGTTCCAAAAGCGTAGCGTCGTGTTGCATTAGCTCACCCAAGATAATCTCTGAAATATTTCTTACAGTGACTGATAATTGCTTGGAGTACTCAGATCCTTGTCTTAGCGACTTCAAAACCCATTGATCATAGTGCAACAGATACCACTTAAATAATGACAAAATCTGATCTTTAGATGAGTTGTACTGATAACCAATTAGACCAAGTTCAATGCATCTTGAATCAATGTTACTACTTATAAAGTTCAATGTCTTAGATAATAAGTCATCTTTCGTTGTAAAAGTTAATGATGATAAAGCTACTGTTTGAATTTCATCACTTTTAGCATTAGTATGACCTAAAACAGATGTGTTGGAATTTCTCACAAGTTCAAGCACTTTTTTATAATCTTTCTGGTTTGAAGTATGAAGAAATGAGTTGAAAATAGACGGTAATAACTCCATTGGAGTAAAAGTCTTGGATATTCCAGAACTAATGAAATTTTTAAACAACTTTCTCGTAAGTACCAGGATCTCTTCATTCCCAATGCCCAATTGCAAAATTGCATTTCGGGCGTTCATTTCGTCTCTATTATAATCAGATGATAGTTCACCCAAAGTGTTCCATTTGGATACTTTGTTGAATATTCTCTTAACAAATCCATCTAACCATTTCTTGTAGGTAACAAAATCACTGAAATGACGTAATATTACCGTAATCTTATCTAAATAACTCAATGCCACGCACAATACTTTATAATCCGTGATCCATTGTTCATTCGAAAGGGAATTAACAATACAGATAAATGATACTAGCATTTCAGATGATGATACATCAGTTTCTAAAAGCTTTCCAAGGTCATTCAAGATTGAAATCAAGTCTGCAGTAGATAATAAGTTAAGAGGGATTTCCTTGACGACTTGCTTAATTATATCTGATGATAATATCACCCTATAGTAGCCTCCCTTGTTACAGTTTGCAGTAACGAAATCCTTCAATGGAAGTTCAAGAGAAAGTTCTTCTTGATCTAAAATCTTGTTAACGACTTTATTTTCTTTTCTATCATGAACTCTAAGAAGCAAAGGAACATGGTAGACATTTGTGGCAGCAGTAATGTTGCTGTTTGAACCTATGCAATACCTCTTTTGCTTGATAACTAAAGATCCATTCACTTGACTTAAAAACAACAATGGATACCCAGCATAACTCAACCACGAGTAAATGAAAGCATTTAAATCAAATGAGGTGAGGGTGTCTAAGTGATTCCAAACCTCAAATAGTTTAATAGTTTTATATTCAAATTTCTTAATAATATTCAGAAAACCTGTGAGCATTACAGAAAAGTTGTCGATCTGTAAAGTTTGTGAATCTAATTTTTCATTTTGCATCACGTAACCTATCATTCTCAAAAGAATTAAGCCCTTTTGGTAGGCATCATTATCGAAAATGACAGATGTAGTTGTTTTCTCTCCACCTTCGATACGTTTCATATAATCGGCAATTGGTAAAATTTTCGGCTCATCATTCGCATCAAAGACATCTCTATCCATTAGTTTTTCATATTCGCCAATCCAATCGATTTCGTAGCCACAACCAAAAGTGTTCTCTGAAATTGAAACGACCAAATTACCTAAGAACGTCGCAAAAGATTCGTTAAACCATAGGGAGCTCCAAGAATCAAACGTTACTAAATTTCCGATCCACTGATGTACTAATTCATGTGCAACGAGTTGTTTAACGTCACGTTTGACGCCGTCTTCGCTCTTGAATTCATCCACCAAAAGATGACCAGAAAGTACGGTAATTAGGCCCCAGTTTTCCATTGCACCATCACTAAGAAATGGTAAGGATATAAAATCCAATTTCTTCAAGGGGTATTTCCTGTCTAAAAGCCCCTCCAATAAAGGTAAGTATTTGACAGTGGAATTTAAAGCAACTCTAGCTTTGCTACTCTCACCTATTGCAGTGTAAACCCTTACTGGCACCAGTAGATCACTATTTTCAAGGTACTCAAAATCCCCAATAGCGAACCCGAATACGGATGGGGCTATAGGAGGTGTCGTTTCAAACTTGAAATATGATCTCTCTGTGAGAGGTATCTGCTCTGGTTCTACGCACAATGGGCTGACTGATACTACTTTAAACTTAGTGAGAGTTTCAATAGACAACTTAATCGGTACCTTCAAATATAATTCGTCAATTAACGGAAACAACATCTTTGAAAAAGCTGGTTGCGTATGTGTTGCTAAAACATAATTGTCAGATCTGCCCGATATATTATCCAAATAATTTGTCTTGAACAATCCATAAGTAGGATCACTATATGTCTTAATAGTTTTAAGCTGCCCCATGTAACAGAGGCAGATTTTAATACTATTGTTGGATACATTATATTCATCAGTTGTTGTCAATTGAATTTGGTTCTTTTGTTTCAAGTAGCTCACTTTCAAAGAAGATTCATTTTCTCCTGAAATCACTGATGCTTTCGTCACAACAATGTTTAACGCATGAAGGTAAAAGTCAAATTTCTTAGGTTTCTGACCTCTGTATCTTTCATTTTCAATCAAATGGATTACAACCTCACCCTTGAAGTTCGGCTTCAAGTGATCAATGCTTAGCTTCAAATCATACAAATATGGTACTAAAAAGTTTTTTATAGTCAATGGAGTTTCATGTACATCTTCCGGCGGATATAAATTCAGCACACTTGTCTCTTCTGGCATTCTTATTTTTTCAGGTATTTCAATGCCCAATAACTATAAATTTTTCGCATCTCAAGAAAATATTGTGCTTTAGATCTAGATATGGTCAGATATACGATTTCAACTTCAAGTTAACACACAAAAAGAGATCATCATGTATTTAGGAAGTTTTGGATAGATATTCAGGTATTCTTAGCATTTTTAAGAGACAAGAGATAAGAAATTGGTTGGCCGTTTAAAAGCAGCTCAGAACCTGATGATCCCGTCCCATAATATTTATATCCCAAAGAAAGGATCCCGTATCAATTTGAAATTCCACAAGTACCATGAACTTATGCTCTGCTTTCAATATGCTCTCAAAGGATCAAGATGTTATTCTGTTCCCATTTGTGTCAATTCTAATTTTTATGTATATAATTAGTAATAGCGGTTCTCTTTCTGGGGCATTTAGCGCCTGCATATGTAAACTCTTTTCCCCAACAATAATTTTTTCACCGAGAGTAAGAGCAAAAGGCAGCACCTGTCGTATAGAATCAAAGATATATATATACACATATATATATATAACGAGCCATAAATTAGATCAGTTCGTGAAAAATAGCTCAACTGTCTTGAAATTGAATGGTTGTTTTCAGATACAAGTAAGAGAGTGTTCCTCAATTAAGACTTCATTTGTGGAAAAAAGAGCTTTAATTTTAACGGCACTAGATCTCACTAAGTCCATTAACTTCCAATCGCTTATGGAGACAGCAAACGGATCCATATCTCCGGAGTATATTTCATATTTGGAGCATGCTGACCCAGGCACGATCAAGATTGACTGCTCAGGCGCTTTTATCGCCAATGGAGACATATTAAGAGATCAGTATGAGTCACCTGCTGCCTCTGACAGTCCATCACCAGAGATCTCCTCGGAGTCAGATGCTGAAGAGGAAAATTCGAACGGACTTTATCTGGGAGAGAATTTGGAAGATGTAAAGGCGCTATCTGTGGCAGATGATAATGTTGAGTTAGCTAGAAATGAAGATTACGATATTTCCAAAAATATTAATTTACCAAAGCACAATTCCGAAGTAATTCATATATCTGTTGATATTGGAGGAACCTTGACAAAGTTAGTGTATTTTACAAAGAGCAAGGTAATATCTGGTGGTGGTAGATTACACTTCAGAGATTTTCAAACGGGGAACTTTGCTGATGAGGTTTTGGAATTTATGATTAAGCTTATCCAAAAGTCAATTCACAAACGATCATATCCACCAATCACGTATATCATGGCTACTGGAGGAGGTGCACATAAGTTCTATCTGTTAATGAAAGATACATTTAGTAAATACAAATTGCCAATGAAAATTATCGCTAAAGATGAAATGGAATGCTTGATTCGCGGATTAGATTGGTTGATAACTAAAATTCCGCATGAAATTTTCACATATGACTTGAAAGAAAACAATACTCGATTCATTCCAAATAGAAAAGATGAAAATATTTATCCGTATTTATTGGTGAATATAGGTAGCGGCGTTTCAATGATAAAAGTGGTAAGGCCAGGTCCAGGGGGTTTTGAAAGAATTGGAGGTTCTTCTCTCGGTGGAGGCACCTTGTGGGGACTTCTCTCTCTCTTGACTGAAGCTGAAGATTACAATGAAATGTTGGAAATGGCTCAAAGAGGTGACAATGAAAACATAGATTTATTGGTTGGTGACATATATGGAAGTAACTATAACAAAATCGGATTAAAATCAAGTCATATAGCTTCTTCTTTTGCGAAAGTTTTCAAACGCTTGAGATTTAGCAAAAGTAAGAAAAAATTAACACCTGCTGAGAAACTTGCTCAATTCAAACAAGAAGACATGGCTAGATCATTATTGTATCTGATTTCTAATAATATTGGACAGATTGCTTATTTGCAAGCTGTCAGGTTCGATTTGAAGAGAATCTATTTTGGAGGAAGCTATATTTCAGGTCATAAACAGACCATTCACACGTTGAGTTATGCCGTCAACTTTTGGTCGAATGGTGACATGCAATCTTATTTTTTGAGGCACGAAGGCTATTTAGGTAGTGTGGGTGCCTTTATCATGGGACCTAATAGTGAATCAATCAAAAATGCTGCTCAACCTCGGCTCAGTAGCATCAAATCATGATTTATGAACATTTAATGATTTTTTTAAATATAGTGGGCATGTTTGAATCTCTCATGACAACTGTTGTCAAGCAATCTTATTTATACATTTATATTCAACGTGAATACACAATTATTTATTAAAGATTCAATACTATGTTTATTGAGCGGGGAGGTTACACAAAGAAGTGTAGGAACTAAATTTTTTTAAGTACATTTACCACTTTACATATACTCAGTTAATATAAATAAATAGAAACAATCTAACGTCTTAGAGGAGAAGTGAAGATTATTTGTGCTTTATTATAGAGTACCAAAATGACTGATGTTGACTCAGGAGTCTATAGCCTACCTACAAATAATTCAGAGAGAAATAAACGTTTGGCAAAACCCGTATCTTCATCAATAACTGATTCCAGATATTTATTTTCGACCCAAGCATCTGAAAGCCCGGTACATGCGTTCAACTCTGAGTGGATAGATACTTATGATACACCAGTTAAAACGAAGACAGAAACCGAACAATCTCGTAATTCCAAAAATAACTTCGGTACCGCTCAGCACCCAATTGATCAAAAGTTTGAAACTCCAATGAAAGCAAAATCATCAGTAACAATGGTGACACCTGTGAGTGAGTTGAAACAAGAGGATGTAGTGGTGAGTGGAAAGAGTAGACTGGCTACACCAGAATTGGCTGGAAAGAAACCTAAAGTTACATTTTGGGATGTAATCTGGGTGCTTATGAATGATATGGCAGGTAAAGATAAAATGGCGAAGATTTGCCAGTATTCGTTGAGATTGACTCTTCACTATACAAAAGAAGTTCTGTCTTATATGAGTGATGATTTGCTTAATATAACGGTTATCAGACAGAGGTACAATAATACAGAAAAACAATTAGAATTAATGAAGAATTTTTTCAAGCATCCTTCAGATTTCATGAAAATAGTGACATTGTTAACATGCTCAATCTTAAGATCAAGATTAACTGGGGTTGTAAACGGAATATCCATTTACAGGCAATTCGGACGGTTTGGGAAAACACCATTCAGAATTAGGAATCTTATAAAAAAACTTCAATCAAATTATGATCCTAACACGCGTACTCTTAATATAAATAATTTGGCAAAGTCATCTACCATATCTGATATTACATCATTGTACTATGGTATAAACGACGAAACGTTGTTACTTTTTAAATTGAAGTTTTTTACTAATAAGCGATTTCGAGCTTTTGCTTCTAGGCATGAAACTTTGGCTTGGTTTCATGAATCGGTAATCAATCTTTATATATTATACGAAAAGCTAAAGTTGTTATCTCAACAGGAAATGGATTTAAAAATCCAAATTCAAGTTAAGAATAAAGCCAAATCATTATCGAAACAATTGTTAGGTGGATTATCTTCTCATCAGCTTGAGTACCCATTGACAGAAGGCGATGATATTAAATTGCTAAAAGACGTTCAATTTAAAAAACATAATGCTTATTTGGACGTATACAAATATTTATCTGATTTTGTTTTCACGTTCTATCCCACTTTTGGATTACCACTACCTTTCAGTACTTTACAGATATGGTTAGGAATAAGTGCAGCTACATTTAGTACCTTAAAGTTATATCGCGAAGCCAAAAAGAAGCTTCTTGATCTGGCCAAAAAGAAAATGACTTAAGCAAGGAAGTTATTGATATACACCCCCTATTACCCTCATAATGTTTCCGTTTCGACTTAGTGTAAAATATAGAGAAATTTTATTAACAATCTTCCTGTAATATATCGTCAATTGTTACGTCTTCAGAGACATTAACAGCTCTCTTCCAAAATTTTGACAAGTGCCGCTCTCCTGAATCGCAAGCAATGAGTACAATCTTATGGCCAGGACCATACTGGTATGCAATTTTAAGGGCTGCTACACAGTTCACTGCAGCAGATGGACCCCAAAATATTCCGTCGTTAAGGCAAAGATATTTAGCCATTTTTGCTGCCTCGTCGTCATTTACCCGAATAGCTTCATCAATATAGCCCTCACCTTGTTTAAAATTTCGAGTAAGTCTGTTAAGTCCTATTCCCTCAACGATAGTATCAACTTGGTGTCGTCTTCTTGTTCCCTCTTTTTCAACTGTATCATACATTACGCCATAGTTAATCCTATTGGCCAAGCCAGAACCCTGGGGATCTGCCAATATAATCTTGATATTCTCGTCTTGTTCCTTTAAAAATTTTGACACGCCAGTAATGGTCCCACCTGTCCCAGAACCAGTGATAAATAACGAAATGTCATGCTCCATCTGCTTCCAGATCTCGGGTCCCGTCGTTGAGTAATGTACTTTCCAATTAAACTCATTCTCAAATTGATCAGCAAATATAGCATTCCTTGGATCATCATGATTTGAATTTATCTCGTCGGCGAGTCTGCGTGCAATATTTGTATATTGGTCAGGATCTACAATAGAAGCAGGCTTGACCAATTGTATTTCCGCACCCAATGATCGTAACAACATTATCTTCTCAGGCGAAGTATCATCTGGAAGGCATATATGAGCTGTATATCCTAGAGCATTTGCCAAAGTGGCAAATGAAATGCCTGTGGATCCAGAAGTACCTTCAAAAATAATGTCACCGTTGCCAGGTTTAAGCCTGCCCAATCTTTCATTTTCTCTTATAATTGATAATGCAACCCTATCCTTGGCACTCCCTGCTGGATTAAATAGCTCCATCTTAGCATATATTTTGCAGCCTGTTAAACTAGACAACGATTTGATTTCGATTAATGGAGTATTCCCAATCAATGATTCTATTCCTCTACTCTTAGGAGGTAGCAGAGTCAACCTCTCAGGCTCTGTCTTGAAATCATCATAAAGTCGTTTAAAAATGATAAGCGCTGACGTTATAGATGCTGCAGCAGCCAATAATGATCCCCATTTTTGCATCCCCCAGTATGTATTATTGGAAACTTAGGTACTGTAAGACTCAAGAGTCATCGTAGTACAAGGATGCGTGCTCGACCTGAATAATACATTTGTGACACAAACTGACCCCTCCCCGCTCAGTTGCAGATAAATTCACGCCAAAAAAAAAAAAAAAAAAGGTGAGAAAGCTGCTTACTGTCTGCATTCGACCTGCTGCCAAATGTCTGACAATTTTATGGATTGACTAATCAATATTGGTTAAGATTAGTCAGGACAGTTACTAAACCCGCTTCAGACTGTGTACAGCTTAACATTATTGACCATTCAATGGTTTGACGTGTATAGCAGGGCTTGAAAATCCGTTTCTTTGGTTCCACAACCTGCCTCTGCTTGTCCTTCAACGTTATAACTTATATGTCTCTCTCACCTACGATCCCGCTAAATTTCGCACAGGAACGGGTCGGGAAAGTTATTTAGTCCGAATTAAGTACACTGAAATATAGGGAACTTTTTTGTCGGCCGATCACATATTCTCGAAACCCTACCCCAGCCATAAAAAATTTACGCAAATATTGCATTACAACGATAATATAAACTACGCTAACGTATCTTCAAAGTTAAAATTTTAAGAGTTTAAGAATTAACTGCACTTGTAGCCTTTAAATCATTCAACGCCAACTTTCAAATCGTATCGGAACGCTCCAAGTAGCAGTGCATTATGGCTCCGAATGTGAAGCAAGAGAACAAAGAGTCTGTTCAAGAAAGCAGGACCACCAACGGCAAATCACAAGAAAGACCAAAGGCTTTCACAATCAAATACAAACGTCCAAGAGGTAGTAGGGCTTGTTCTGTTTGCAGGTCGAGGAAGGTCAGATGTGATGCGGAAATACACATACCATGCACCAATTGCATTACTTTTGGGTGCGAGTGTGTGCTACCAGAAGTCAAGAAAAGAGGTAATTCCACTGGAGAATCTAAGCCTAAGAGGAAGCATACTGAGACTGTAGGACTAGGATCAAAAGAAAGAAATGGAATTCATGAAAATGATGATCGATTGGATGGAGTTTCTGGTGAAGATGGCAAGGGAGGGGGAAATGAGCCTATATTGAATATCTCTCAAGTGAGTGTTCCCCCATCATTGACTTCAAACTATAAAAATAGGCCATCCATGCACAAAAGAGAAATGATGAGTAGTAAAAGTAAGACATCTTTGACATTTTTGGGGTCTTCGTCAATTGGAGATGTCGCTCAAAAGGTCGGTGAAAACCACGTACAATTGACGGAAGACTTATTTGATGTGAGTGATAACTCACTAGATTCAGTAGAGTTGGAGATCTTAAAATTGAGAGGTGCATTTCTCTTGCCTTCAAAAGAATTGGCGTCAGATTTGATAAATTCTTATTTCGAGCATGTACATCCACTTATGCCTGTGATCAATAGAACAGAATTTATAAAAAAATTTGAAGATCCAAAGGACAGTCCTTCTCTAATGTTATTGCAAGCAGTCTTATTATGTGGTTGCCGAGTTTCACAGAACCCTTTGTTATTAGATTCCAGAGGCTCTAATGGATTGGCGTGCTTGACTTTCTATAGAAGGGCAAAGGCTTTGTATGAGACTAACTACGAGAGCGATGCTATTTCAGTTATACAAACCTTAATTTTGATAGGCTCTTATTGGGAGGGTCCGGAAGACGTAACGAAAAATTCTTTTTATTGGACTAGAGTTGCTGTAGGGTTAGCGCAAGGCTTTGGATTGCACCGAGACATCACCAGTTCTGCAAGGTTGACTCAAGTTGAGAAGAAGATTTGGAGAAGAGTGTGGTGGTGTCTTTTTGAAAAAGATCGCAATGTGGCTATTGCATTTGGTCGGCCCTTGACAATAGATCTTTCAGACTGCGATGTTCCAATGTTGACACTTGATGATTTTAATGAGGATGACCCAGATACTGGCACAGTGTCACCTTATGAAGTCAACGAAACCCAAGCACTTTACTTCATCCATCTAGTAAAATTAGCAGAAATAACAGGAATTATTATAAAACACCAGTATACTGTCAAATCTGAACTGTTTAAACGAAACAATAATTTTTCTATCATAAAGCATTGTGATATGCTTATGGGTGTTTGGTTTACGAATTTGCCATCACAACTTGTCTTTTCATTAGCAAATACTTCAACACAAAACTTTTATACATGTTTGTTGAATGCTCAATATTATAACAGATTATACTTGATACACCGATCAAATTTGTTAAGAATGGCACGATCAAGCTCCACGAACCCAAACAACTATAAATATCCTTCTTGGGGTATATCATTTCAGGCTGCTAGAATGATATCAATAGTATCCAAGATTTTACTTGAAAAAGATCAGATTAAATACTGTCCTGTCATGTTTGTCTATATTCTTTTCAGCGCCTTGGTCATGTTAATTTATCATGTTGATTCTCCAAATAATGTCATTGCGTCGACAGCTTCTGATTCCTTATTCGTCTCAAGGGCAGTCTTGAGAGAATTGGGAAAATTCTGGCCGATTGCTGGTGTTTTACTAAAGTTATTTGACAAGTACGCGAATGACAAAATCAAGAGGGCTAAGGTAATAGAGAATAATACTAAAGTAGCTGAATATCAAGAGAGAGTGGCGGAGAGTCGGGCTATAAACAATGACGCTAACCTAACACCGCTATATGATATGAGAAAGGGCCAAGATAAGTTTCAGGGAAACAACATACAATCTCCCACCGTTGCACTGCAAACTTCAGGAATATCTCCAAGGGAAGGATCATATGGAAGCACGATTAATGCCCAGTCACCTACAATTGTTCATGATCCAAAACCAAATATCGAGGATCTTGTTCAACAATTTAAGAGACCCACCACACAAGCACACGATTTCAAGGACAAAAAGGAGGATACTTCCCCTTCATCATCAACTTCTTTCCCCGATATTTCTTTAGTCACAGAAAACATGCCAACCCAAAACTTTTTCGAAAATTTTCAACCTAAGCAGTTATTTCCTATTGCTAATAGCAGTCTTCCTTCAACAAGAGTGCAATCTCCAACACCAGTGGCTAATATTGGTAATGGTGCGCCTGTTTCTGAAAATGCTTACAATACATCTCAAGGTGATGAGCAACATATGAATACTCTTTCGGGTGATATGTTTGATACAAATTTCGTTGACAGTTCTTACATCGGCATGAATTTACAATCAGGAGTGGAGGATAACATTTTCAATTCAGAGATTGGTTCTTTATTTAATTTTTAAATACTTGCAATCCTCCGTCGGTAGTTATAATGGCCAATAAAAAGTGACTATGTAGGTTTTAATTTTCAATAAATGTTCAATGACGCTTATTCTTGAATCTGTGTTTATGCTTTACCCTTTCAAGGTTTTCAAATATCTCTTCTCTTCTTAACCTTTGGCTGTACCCAATAAAATTTTGAACCACGCTCTCGTAGATTTCAAAGTTTTTCGTAAGTTCTTTTAAATGATCATTCCATATCAGACTCAATGTTGTCAATTCGTCATAATTCTTCTTAAATTGATTCAACTTCTCGTCCAAAAGCTCCTCGTTCTTTATCTCTTGCAAAAACTGTATACTTGAGTTATTCAAGCTATCTGTTTCAATCTTCGACAAGATTTCCGGTGTCAATTCAATGTAATTCCTTTTGTCGTCGTTAGATATATGCAATGATGAAATATCTGGTATACTGAACCCACTCCAATCAATATCCTCTTCTGTGATAGTTCTTTTTCTTCTCTGTATTATGTGAGTAGGCTCCAGTGTTATACCAGGTTCAAGTTCATCCAAATTGATAGGTATTCCTAATTTAATTAATAGATTATGTCGAATACTCAGTCTAGTCCAATTCGGAGGCTTTAATCTTGGTAAAGTCGACAAATCGTAGAGCATTTGTGATGATTTATCAAAAATCAGGTCCTCATTGATACCAGTATTAGAATCTATGGCTTTAATGCCGCTGAACAATTTATCTACTAGTCTAGCAATATTTGCTTCAAAATTAGAATCGTCACTTGTGCCTTCTGAGAATCGTATTCTATCCTCATACGTCAAATCTTTGATGCCACTTTCTCCCATGTCTATATCTTCATCATATGAGGCCTCGTCGAATGACCCAAAATCACTATCGTCTCCATCTTCGGTTACTTCATTCATTTCATTATTTGCTATTTCAGTTGCACGTCCTTCATCTTTCATATTTATATCACTGTCAACGTTTTTGCCAGGAGACAAATTTCCTAGAGAAAGGCCCCCATTTGTGTAGTCATTCGAGTCTGTCGAAGCCACTTCAATTTCATTGGACATGCTATTATTTCAAAACTATGTTACTGAATATAATCTTTTCACTAATATATCAATAAGAAAAATACTTTACACTACAAAGTTACCGCGATTCACTTCTTGAACAATAAAGCCTATCTCTACTTAAAAGATGGAAGCAGTAATTTTAGACATTGAGGGTACGATATGCCCTATAGCTTTTGTCAAAGAAACATTGTTTCCATACTTTTTGAAAAAGGCTCCTAAAGTACTTAAAAACCTCAGCTATCCATTGAAAAGTGATACAGCAGATAAATACACTAATGTTTTATGTCAATTTCCACTTGAGAGCATAGTATCGTACGATAAATTGATAAGCCACATAGAAAATTTAGTTAAAAATGATATTAAAGATCATGTTTTGAAATCATTTCAAGGTTTAATATGGCAACATGGATATGACCAAGGGGAGTTAACTGCCCCAATTTATGACGATGCAATTGAATTTATTATGGCCCTGAAGAGGAAATCCAAAAAAATATACATTTATTCTTCAGGTAGCATTAAAGCTCAGCTTCTTCTATTCAAGCATGTTAAAAGGGGAGACGAAGTCCTCGACATGACTGATTATTTAAGTGGGTATTTTGATTTAGTCACAATTGGGAACAAGTACGAGGGAAGCTCATACTCCAAGATTCTTAAAGAGATAAATTATGAAAATAAAGCAAAAGATGTCTTATTTCTCACTGATAACATTCATGAAGCAGATGCTGCAATATCTGCTGGAATGCAAAGTAAAATAGTTTATAGACTGGGCAATCCAGCTCTAGATGAAGAAAGTAAGAAATTTGATGTTATCTATTCTTTAGATGAGCTCAAAATATAAATGCTTGGAACTACCAAATTATACTATTGTACACTTTTACATATCTCTAAACAATATATCAGCTGCGACCTCTTCGTTCTTTTCACAGGCCATGTAAACTTGAATCACTAAGTTTCTATCGAAACCTAATTCACACAATCTGTTGATGGCGCTTTCATCTTGCTCAGTCAATGCTATACGAACAGTGCCCCCTTCACTTTCACCTTCTGCACCCTCATCACCTTCGATCTCGAATCCTAAATCTTCACCACTTCCTCCTAAAAACGTCCTGATGAACCCTTCAGGGTCCTGTTGGATTAATGCTGCAACCTGTGGATTAGAAGCTGCCAACTGCTCTAATAATGGTTGAATTAATTCTGGATTAGACTGTAACGCTGTTCTTAATAATCCCATTTGCGCATCACCCCCCAAATCTCCACTTCCAGAAGAGTCCACAGCATCAGCTCCACCTGCACCGTCATGTTCGGCCCTAGCGGCTGCCGCTGCCGCTTCAAACAAGTTTTCTCCTTGTTCATCTTCCTCATTGGTGTCTTCATTTGCAGCTGCTGCGTCTTCATTCGTTGTTGATTCCGCTACTGGTTCTGAAGCTTCGGGACGTTGTAAAGACTCTGGAATGCCCGTTAACAAATATTCAACAGCACGGTGAGGATTATTAAAAGCTGCCCTCAAGGCAGTTTCAACTTGTGATCTTTCATATCCCATCTCCATAATATTACTGATCGTTGCTTCTCTTTCATCTCCCGCAGTGAAAATAGACCCAGGCTCTGCAGTGCTTTGTGTAGAAGAAGCAGGTTCAGTTGGTGTTGCATCATTTCCATTTCCAGTGGAACCCTCTCCTCTGTTCTCGCTATCGGGTGCAGTATCCTCCTTCTTAATTGCAGTAGACGCCGGTATGGGTGATTTTTTGGTCTTTGATATCATAAAAATGATAGAATCACCCTCTTTCACCTTGAATGATTCCAACGTCTTATCATCTTGCAAGACTTTTCCTGAATAGACAAATTTCAACTGAGATGGCTCGCAGTCTTTCTCCTGTGCTAGTTTTTCTTTTGTGGACAAAACCTATACCTGTTAGTTCTATAGGTTCAGACAAATCATCGAAGACATTGCGTATTGTTTGATATATTGAGGACTACTTACAGTATCTGATAATTCGACTTCAATTGGCACCTTTTGCTTCTTGAAATCTTTGAAAATGATTTGCATTTCGAACAATTGATCTTTTCTAACTTTCAACTTCCAATCCCTCTCGTCATCTGTTGTCGCTGATTAAAGAGTGGCGAGATTTTGAAAATGAATATTGTGATTTTGTGTCACTTTTAACATATCTCCAATATATGTTTAAGATATGCTACGATAAATCTACTACTGATTGTAATATTTGTTTCTAACGATGGCTAGAAGAAATAAAAGTAGCTCTGGCGTTAGAGGGCCGAACTCAGCGCTCACGGAATTCTTACGTACTGAGGGTATTACTGAAGCTTTTAGACAGAGAAGGGAGAGGCAGCAGAGGAATGAAGAGCAGGGCGAGAGCGAAGATATAGAAGATAGGAATATTAGTAATGTTCAAGAAATATCTGAGAATGATGTCAGTAGTTCAGAATCTGCAACTGGGAGAAGAAACGTAAGATCACAAACTGAGGAGGAATCTGATGAAGAAAGTCAGATAAGGGCTGCAGGCAGGAAAAAGAGAAGAGCAGCTAGAAGGAATAGAGGAGGCAACGGGTTTCCTAGCGACAGTGATGATGATTATGATGATGATTATGAGGGTAATATCAGCGATGACGACTTGAATGCTGATAGTTTTAAGAAGTTTGGAGAGGAAGATTCTTGTGTCGAATGCGGTGAAACATTTCATCTAACAGTCTACTCAAGGTATATTCGGGAAAAACGTGGGTATCTCTGTGAATCTTGTAATGAGGTACTCAAGCAGAAGGAGCGCTTAGCAAGAAAAAACCAACTTAATGCTCGGAAAAAGAGAAAGAAGGTGGCTCAGGCATTACTTGACAAAACCGTTGTTAAGATTCCAACGTTACAAGATATATGTATCAAAAAAATCACGGACAACATTAATGATGTGGATGTACTAGGAGACATAGGTCAGATGAACTTGAACAAAATATCTAAGATTTTGTCAAAAAACAGGTCTTTGAATGATTCTACTATGACTCTATTCTTATCGCCAGAATTAAAGTCATTAGAATTCTGGGATTGCTCCAACGTGGATTCAGACTCATTAAATAAAATTGCATCATATTGTTCTAACTTGGAAAGCCTAACATTATTCATGTGTGGTCAATTACATAATGACAATTTGAAATATTTTAGTTCCAACTTAAAAAGCTTGTCTCATTTAGCTTTAGATGGTCCATTTTTAATAAGTGAAGTTGCATGGCAGGAATACTTTGAAACTTCGGGATCTTCCTTGCAAAGTTTTGAAATCAGAAATACACATAGATTTAGTAACGATTCATTTATCAGCTTACTTGAAAATGCCGGTGCTAATTTAAAGCTGTTAAAGCTTTCAAGGTTAGATGGAGTAGATGCAGCATCCGTTTACGAACTTCTTCCACATTATATCCAGTCTAATAAGCTCCATGCTTTGGAGCTCTCCTATCCTTTAAGTGAAGAATTGATTTCCGATGATCTAATAATCAACATATTATCGGTTACAGGAGAGTCTTTAAGACATCTTACCTTGGATGGTTGCACTCAGTTGACTGATAGATTTCTTCTTGAGGGTCTCGTTAAATTTTGTCCTAACCTCACACACTTATCGTTGAACTACTTGGATCAGCTAACAAACGATGGCTTTTTTAGAGCATTTGAAGATTATGGCAATACCAATACTGGAGGGTTAATAGATGTGAAATTGGTAAAGTGCACCGGATTGGGGGATAATGGTATATATTCTTTGTTAAAGCATTCGTGTGCTACTTTAGTTGAACTAAACTTGAATGGGATTCACTCCATTTCACATGATTTCATTTTTCAGGTTTTCACTAGCGATTCGCATCCTGTAAAGATAGCCACTAGAAAGAAAATAGAATCAGGGAATGAGCAATTGAATAACACTGTCGATAAACCTCTTGAATTTTTTGAGAAACTTGATTTCCCTTTATTGACTGCAATGGATATTGGCTTTGTCAGAGCATTCGACAACGAAATTCTAGAATTAGTGTCTCGAGAATGTGAAAAGCTAGGTATCTTGGAAGTGTTTGGAGACAATAAATGCACCTCTCGTGCGAAAGTACCGCCAGGTTTGATTGTTATTGGAAGACAGAGTGATATTATTTAGTTTGGTTTAGATATTATGTTTACAAATGCATTAATTAGTATATACGTCATAATTGTTGAATTCAAATGTGTATTCAAATCTACTCCGTGGGATAATTTATTGGTAGACTCGCTTTTTCAACATTCTTGAACGTAGGTAACGGTGGAATCTCAAGCCTTGAACTTTCTAAAGGATATTTAACTTTATCGTTCATTATACTGTTGGTGACTTCAGGAACAGCCTCCGTTATAATTCCGGGATGATCGAAATGTTTCTTTGCAAGTTTAAGAAGATTCTCTTCTCTTAACACACTCCTGTGCTTACTACTGGTAATCCTTTTGTCGTCAACATCCCCTAAGTAGAAATTAAATTTAGACATCCTACGTCTCAAGTAAGAGTTTATAAATAGTGAATTTGATTTACTTGCATCCATGTATAACAAAAATTCACGAGTCTCAGGTGTCATTTCAAGAGCATCTGCTAAATTCGGTAGCAAGATATCATAGCTGAGATCTATTAGGGCATCTATCATTACTTTGGGTAGCTGAGTATTGCAGCTCATATATGTCACAATCCGAATTAAATTAATCATACTCCGGGTTTTAAGGCCTTCGAATTCGATAAACTTTTTCCAGAACTTAACGGACTTTGTAAACTCATTTTCTTGAAATATATTATTGAACAAATGCCGCATCTCTTCAGTCGCTGATTCTGAACTTTGATTCAAAGAATCTATGTATAAGTCAGTTATAATACAAATGGAGTCGCTATTAAGAAGTTTTTGCAAAATCCTAACATAGTTCTCATTGAATTTGTAACTATCTTCCTTGTTATCAATCGTTGGGTCTTTCGAATGACGCGATTTTCTGCTCTTCTCATCCACACTGAAGTAGTCAAATATGATCGTACATAATTGTCCAGAATATTCCGGTTGATTCATCTTTTGCTTCCAAAGTTCTATTAATTTATTAATAGACTCTAAATATGGTTTTTTCAAATAGACACCTTTGGGGTCAAGAGACCCACTAAACATCTTGATCAAGTCAAAAAGATATTCGACGCTCATGTCAAATTTATCATACTTCATCAAAAAATCACAGTAGCTGAAACGCAATATATTGTCATTTAATGGTAGAAACCTGTTTCCAGCTCTATGGTATAGCTGGCTCATTTTTTCATATTTTTCTTGATCATTGAGTTGCAGGAAGTTCAAAAATGACAAAAATGACATCCATAAATTACTACTGAAACAATTTGGAATCAACGCCCTCTCAAATAAGTTGCATACTAAATCAAACTGAAAAGAATTTGGTTCTTCGCTATATTTGTTGACTTGATACTTCAAATAAAGTCTCCATGCTCCAATCTCTTTTTCTATCTCCTCTATTTTATCCAAACTAAAGTCTTGATACATTAAAGAAGACTCATATTGCCATTTTTCATCCACTGTTTTTTGGGTCTCATTAAAAACTTTATACGAATAATCATCTATAATTTGAAATTTATCAGCCTCAGATAAATCATCTATATTGGAACCCTGGAACTTTATTATGTAATCTTGAAGTTCACTCTCAGGTACAATATCCTCTACCTTATAGTTCTTGTTGATCTCACTAAACTGCTTAAAGTATTGAGCATACTGGTACAAAGGTGTTCTGATGTTGTCCAAATACAAAGAGAGCAATTCGTGAGAATTGCTATCAACTTCGCTCTCAAAGCTGATAGCTTTATCCCATAGGACATGTGAATTAAAGTTTTTGCCATTATACCGAAGTGCTAGTGTATATAGGTTCCTTATGTTTTGTATTTTTTGATCCAGAGTACCTTCATCGTCCTTACCAAGCTTAAAGTCTGAGATCAGAGCACTTAAATAGTCCACCCATAATTCAATCGAATAAGGAAACTCCACAACGGACTTCTCGAGAACATTTATAGATGCTTCAATGCCATCCAACTTGTACGCTAAGATCAGCCAATTCTTCCAATAAAATACCAAAAGTGGGAATCTATCAAGTAATTCCAGATAAGATTCATCAACAATGCGCTTGAATTCTGTCGTAATGTTTTTGTCCTTTTCTTCTCCATATAATTCTTCAAATTTGTCATTGAATGCTTCAAAGAGTAAATCCCATTTTCTTAAGTCGTTCGGTGATTGTTTAATATCTTTCTTTAACTTTTCGAAATCCTTAGAAATACGTAGTCCTTTAGATGAAATCTTCAGTTCCACTCCATGCCCTTTCTCTGACGGACTTGCTTTGAAATCTAGAGGTAACCGAAATGATTCCATTCTAGGTTGGAAAAGAATACTAATGAGAAATCATATTAGAAAAAAAAATGAGACTTCATATGTACAATATTTTTTAAAATGCACTGGTAGAATAATTGAACATGCTTAATCGTAAAGGAAGCGATAAGCATTCTTTGACCTACGTGTCTCCTTATTCCAAACCCGATCCTAATAAAAAGAACGTTTTATCTATTCTTAAACCGAGTTTGAATGGGGTGTTATCAGAAGATTTAAATTTCCAAAATAATTTTACAGTACCAGTTCTAAGAGATGTTGATGTATCACTGTCGATACTGCGAAATGACTCAAGATTATTAAGTTCCAAGGTCACTAGATATAGGTTGAAGGACCAGAATAATGCAACTGATTCTAATGTCACTGCTGAAACTGCTGACTTCGATATTGAAGGAAGCAATTTGAAAAAGTTTGTCGATGTTGACTCTTTTGTACCTAAGAATTTTAGAGAACAACTAACCACAGTGATAATTAAAGGGTTTCCAAATATTAAGAAAGGTCACATTGAGCAAGTTTTACTGATTTTGGCTCCATCTGAAAATTTTGAATGGTCCATCGTTGATTCGGAGTTAGTTGATCATAAGATGGTATTTTTAAGATTCGAGTCGATTGAACTGCTAAGGTCTTTTCAAGCAAACTACTCAACCGATATTAAGGATATACTTCGATCGACTGAGGCTGCTATAGTTGTGGACCCTTCGGTATATTCTTATATGGATTCAATTGATGGTGATGTACAAGTTGATAGTGACTTGCGTATACGGGCAAAAGATAAGATTCACTTTTATCTAGATAATCTCAAATCTCATGAAAAGCACCTTACTAGCGCTGGCACTGAAGATTTAGACGAGGTATTAAACTATTATTCTAACTATAAGATTGATGATAACGAATTGATAGACGTTCCAAGTTACATGAAGGATGTTATTATTAAAGATATTATTCGGTTCAGATCCAAAGTCTTGACTATAGAAATAAATAACCGAAAAAAGGAACTTGAGTCGGAAAGAATTAAAACGAGGCAGAAACTTAAAAGCATCTTCGAAGGTATACGAGAAGTGGGAGATGAGATTATCAGCGAGCCAGAGTTATCATCTGAAAGAGAGCCAATGGAAGTTGATGAGTTTGAGGATCTTAGTGAAGAACAATACCAGAACTATTTGGCTGAAAGACAAGTGGACGACGTAAATCGAAGATATGATGAAAGACTACGAGCTCTTCAAAAGAAGGAGACGGAAAAACAGCGTCTTTTCGAGCAGTTGAAATCTCTTGAAGGGTATGAGGACTATGTGGTCGACAACAAATTCAAATTCATTCAAGATTTAAAAAATTTTGACGAGTTCAGTGATATTTATTATACAAATCATTCAGCGTATCTAAAGATAAGGAATGTGCAACGTGTGAAAGAAGAACAGAAAGATCTTCAAGATAGAAAGGATGAGGAGAAGGAAATACAAGAAGAGCAGCATCAGCACACAACTTATAAGTTAGAGGTGGAACCTCTTTCTAAAATAAAAGGATTTAAGAATAATGATGGAACGGTTATACTGCAACTTTCGGAAACTCGCTTACGCAAGCTTAGAGACAAAATAACTGACTTGATAGACGAGTATTTAGGGATTAAAGATGAATTTTTGATACTGTTGATATATGACTCCTTAATGAAAACCAACCTCGATGGCAAAGAAAGTTTGGTTGAAGAGCTCAGTCAACCACTAGACGAGGATGCGAATACGCTAGTGAACGACTTATGGGAATTTATCAATAAACTTCTAGAGGAGTAATTGTAATACGAATGGGTATGGATATATCGTACATATCTATGTAATATAGGACAAAATGAAATGATAAATAGACCGAGAATAAAATGATCTATCACCTCTGTTTTTTAGGAACGCTATTAACATTTAATTTTGCTAGAATTGACCAAGTAACATACAGCGAGAATATTAGATTCATGAGTTAATAATCAAGATGACCAACCCAAAGAATTCGATGCATTGACTGGGTCAGAGATAGGAAAGCTTCTTGGATTCGAATGCTCTCCTGAAGAGGCACTTCCGTTGAGTATTGGTACAAATCTTGAGCTCTCATTAAGAGAGGGCGATGAAGAATTTCCTCCAAGCCTAGATTCGGAATCGGAAGGAGGTAATTCCACAGAACGGTTTTTGAACTTCTTGAAAAGCATAATTACCAAAGAAAGGTAAAGAGCACAACCTGCTGCTGCTCCGACGGCAATACCCGCAATTTTTCCTTTGTTAAATTTCATTTGATCATTCGAGTCCATGGAACCATTATTTGATTCACTAGTGCTGCTACTGGTAGATGATGAATCTCCAGTATCCAATCCAGTCAAAGGTATCCGGCTATCTATCAATTCGGCTAGATTCTTCTGAGTGGCTGCCGTATTTTGATACAAGTTTGATTGGGTATTTTGAACGAACTGTGCAAGCGCAGACACTGCACTCGATGGAAAATAAGTTTCAGCAACTGTAATTGTATAAGAAATACCAGGCGCCTTGAAAGGGATTAATCTGTTCACCGTGACATCTTTGAAAGAATCCTCATCGTCAAAAGGATACTTCAAGACACCAGGTAAATACTCAAATATTTGGGCCGATGACAATGAATGCAGAGCAACAAAAGGGTAATTGAGTTGAGATTTAAAGCCCACATAAACAAGCTCATAGTTTTTACCTGGCGCAGAAGTAGTAGCCGGTGTAATTGCCTTCGGTAAATTCGACGTCGGTATCAGGGTAGAACTTGCGGAAGAAGCCTGATCCGTGCCATGAGTCTTTGAAGGTTCCGGTCCTTGTGTTATTAAAGAAGTTGGTAACCAATTCGGAGAACTTGTAGCTGAAGCACCTGATTCAATGGCTCCTCCCGTTGGGGAAGGAGTAACTTGTGTTCCAAGAACTTCGGAGGCGCTAGCAATCGAAGAAGGTGCTGCCACTTCAGAAGCCGATGCCTGACCTCCTAACCCAGATTCTGATTGACTTGGGCTCTCGCTTAGTTGCGTTGTGCTCTCTAATTGAGAGAAATCTGTCAGCGCCTGTGAAATAGACCCGGAGGCTGTTGCGAAGCTACTTTGGTCCTGAGCTTGCGAGGTTTCGACTTGCAAATAAGATGAAGCTGAAGGGGAGGTTCCTTCTTGATATTCCGATGCAGCTGTTGATTCGGCTTGGAAAGTTGATGATACAGGAGAAATCGCAGTTTGCGAAGAAGAAACTACTGAAAATGACGGCTCTTGAGTAAGATCAGCTGTTGGAGCTGTTGAGATTTCGACTGCTTCAGAAGATAAAGACACCTCCTCTGGAGAAGAAGAGGGTACAACTGTCGAATATGTAGCACTTTGAGTTTCTGCAATCGTTTGACCCAGCATCGTCGAAGCTGGAGATAAAGTGCTGAATTCACTGATTGCTGAAGCAGTGGTACTTTCACCCGACAATATAGATGATAATGGAGCAATGAATTCGGAACTGAACAAGTCACTCGATGTCTCAGAACTTTGCTCAATGGAGGTCAAAACAGGCGTCACCAAACTCGAACTAGAAGCTGAAACAAGTGAAGCTGTTGATGTGGTGACCTCTGGATTCGACAGGTCGCTACTCTCTATCAAAACACTTTGACTTAAACTGGAATCTGTAGCACCAGTGGGAAGTACACTGGGCAGTCCAGTTGAACCAAGTGTCGTTGCTGTTAACTGAGTACTCGGATATTCTGAGCTTATGTCCCCTGATTGATATGCAGCGGTGACGGAAGAATAAAATGAGGTCTCGGATGGAGACTCAGTTGAAGTAAAATCTGAGCTCAAAGAATCAATATCTTGAGCCAGCGTTTCTGAAGTGGATGAAAATAAAGCAGACGTGGAAGAAACCAAAGACAGCGTGCTTTCATGCGTCAAAAGAGATGTGATAGAACCCGATTCAATCGTAGATGCATCAGCAGAAGTCGAGCTCAATGCAGTAGTCGTAGGCTCCACTTCTGTTTCACTTCCTCCAGTTGAAGCACTATCTATACTAGTAACAGATCCCACTTCAACAGTAGGCACTGATGATGACGTGACACTTGTAAGAAACGCAAATGGGTTATTTGTCGAGGAACTTTCAGCATATGATGACGTTCCTTTAACAACAGAAGTAGATGGTTCATTTGAAGTATTAGTTGTCTCCTCACTGGAAGTTGTCACGCTCGAAGCTGATTTTGAAGAGGTAGTGGAAGCATCCGTTAAGACCGAGAGTAAATCAGTAGAGCTTGGCACAGCATAAGTTGTACTAGCTGATTCTACGTTACTGCTCGACGTCTTGTCGTTCTCTTCGCCCTTTGAATCATCTGAGGACAGTTGGGTTGGGGCGGTAGCCGTAGGAGATTCTGTATCATGTGCCGTGCTTGAAGAGGAAGTTGTACTTGAAAGTAAATTCGGTATTAATCCAGTAAACCAATTTGAAGTACTCGTTTGTGTATCGTCTTCGGTTGTTCCTTTTCCTGATGTAGCATCAGTCAAGCCTACAGTAGTCGGGGATGTTGGTGAATCCAACGACGTTGATCGTGTCGATGAAGGCAGCGTTGTAGAACCTGTTGATGATGTTGAAGTCGAAGATGCTATCGGTGTTCTTGAAGTCGCGGATGCCGTTGATGCCGTTGATGCCGTCGAACTTGAAGAAGCTGTTGACGGTGTTGACAATGTCGAAGTTGCAGGTGTTGTTGAAGTTTCTGATGTTGACGGTGTCGACTCAGAAGTGAATGTTAGAGCAGCAAAAATGTTCTTCGACAGAGTTGTTGACATTTTAGTCGAGTCGGTTGACAGTTCTTCAGTAGAACTTGAGCTGGCCTTTCTAATATATTGGTTACCATCAGCCAGAGGGCTTGGCGTCGTCAGCAGCAGTGAAAATATTTCTTGAGATGACACGTACCTTTGAGAATTAGTAAAGTCACTATCACTGTCTTTATCATTTGAATGCCCCTGGGTATCACTATTATCATTCTTTCCAGATGACTTGACATTAAAAGCTTGACTAGATTCACCATTTCTTTTTACGATTTCATGATCATCAATCTTGAGATCAGATCTCTTTGAGTCAACATTTCCACTGACATTATGCACATAAGACAGCAAAATTAACAATGCTGCAAATGAAAACCTCATATTATTAATTTATTTTCTTTGATACCATAAATCTTTCTGAATAGATTTGATAAACCGAAAAAAACTAGTAGAAGTCAGCAAAATAAACAACCAAGTAAAGAGTGATGTTTTATAGAAAGAAAGACTGTAGTTAGAAATATCAATGAAACTCTAATAGAGTGTCAACTAATATTATTTCACTTGGATTATGTTATTTCTTGCTTCGTTGATTGACAACTAAGTTTCAGTAAATGAGTACGAAGTGTCAGAAATTACCTCGTTATTCGAAGTGCTCTTCAACAGTGAGCTGTAGATCTGTTGGTTTATTAGCGAAAGACCAAGGATGAGCTGAAAGTGCTCTTTATCTTTGTTGTTTTCTGGAAAGTTTATATGTGCCTTTATTTAATAAAAAAAAGAACGGGATAGAGGCTGTTATTAAGTTTGACGAGTCCCTTTTAGTTGGGGCTCAAGACAAAAAAAAACAAAAGAAAACAGTTTTTGTGTAACAATTTCCTTCTAAAACAAATTTTCTATTGTTTACGACCTTTTGATCCTCGAGTCAAGATGGAACAGCAGTAGATAGTAACTGAGTCTAAAACAGACAGCTTCAAAGTCAGCCTATTTGAGAATTAAGATTTGACTGACTCGGTAGATTAAAAGGAATTCTATATAGGCTCCTGTTATTGACACCTAAAATTGCAGGGAGTGCGATTGCCAGAAGACACTTTTGATATTAATAGATCTTGCCATTCCCCGGCAGTTTCCTTTTCTTAAATAGTGATTTTACGGTTATGTCTAGAATACGTAAAATAAACAGAGTGATCCTAGATCAGTCTGCCGGCGAGCCGATAGATGAGGATGACCAGGAAAACATATTGAAAGACATCGGAGCAGAAAATAATGAAAGCTATAAGCACTACACACGAATCTTATGCTGCTTGTACATCTCTGAATTCATTCTAGTATTGGTGTTTAAACATAACAAGATACTTAACGTTTTTGTAAATTCTTCAATAGCAATGAGTCTTGTTAGTGTGAACCAGAGCATCCATCTTGGACGTTATCAAGGTAGTATAGAGTATTGCAATTGGGGACTTGCCACTTCTCTTGTACTTTACTTTTTCAAAGCTCGGCTTAATCTATCAAGTTCTCACTGTTGGCTTCCTTTGTTCAATGTTATGAACGCGAGCACTGTTAAACGATGGCACGCAAGAACGAATGGTGACATTCGTCAACTAGGAAATTTGAAGTACAAGTATAAGAGCGTGTAGAAGACCTATACATGGACAATAGATCATTGGAATCTAATCACTTGATCTCTTTAAACTTACTAGGTTTAGCTTAAGCGATGAGTCTAGTTCAGGGGAACTAGATCCATCCGGAAGATATTCTTGTTGGACATTCCCTGTATTGTAAAAGCGCGTTTTCGCATCGAGAACAATTTCAGGCACGGACAGTAAAAAAAAAAAAAGTGTCATGCGGCGAAAGAAAATAAAAAAAAAATTTTAACATACTAAAGTGCGCATAAGGGTCGAACTTAGGTGGATAATTAAATTTAATGGGGACGGATGAGGGGATGCAAGAACAATAGTTTCGCAAATCTATCTATAGTTTTTTATTTTGATCTCTTTAAAATAGACATGAAGTTCCCCACTTTATATTCTCTATTATTTAAAAATATAATGTGGTTAGCAACACTCCCATTTTTTTGTATTGTACTACTGAATAATAGATTGACCTTGACAACGTGTCTTTCAATGTGTTCTATAGGCTGAATTCATCTGCAACAGAGCAAACTTAGAGATCTTCATATATCAAATTGAGTCGATTCAGACAGTTCTATTTTAATTATGTAAAATGAGCTTGTTGAGCTGAGAACGAAAAGTTAAAAGAGCTTCTAAGAGAAAACTTTTGATATTTTTGCAACATTTTAACTCATTTAAGAATAAGTCTTTTTTTTGGGTAACGATTACACTGTAGCTGTGTAATAGAACGAGTAGTACCTAATTCACGATTATTTATGAATCTAAAGAATAGTGAATGAAGGAACGATAGCATCTTCTTGATAACTTTTCATTTTTCTTCTGTTCTTTTCAAACTAAAGCAAATTCATATTCCTTATTTCTTCCTCGTTACATGATAAGCTACAGTTGAAATAAATCACGGCTACAAGTATGCTACAGTGACAATCAAGATTTGACTTGGTGTTTCGTAAACATTAATGTCAACAATCTAAGAGCGTTAATTGCAACCAGGTTAGCAACTTCCTTCCTTCTCCAAAGGTGTATTTATCTTTCCGAACTCGCTTATCCCGAGCCATCCTAACAAAAGTGAGACTTGCACACGACCTACACGTGCGTTTACTCAATAATTCTATAGATAGATATCCTGTACGACATTAGCAATTCAGGGTACGGGTAGCAAGCTACAACTGTTCTCATGCGATTTGAGGGTTCTAGCCATTCCAAGAAGAGTTTTAGGTAGTTGTGCCACATCCTTAGAGCCATAATTTTAGGAAGTAATCAAAGTCCTCTTACTGTGCAAGGTATGGCATTAATGTGTCATCAGAATCCTAATAATGTATAGATAACAGGTGTGTCAAAGCCACCTTTGTTTTCTCTGACAGGGCTAGCACGACATGACTCATATCAAAAAGATCTGTACTCACCACTTTATTGATGTCTCATATCCCGGATTTCATATTACGGTTCTTAAGTCTAGAAGTCACCAGCCACTAAGTTCGGAACTGCTGACACTATGCTGCGTGTTCGATAGTGGTACTGAATAATTCGGGGAGTCCGTGGCAGCCGTCAGTGCCCTAGCGCCTTGGCGACTCCCACACAAAATTTCCACAGGATAATCCCCACTAGCCCAAAAAAAGTGATTAATTTCTCCACCTAATAAACCACAGAATGCACTAGAACACACGGAGATGTAACTAAGCAAATCCTCCGAATCTGGGACACTAAGGTTTCGAAAGCTTTGCCTATGCATAGATGCTTAGATGCTTAGATGCGTACATAGCTGGATACCTAGAGCAATTAAGCATGTGCATAACCACAAATCATTTGTGACAGTAGCCGTAACCAGCGCGCTAATATTTTGCCTACCACGGTTTCTCCATCGCCACGATGTCACGGGCCCACCACGATGCCTATGGACCACCACGGTGTTCTCTGAACCACTACAGTGCGTATTGCCTCCCAACAAGGCACAATGCAATTACGACCTGTAGCACGCAGAAAGATTCTGGTACTCTAGACGTCACTATCTTTTTTAGTCACACAATAGCATAGCTTCCCCAATATTTAGAATTCTAAACAAAAGCTCCGACACGGACGTTAACTTCCTCCAGCATTAAAATCTTCTTCCACACAAAAAGTTTTTTCTTGCCCACTCTTTGTCGCTTTATGATGCAACCACTATAGCGATAATGGACTTGGATGAGAGGGGCTGCTCGCCACAATGTCTCGGATGCTGTCTCCACCCTTCATTATTCCCGACCACGGAAGTTCCCCCGGAATACCTCCCACATGTTTCAAATAATGCTTAGAAAACATGGCTTCTTTGCACAGTTGTGTTGACCGGATGTGTCATTTGTTGACTAATGGCTATCACAGACTTACTTAATACAGATAAACCGGATAGACCTTAGACAAAATTACAAATTTGTCCTATACATAAAGGAGGTTTCGTATGCGCCACATGTTTGACCGTGTTCGGAACTCATTTCTACACTAAAAATTTTCAGGTGATGACGCGAATTCACTGTGGGTTAGGTATGAATCATTGCAAAACTTATTGCTCATTCTCAACACATATAAAATTATAAATTACACACGTATCGCTGAAAATTTCTGACATCTTTTCAAGTTACAAATACATAGAATAATTTTATAAGTGTCCCAAACTTGGTTATTGGAAAACAGTACCAGATATTCGAGTATTATTAGCATTAAATACATACTGAGCGCTGAACTTAGCGAATCACTTAATTCAAGATAGTTGTCCAGAAAACTAAATAAGATTAATACTTAGCAATTACCAACCATTTGGCATTTTGAAAGAACACAAGATGACGGATTTAGCATTTAACAATTACTGTTTGAGCTGTGACAAGTTATGTTCACATAACATGGTCTACTGTTCGGAAGAATGCAAAATGGCGGACGAGCAGCAGTCAATATTCAGGGACCAGTTCCAGAATAATACAGCAAATCAGAATTCAAGTGAACAAAAACTTGTATCTCCTTTGTTGACGCCGTCGTTACAGCATTATAATAACTATGTTTTGAGTAACCAGCAATTAATTGACTCACCATTACTGTTACCAGTTAGTGGTTATTCCTACAATAATCTCGATTTCAATGAAAAGGAGAATGATGACTTGGATTCCACTAGGCTTGACTTGAACTATTCAGTTCATTCAAGTAATAACACATTATCAGAACGATTACCCTCGACATCTCATAATTACCGAAAGTGGTTAACAGCGTGTTTATGAACACTATAAGATACCCAGGTCTGAATTTAAGACCAATGAAGAATTTTAGGATGGTGTACGTCGCTAACTATGGTACGAGATTTACGAAAAAAAGAGAGTTGGTTTTCTGACTCAATTCAGTTTATGATAAAAAAAATTAATATTGGGTTATGCTTAAGGTTGCTGGTTCTTAGCAACTACTTTAATAGAGGCTAAATTTTATAGATACAAATTCACAAATGCACATATTTTTATACATTACATGAGTTCTAGTTTTTTGAGAATTGAAGGATCCTACATATCAGTTAATACCAGTTCCGGGCCATGGCTTACAGGAAAACTTTTTTTTTTGAAGAGCGCCGCTACGAAGGGTCTTCATACTATATTTAGTTTGGAGTTGCTGCTTAACTATCAGCACTAATTTCTTTTTCTTTTTCTATTTGTGGTACTAACAGGGCATATCAGCTCGTGTTCACTGCCACCGACCTAGGCCCTGTTATTAAACATGAGCAAGTTTTGCATTGTAAGAATGGAAGGCAACAAGGTGCTTGTACTTGGAGCATACCGGACAAGCTCATTTTTCGGAAGTTGCACTTTTCTTGTCGTGTAGCATATTTTACCTTTCGTGAGAAGAGCAATATGCAATTCCCATATAGGTTATTTACGTTTTGCGGCACTCGCACCCATCTACTAATGAAGATCATTTGGTGCATTTAATTCTAGAATAATCGTTCTAGAAATAAGGCATGTATGGAAAACTTTTATAGGGGTGCTAGGATTGCTTTCAATATCGTACCTACAGTCTGTGAAAACTTTACAGACTTCAAATAGTAGCGGTAAAGAGAACATTTGACATATAAAAAAAGGTATTCGCACACACACGCCCTGGAATCCTGTTTTCAAAGAAAAAAATTAAATCTGAAACCTATGCTAAGTTCCTAGTAGACGGTGATTTAGAGGTTTGGTTTAACTTTCGGAGCTAGAATTTTCATTAATGTTCGGAGCATTTAAGTCATCGGTAATCGTACAAGGTGGCTACTTGTGGAAAGTGGCACCTAGAATGTCACCGCCCCAAAAATTGAGGTTGAGGAGAAGAATGAAAATGGTTGACAACAACATAGAGATATTATTTAACTCTTTGAAAACTGTGGATGGGCAGACTGGATACAATAAGATTGACTACTTGAAATTTCAGCTTCCCAAAGAACATGAAATGACACCTAGAAATAAATATACAACCTTCGACAAGAAAGAAAAGGATTATCGCAAATCAGTCCACAGAGTACCCAAATGGACCAAGTTATCCTTCAGGGAAAACCCTAAATACTATTAAGATTCTGGGATACAAAAAATACTAGTTAATAAACCTGATTTACATGTAAGCCTTGGAAAATGCATTCTTGGTTCATAAACGTATCAATGTACGTGTGAACTAGGAAAGCAATACTTGAATTTTATTAGATGGAGGACGAAAATGAAAATTATTGTACATAGTCATTGCTTTATTCATTAGTAATATACATTTCTGAAAAAAATCGCTTTCCTGTTAACGTGACGTGAATTGAAGTAGAACAAGATTTTTTTTTATATGGATAAAGGCTCAGTCCAATCTATCCCAAATATAGTTTGATATGAAAAAATCACTATATTTTTCATCAACTCTTAGCATACTTGACATGTCTGCTTCTTTGTTGTATATAATTATTTGGTCTTTATCTCGACCTTCCAGCAGGTCTGAATCGAAGCTTTCTACTTTTATGCCCAAGTTTCTGTATATATTAATCTTCAATATCTTCGAGTCTTGGTTGATTGTATTGATGCTAGAATTTATTAGGTTGTCGAACTTTATTTTCAACTCTTCAATTTGGTGTTCCAACGTGTTCTTATTTAAATTAAGGGAGTTGATAGAACTTTCCAAATCATTTAGATTTTTAGCCAAAGATACCTTCATATTATCCAACTCAACAGATTTCTTCTTCAAAGCCTTGAAAATATTATCCTTTTCGCCCTTACCAAGAGTCGATTCGTTACCCAACTTACTTAAAATTTCGTAATTGTAATCGCTTATCTTTTGTAGAACATCCATCTCATTTTTCAACGAATTTAGCTGTTTACTGAGTACCCTTACATTATCTTGAACCGTTGCTATCTTGTTTTGTCTTAATTGCTTTGTAGAGCTAATAGTCTCTTCGATTCTTTGCAAAGTCAATAATTCAGGTTCAATCTCGATACTATCAATTGACTTTTGTATTATTTCATCTGGGGACCCATGATACAACATTTCTTACCACCAGGTCCTTCTTATGTTTAAATACTCTTCCTAAATAGTTATTTTATTGTCCAAGTTATTCTATACCTTTGTTTACATAATAGTTTTTTTTTTGTTTTCTATACGGGTAGAAATTTAAGGGTGACACAAAAAGATTATTTCAAAGATTACATCTCAGAGTAGTATCAAACTGCTGAACTTGAACATAATACGTATGGTGGCATGGCGAAAAAAACCTTTGATGAAGTTGAGCTAAAAAGCAACCCCAATTTACCTCCTTGGATCTTAACTCCAAAAGAAGAACAGTTGATTTTTGAGAGATGGAGAAAAAAAGCATTTGCTAGATGTGACGACCTTATCAAAGCTTACATCGAGTGCAGCAATAGCTATCAACATCCCATAGAGGCTTATAGGAAATGTGAGGAAGCAAACAAAAGATCGACCGGCTGTGTTACTAATTATCAAAGAGTCGAATATCTTGATGATGAACGGGACATATTGATTAAGGAAAAGTTGGAGAAGAAAAAGAACTTTCAAAAGTAGATTAATAGAGGATTTATTTGAAAGATTTGTGATGGAGATCGCATGTAAATAGCAATATACTTTATTTATGAAGATACAGTTTTATTAACACCCAGATTTCGGCCAGCGCGTTCTGAGATTGACTTAAAATACTTCTTTTGAACTTGACTTGCACGGCCCATCTTTGTTCCGCACTATGTTAATCATTAGAAAAGCTATGTAGACGCTGGAATTATTGATGAAGCTTCTGCATTTGATTCATAGCTTTAAAAAATGAAATCAGTCGAGTTTAGGATGAGCTACCTTAGCTAATTAGTCTGACTCTTGGGGCTCATTGAAAGTATCGCTTTCAAAAACAGCATGACTTGCCATAAAGAAGGATCCATGAATCTTTCCAATCTTCTCAATAGCATTATATTGTGCCGATGTAACTGTGATAAGATCTTTGAAGTCACATAGGTTCGCATGTAGTTGGGCTAACTGTGAGTTCAAATGGCTTAGTTGTCTTCGTCTAACTGATGAGTGAGAATCAGCAGACTCCAGGGAAAAGCTTGTAGCTCTCATTAGTGTCAAATACGAGTTGTTTAGTGTGAGCTTTCTGTGCCTTGATCGGCATTAAGATTGTTTGTTGATTTACATGCATCCCGCGAGAACCGTTTTCCGAGTTCATTTTATTGTACAAGACTGAAAAAAAAAACCCTCATTCTCTTCTGTATCGAAAAGACTTGAAGTTATCGAATAATTCGGTATTAAAGCTTCTCCTAGAAAGATTCGAAGCTTAATTTTAGGACAAAACTTTTGGACAATATATATTTAATCAAGACTGGAAGAGTTGAATGAAAATAACGTTTAATCTCTGAACTCGGATCACAATCAAGGAGAGACTCAATATTCACGAACTTCTTACAAAAATTGGCTATTGAATAGTAGCTCTATGGGTTTAAGTGGTTAAATACAGAAAAGTTTTTGACACTTGCTTGGTTCCATAGACATAGCATCTAAAGGCCAATAGCATTTTTGTTGCACAAATTCTCGCAGAGTCGATATATTTGAATGTGATAGACTTTATTTACGATGGTGGTAGAGAAAGCAAATATAAACATAAGAAAGGATGGAGTTCCTATAGAAAGGGATGCCGGTGCTCTGCGATCTCCGGCGGATTTAACAAGTCCTAATACTATGAATTTTGATTCGAACAGGAGTCTTGCTGGACCCAAGACCCACAAAACCCATCATACTATTGCCATTAAACCGAAGCCAGTTCCAGTTGCAGTTTTGCCTAAGCCGGCGTGCCCAAACCTTGCAGGAAGTCTGACTTTGGGCTCTTCCCCCACATCCTTAAGAAATAGTATATCTTTGAAAATCAATACTTCAAAAAAGTGGGTTCTACCACCTCGGCCAAGGCCTGGAAGGAAACCCACGAATGTGACGCATGAGGATAATAGCGCCAAAAACCAGAGCTCTACTGAAATAAGTACTTTAGGATTTGAAAACAGTGATAAGACATGCCCCAAAAAGAAAGTGAAAGTGTTGAACGCGTCTTGTAAATCACCCCCCTCTAATGGCGCCAACAGGCAGATCGTAAATCAATCAATTCAGCAATTATACAACAGTGGTAAACAAAAAATCGTTCCTGATACTTCTATCAATGGCACTGAAACAATCGCATCAATTAGCGAAAGAACAACGATATCTCAAGTTGGCACCTTTAAGGAAAAAGTGCAGACTGAAGATGATTCCGAATTGATTGAGTTGAAGAAGACTTACTTATCGAAACTTAAGGAACAGGAATTGATCAAAAACTATATTGATGTCATTGGTAATCAAATCAAAGAATTAAATTTTGTGCAAAATGGAGTAATTACTTTTGATGCATTAAGTAGTGAAGCTGGTATTCTGAAAACGGCTGATGAAGAAAATGGAACGAAGAAAGTGAACACTTATGAACAGCTAGAACGAATTAATAATATCAATGACTTAAATAAGTTTTTGAGCTACTTGACAAAATCATCTGACATAATAAGAAGCGTAACTAAGTCATTTCTCGGAAATGAAAAGGGTGGATTAAATGAACAGATAAGAAATTACTTGGAAATGAGGTCAAAGTATAAGGTGTCAAAAGAGCAAGAAAATAGGAAATTTGGACTCTCAAGGGCAACGCAAAAAGGACATGAAACAAAGACTACCAAGACTGCTGATAATTTTAAGGGACTGTCACTTATAGGTTCAGTTCCACTCAAAATGAATACATCGTTCACACCTAACTTATTGAAGCCTTTGAACCAATCTATAACAATTGACTCTGATGACGAATTGAATGAAATATGGAATAATAATGACTTAAGTTGTAACTTTGAATTGACAGACGAAGACTTAATGATGGATAAATTAATCTTGAGAAATGATAATGAAATTTTGAATGAACCTGGCCAAGATGCTAATAGCCATTCTGCAGCACCAGAAGTACAAGTTGGCAATGCCAAGAATAATGTTGATATAAAGCAAAACGTACCTAAGCCTTTAAAAAAGGATCCCAAGTTTAATTGTGGGTTCTGCTCCATCGATGGGCCGTGCCTTTGTATGGAAACCGATAGCGATCTTAGTAGATTTAAAAAGACGTGAAGTAGTGAAATATATATACTCAATAAATATTCATAAATACTAAGTGATACTACGCCGTGAATTGTCTCTGTCGCTATCACACTATCGAATATATTGACTAATAAATAACTAAATTGATTACCACATGCTAACAAAGATTATATTCATTTAGAAGAAAGCCAAGTAAGTTCCGAAGAGAGTAGTAGCTGCCAATACTATGTAACCAGTTCTGTATACACCTTTAATGGTCAACTCCTTTCCCAAATCCCAGACCAAATGTCTTACACCATTAGTAACGTGAAAAGCAAATGGATATGCCATAACAGCCTTCGCACCAAGCTTAACAACAAAGGGTAAAGAAGCAAAGAGACCAACCAATGTGGATGAATCAAAAGGTATGTTCAAAATAGACGTTGCTGCGTAGGTACAAGTTAATGCATAGAAAGGAAAAGCCATGGCAACCCCCGTAATTCTGTGAAGACCAGACAAGACCCAAGTTAATTGAGGCTGATAAATTTGCAAATGGGGAGATGTGGGTCTGTTCTTCCTTTGGGCTACCAAGATATCTTGCTCCTGACCATCAGTAGTCTTCATGGTTGCAATAGTCCTAAAGGCATTCCTGGCAAAAGTTGGTCTTACGACTTGTTTTGAGATCGCTATTTAAGTTAGTAAAAGTTCAAGTCAGCTCGATTTTAGTTCACTTGATATCACATACGTCTAGTTAATCCTAATCCTACGCGGAATATCATATTACTGAATTTTTATTTTTCTGTTGTAAAGTTTAACAAAGTAATATATAACTTCTCTTTGACTGGAGCGATACTACAGTATATACTCTACATTTTTGGTTTTTGTGTAACTCCGGGAGGTGCCTTCTAGAATCCAGCCAATAAAATGCTTTTGAATTATAATACTGGAAGCTATGTCCCGGGGTTCTTCTTTTTAAACATTGAATAGTGCAATAGTAAATATAAATAGATATTTCGGCATATTAGACGCTTGCGCTCATTCTTAATCAAATGTTATATATTTCTGAGTCCTTATTTCGACAAACCATAGAGATATTACAATATAAGCTTTTTGTTTAACCGCGAAAAGAAACAGGTATCTTGTGAGATGTCGTGATGTCGCGATGTCGCTTATTCACTTTTTGGTAATTTTTTTTTTTTGTCGTTTGTTAGTTACGCAGCCCTTTCATGGCAATCTCGAAACTGTAGATACGTAAGAATAGGTCTTTCATAGCTATAATTTTAGTTGTGACTATTGGCGTTTGCATCTGCAGCTTTCTAACTTTACAATATTCGAGTGGAGTCCACAGGCAAAGTATGCTCTTGCCAGTGAGAGAAACAGGAAGTCAAAAAGAGGAGGATACTTATACGCTTCGTGGCAATAGGAAAGAAGGGTGCCACAACGAAGTTGACGATAGGAATCTGAAGACGGATGCTCAAAATTCTGAAATGAATGTTACGGATTTTAAGCATGAAGTAGTAGAAGACCATGCCTTTGAACAAATACAAGAGAACAGGAAGACGCATAGCGGAGAAAACATTAGTGATACTGTTTGCATAGGAGAAAATAACCAACCAAGCGCTATGACACCCCCTACGATGAATTCAGATGACCAGAAAGACAAAGTTACGAGTGCAGTAGATAGTTCAAATGAACATGTCAATTCTGAGCATATATACTCTAATGATGATGAAAACGCAAGCAAAAGCGTAACACCAACCGCTAATGAGAATGACAACGAAGAAGATGATGAAAATGATAACGAAATATCTTTAGAGACATCCGCTGACTTATCATTCAAGAAAAAAGAAGTTAATAGGAATCGAACACAATCTTTCCAGTCCGTTTTATCCACTGCATCTTTAAAATCTTTGAAGCAACAATTTACCAACGGCAATACGAATACCACCATAAACAAGCCTCAACTTGCGAGAAATGGTAGTATTGTAAGCAACAGTGGTCATGTAAACAATACAAAGAACTTTCAGTCTTTCATACAGGCACCAGTATTATCTAGCATATCCAACTTGAAGACCACCGATGATGATTTGGAGATTGGAAAACAGCTTCCATTCAAAAATGACGTAGAAGCATCACAGGAAAAGGAATCAGAAGTACTGAATGATGACGTTGATGAAGATTATGACGATAAGGATACTATCCTTCAACAGCAAAGACTTACGTTGAACGCTTTGAAGAAATTAAGCTTATCACCGATGCCTATAATAGACTTAGATAATGGATCTAAATCAAGGGCCGTCTCTCGTAAGGGATCTGCTGCCAAACTAGAGAACAGTGATAAAAGAATGAAAAACTCAGAGCCTTATCAGCCAGCCGAAGTCGATTTATCAACTTTTGCGAGTCTTACGAGACAGCCTCATGTCGAGAAGCCAGAGATTCATGCTCCAAACGGTCGAGAAATCAGCCCAAAGTCGGTAAAAAATTTAGAGACCACTACTGATACATCAAACGAAAGTCTCAAATCTAAAATCGAACACCCTATACAGCTGTACTCCAACCACGCAAAATTAGCGCGTGGGGTCCAGCCAATGCCAGAAACATTTTCAATTCCTAGACGAAATGATTCCTCTGATAATATGAATAAGAATTTTAAGGCTGCGGAGAGAATGAGGGGACAATATACCCTGTCAGACGCAGTTGATAGAAATGCTGGGCACACGAGCAGTAATGTTGCGCTGAAAACTATTCAAATGCAAAATAGCCAAGAGGACAAGTCTCTTCACCATCGTGATCTTGAACGGTATCGTGCTCTTTCTCTGCAATCAAAGTATCATCAGAAAGTACAAAGTTTGCAGGGCCAGTATCATGAGCATAATTTGAATGCTTCTCAGAAGAATCCAGCCCGTGTATTTATGCAGCCCGAGCCTAGGAGGCGGCTACAACAAATAAATGGATTCAGGAGCCCAATGTATATTCCTGCTGTCCTTCGAATGACTTTAAACAATGGGCTTAATTCAGGTAAATCAGCATCGGAAAGCAATCTCGGATCAGTACCAAATTCACCGATTGATTCAGCTTTAGACTCACCATCCCCTGTTGACTCTCAGTATTTTAAAACGAATACTGATCCGAACATTGTTACTAAATCGTCGAAAGATTCTATCAAGTCCGTAGAGTCTACGCCATCTGTGGACTCTGCACGTTCAACAAGTCCAGGGAGATCATCTGTATATATAGGATCTTTTAAGCTTAGGAACCAGGATATAACAAGAGCTCCTACAAAAAAACATTGGCTCAAAGATGAAGCTGTATACAAATGTGGTATTGAGTCATGCCCTAAAGTTTTTAATTTTTTTGAAAGAAAACATCACTGCAGAAAATGTGGCGGAATTTTCTGCAAAGAGCATACCTCCCATTATTTATACATCAATCATCTTGCCCAATTTACGACAGGGGGAAGAGGTACTCTCTCTAAGGTCTGTGACAATTGCATCCATGAATATAATGAGTTTATGAACCATGAATTTGGACTAGCAAAGCCTGAAGCAGCTCATCAACCAGTTATAGAGTCCAATAAGAAAAAAGACTCAACTGACATCTCTAACGGACATCATGTGCATCAAAATTCTTACTCCAGAAAATCTGATAATAGAAATGAACAAGTTGTGGGAAGTGTTCCAGCCAATTGGAGCTGGAGCTCATTTTAAATCAGATTCATTTAATATTTAATTTAGCAGTGATTATTTGAAACTATGTAGACATAACTGGTGCAAGAATTATATAGATTAAGTTGAGCTATTGCAGCTTCTCTGTTTGTGCATTTTTTATATGGTGTGCATATACGCAATGGATTTTTCACCTAGCGAAATAAAACACCGTGTTTGGAATATTAGTCGGCCAAGAATCGACTTGAGTTGATAGCTTGACACTTTACTCAAAATGACAGTACTGAAGCCTCAAATCAAGGTGTTGGGCATCAATGTTGAGACAATTCGTCTATTGCTACAAGTAATTATATTTATTTCTATCGCTGGCGCTGCAATTTCATCGAGATTGTTTTCTGTAATAAGATTTGAAAGTATCATACACGAATTCGATCCATGGTTCAATTTCAGAGCTACAAAGTATCTCGTCACTCACTCATTTTATGAGTTTTTGAATTGGTTTGATGACCGGACTTGGTATCCATTGGGAAGAGTAACAGGTGGAACATTATATCCTGGATTGATGGTTACCTCAGGTGTTATTTGGCACACTTTGAGAAACTGGTTCTCTTTGCCCGTCGACATTAGAAACATATGTGTCTTACTTGCTCCTGCGTTTTCAGGCATAACTGCTATATTCACATATTTTTTCACGAAGGAAATGAAAGATTCCAATGCGGGTTTGTTGGCAGCGATATTCATGGGCATTGCTCCTGGTTATATTTCCAGATCAGTTGCAGGGTCATATGATAATGAGGCAATTGCAATTACCTTATTGATGGCAACTTTTTACTTTTGGATAAAATCTATGAAAATAGGATCGGTCTTCTATGCAACCTTAACAGCTTTACTCTATTTTTACATGGTTTCAGCCTGGGGAGGATATGTTTTCATAACAAATTTGATTCCATTGCATGCTTTTGTTTTAATAATTATGGGCCGTTATAATCCCAGATTATATACGGCTTATACTACATGGTATTCCTTAGGAACGTTGGCATCAATGCAAATACCTTTTGTTGGCTTCCTACCAATACGCTCAAATGACCATATGGCTGCTCTAGGTGTATTTGGATTAATACAGTTGGTTGCGTTTGGTGATTATGTTAGATCAAAGGTTCCATCTGATCAATTCAGAACTTTTTTGGCTATATCTGTGTTCATCGTAACGGCACTTGGAGTGGGTGCCTTATCCCTTTTAACTGCGTTGGGTTGGATTGCACCCTGGACAGGACGTTTTTACTCCTTATGGGACACCAATTACGCTAAGATACATATTCCAATTATAGCATCCGTGTCAGAACATCAGCCGACCGCATGGCCAGCTTTTTTCTTTGACACAAATTTGCTTATATGGCTTTTCCCGGCTGGAGTATACTTTTGCTTTCAGGAATTGAAAGATGAGCATGTTTTTGTCATCATTTATGGTGTTTTATGTTCTTACTTTGCCGGTGTCATGGTGAGACTTATGTTAACATTGACGCCTATTATCTGTGTTTCGGCTGCTATTGCATTATCCACTTTGTTCGACGTCTATCTCAATATTGTTGATCTTTTTAATTTCAAATCAAATCCAGCTAATGACAAGCCTAAGAAAGCCTCTAAAGAAGCTATTAAATTTCCTGTATTCAAAGTACTTTCCAAGTTGGTTGTTGTTTTGTCTTTTGTCTTTTACCTATTTTACTTTGTTTGTCATTGTACTTGGGTAACATCGAATGCGTATTCATCACCTTCGGTTGTTTTAGCTTCAAGGGGTCCTGATGGTTCCCAAACAATCATAGATGACTATAGAGAAGCTTATTACTGGCTAAGGATGAATACTCCAGAGGATTCCAAAGTTATGTCATGGTGGGATTATGGATATCAAATTGGAGGAATGGCCGATCGTACAACTTTGGTAGATAATAACACTTGGAACAACACTCACATAGCTACAGTCGGGAAAGCTATGTGTTCTTCAGAGGACGTTGCATACAAGATACTAAGACAACATGATGTCGATTACGTGTTGGTTATATTTGGAGGCTTATTGGCTTATTCAGGTGATGACATCAACAAATTTTTGTGGATGGTAAGGATTGCTGAAGGGATCTGGCCCGATGAAATACATGAAAGGGATTTCTTTTCAGATGCAGGTGAATATAAGGTTGACGCTCAAGCTTCAAAAGCTATGAGAAACAGCTTGATGTATAAAATGAGCTACTATAGATTTGCTGAATTATTCAATGGCCGTGATGGCGTTGATAGAGTGAGGAACCAACAGATTCCTGCTACTAACCCTCCTGATTTAAGTGTTCTTGAGGAGGCATATACGACCCAAAATTGGATCGTAAGAATATATAAGGTGAAGAATCTTGACAATGTTGGTAGAGATTTACATCAAGCTAGTGCATTCGAAAAACAACTGCTGAGTCCTTCAAAGAGAAAGAGAATTGTCAAAAGACCAAATTTACCGTTAAGGGAATAAAGCTTTATATTTAGCAATATATATAGCACGTATTTGGAGTCCGCGGGGAACGAAAATGATCATAAGAGCATCATATGAGTGCTTTATATACAGTCTTTCTGGTATATATAACTTGAGCGCTGTCTGCAAATAAGATTATTAATAGTAATACATATTTAGGATTCAAAATGACTGCGTTACTTGATTTAGAGGGACATTTAGTATTTTATCGGTCTTATCACAATAATCATAAAAATGTTTCTATTCATGTTTGCTGCATTCCCGTGATTTTAATAACAGCGATTGGCATCTTGTCACCAGTGGAACTTTTCGGTAACTTTTACCCGTATATTAATTTGGGCTCGTTACTAGCGTTAACCTATGGCTTATACTATATTGCATTAGATTGGAAACTTGGAACTCCAAGTGCTGTTTTTTTACTTTCTGTTGCATATTTACTCAAGCTGGTTTACCTTGACTTAGGTACTTCGTCAGAAGAATTCACTAAAACTCATTTTATTTACACTTGCGTATCACTCCACGTTCTTTCGTGGTTGGCGCAATTTTATGGGCATTTTGTTTATGAAAAGCGTGCTCCTGCGTTATTGGACAATCTTTTGCAGGCTGTAGTATTAGCACCCTATTTTGTCGTTTTTGAGCTTGCATTTTGGCTCGGTTACAGATTGGACTTAAAAAAATCTATGGATAATAGGGTTGGAGTTTTAATTAGAGACTTGAAGCTAAGAGAAAAGGCTGCACATGGACAATGATAGTCTCACTTAAAGTGTTGGCGACTTATACCTTGTGGTTAGAACTTTGAGATTTATAGTGATCGTACTTCGATTTCACATCTTGTTCGTAAATATACGTTCCTTGCAACTGATTCCCGATCGTCAACCACCCTGGTCTTATGTTGTGGTCTCTACCAAAAATTTCCAATTTTCTTGAGTGCTTCCCAACTATTCTTTCTACGATATCGTAAACTTCATCAGGCTTTCGTGAAGTTTCTCGTGTCCCACTTACAATTACATCCGTATCTATCTTTCTGTTTAACCAATAAGGGTTACCCTTGATTCCAACTAGCAAATGCTCCTTTGAATGATTGAGCCAGTGTCCAGTTCTTCCTGTTACAATTGTTCTTTTTAACTGGTTCAATTTAACCCATATCATTTCATCCGAACATTTATATCCCCACTTCAGGAGGGCCTTGCGTCCTATTTCGATAGATCTTCCTGTGACCCAAAGCAAAATGATTCCTTCATCCTGCAATTCATGCATCGGTAAGGAGAGCAACTCGAAATCTTTACACGTTCCATATGGTAATGACATATGTATATCCCAAGCGGGATCAGAAATAATGACTGCAAACTTTCCTAGGATCAGAAAAGGAAGATATCTGACGTCGCAGTTGATCCACTGCGCAGGTATTTGTTCTCTGCAATATTCTGTGAAACATTCTCCTATAGTATATTCATAGTTTGATGCTTGCTCTTCCTTAGAGACTTTGTCTTGTAAATGAGGTGGCTTTAAGGTGTAATAATGTAAATACCGACAGGCTTTCATTTTATGACAAGTATCAAGGTAAGAACAATCACCCAAATTCATATCAGTATTATTATTCAACACAGGTAAATAATGAACTTTTGTTTGACTACACTTAAAGATTTCCCGAGACATCAAATGTTGAAGCAGATTCAACTTTTGCTGAATCGTCTGATCGCTTGGGAAAGCATTTCTCGTCCCTTGTTGACAGTAGTCCTTCTTATTGAAACAAATACTCGAAAGTGTACTGTTGTGACTAGTGTCGTTACAGATCTCAGAGAAGCGTTTCCTGGATACCTTTAAAGCAGCTTTTTGCTTTGCAAGGTGGTCTCTTGATGAAGGTTTCTTCAAGATATCATTCAATAGAGAAAAACTTACGTTAAATCCATTATCTATAACGGCACCATTAGTGAAGTCGACTTTGATTTCCGAAAACAAAGGTTTCTCTAAGAAGTCGAGGAGAAGACGATCTGGTTTTTTCTTAAGATCCTCTTCTGTTATCATTTTTGAACTTTGAAATTTGATTTCTTTTGCTGTAAGTCCATTTAATCTATCATGTAGCAATAGTAAGGTTGGCAAATTGACCCAAGTGATTTTGGCAGCTCTGAATGGCCTCTCATCTTTCATGTCTCCGCTAATATTCAATGCACCACATATTTCGTTTAATTGTTCTATATAACAGATAAAATTCTCTCTTGAAAAATGAGGTATAGTCTCAGCCTTCTTGACTTCTTTTGACTTGCAATAATAGTTGAAAATATGGGAGATCTTATCGATATTACCATTAATGGGTGATGAAAAAAGATCTTCATAGTTTTTGATTAAAAATATGACCAAGGGCTTGAAATCTTCTACCTGAAAAAGCATTATTTTAGAGAAATTCAAATTACAATATCATTTGTAATATTATAAAAGATATTATGTACTATATTATATATGGGCTGTAAAATGTGTAACGAGGTAAAGTGAAACAAAGATTTCTCAACACATTTTTTTACTGCAAAAAAAATTTTACATCTAGATTCGGACATTTATAATATAACAAATAATATTTGGCGAAGAACAAACAAAAAGCAAAAACATTCAAGGCCATTCTAGTATTAGCTAGCCAGAAGAGATAAGAACAAGATATTAAAAACCAAAAGGGTTATCAGGAGTCGCAGCTTGCAAGTTGGCTCTTTTTCCAGTCTGCTGAGGTTGTAAAGGTGCATTTCCAAAACCAGCACCAGTTGGCTGAGACTGTAAAGGTTGACTGAACCCATCGAATTGAGGTTGTCCAAAAGAAGTCTGAGGCATTTGCAGATATTGTGGTGGTTGGCCCCCGATACTTGTATTTTGGAACATTCCGGTTATTTGATTCATATTTGGTGGTTGTGGTGCAAATGAGCCATATGAATTTTGCTGCTGAGGAAAAGAGTTAAAACTATTCATAGTTGGCTGCTGAGACACACCAAAAGTAGTCTGCGGGAATCCATTAGCAAGAGGTGTCGCGCCTGGGCCGAAATTCGTCTGGGGAAAACCTCCACTTGCTTGACCACCAAAAGAAGTCTGTGGATATCCAGCTGCCCCTTGGTTTCCAAACGAATTTTGTGGGTATCCGCCAGTCACCTGGGATATAAAAGATGAAGGATTAGTACCTCCAGTTGCCTGACCTCCAAATGAAGTCTGAGTGTACCCACCTGCCGCTTGGATTCCAAATGAATTTTGGGGGTAACCCCCTGTCGCTTGAGACTGTTGGTTAAAGCCTCCAGTAATCTGTTGGCCAAAAGATGATTGAGGGACAAAGGCTCCAGGGACAGCTCCACCAGTACGTTGGTTTGAAACCATCGGACCAGTGGGCTGACCTGTAAGTTGGTTACTAAATGACGTCGAAGGGGGCACTCCACCAGTTCTTTGAGCAGGAACAAGAGGGCCCGTTCTTTGTAATGATAAAGATTCACCAAATGTAGTTTGAGGCATAGTTACTGGGCCAGTTTGCAAAGGAACAATATTTGGTTGAAAAGGTTGTCCAAAGCTTGTAACTGGTGGGGGACCAAACCCCGTGTTTGCCTGCTGTGGGCCAGTTTTCTGAGCTGTAAAGTTTGTTGATCCTGTTTGCAAAGGAATGATCCCAAATGTAAACTGCGGCTGTAAGCCACCAGTCTGCTGAATTGGTATAAACCCGGTAGGTTGCGCAGTTATGGGAATAAAGCCAGTAGGCTGCGCGGTCACCAATCCAGTTGGCTGTGCCGCAAGCAGCGCACCAGTTCTTTGGACAGGAATCAATGTTCCTGTCTTTTGAACAGGAACCAAATTACCTGTTGACTGATAAGGTAATTGCAGTCCTGATTTAGCGGCATATTGTTGACCAGATTGTTGTATGCTTGGCCCAGTTTTCGAAGGCGTCAAGGATGGTGCAGATGGGTTTTGTTCCTTTGGCAAGACATTATTGCCAGTGTTATTGACAATGGGTTTAACGTTTACAAGATCTTGTAAAGATCCAGTGAATTGAGGGGTCTGGGGTTGTGAAGATACTTTTAAAAGGTCCTCGTTCGATCTCGCAGCTGGTTTGACCGCCCATGCATCATCTTCAAATCTCTTTTCTTGTGTCAGGTCGCTATGGTATTGTTTTTCAGGTGATGGGAGTGCCTTGGCATCAACCTTTGGAACATCATTTGATGAATTATTCTTTTTGAGTTCACCGCTTGGTTCCGTAAATAGGCCACCAGTGTTTTTTGGCTCATCAGTCGACTTCTTTCTGTCAAACTTGTTGTCCAAATATTTCATTATTCTCAAAATATCACCTTCTCTAAGACCAAGTGTTCTTAACAATGATGGCGTAATATCTTCCAATATACTTTCATCCATTTGTTCACGATTAAAATTCAAAGTATAACGCTGGCAATTCCCTATATCAATACCGCAAGCAAGGAAGAAGTCAAACCAGTCATATTCTGGTTCCTTTGTACTTTCGGAGCTTCTAGCCTTCGGTCTAGTTGGCTGAGATGGGGCGATATCATTAATTACAGCAGTAGCAGATGGAGTTGAAGAAACACCACTAGATTTTTTGGCTCTTTTCGTGCTTTGCTTGATAACTTCGTTTTTATAAGACTCCAAGGAGGTTCCTGTCACTTTTTCGACATACTCGAGATCCTCAATTGACAATTTTGTCGCAGCAACGGCAATCTTTACTCCATTGGTTTTATGCAAATGTATCTTTCCTTCGACACAGCCTAAAAATTCTGCTTCAACTTTGAAAGATCCTGTACTATCTATCCAAGTCCTGACTCTGTGGAAATTGGGCAATGATTGATCTTTATCATTATCTTTAGAAGAGGTTGCCATTTTTTCTCTTTTTGCCCGATCTTTTTCTCTCAAACGCTCACGCTCATCTCTTCCGTGGTGACGACGGACTTTTCCTCCTTTTCCATTGCTTGAGTTACTATCAACGACTCTACCTTTAGATGATTTTCTTCTTTGTGGCATATCAGTCAATTTCTCTAAATTAGAAGTTCCAATAATTTCGATATACGACGAAGGAATGACTCCTTGACGCCCGTTATCAATGTTCTCACACATCCACCACTCCTTAGATTTTGTCTCATCTACTATATAAACTTCATCACCCTCTTTACAATCTAGTTCATCTTCTCCTTGGGCCTCGAAATCGTACACGAGTCTACCAATTTTCCGATTAGATGCCCCAGTAGATGCTTGAGATGCTTTTGCAACCTCCTTAAGACCCCTTGCGTCTTCTGCACCTTTCAAGTCGCCCAAAATAGAAACGATAGCTTCTGCTACATCTTTAGTTCCGGTATGCAATTCAATTGACGCTTTAGGATTCTTGAACTCAAGAAACAAATGCTTTTTCTCATGGCTATAATCAAGTAAGTCTCTGATCCTCCATTCATGATCTAGTGATGACGCTGACTTCAATGACAATCTTTTAGGATTTGATGTATTTGGCTTCAAAATTATCAATCCCTTTCCTATAGAAAATACTACAGCTCTCTTTTTGCGACCGTCTACTTCATTAAGATACCAAGTAAAGAAATCGCCATCAAAATTGTGTTCTTGTGAGTCACGAATGTCTTCTTCCTCCTCATACTGTGAAACCCCATGAGGACTCGTCGCACCGTTAGTTGATAAATTTGATTCACTAGGTCTAGATGGCATTGGGGGAGGGGGTGCCTCTTCCTCGAAGTCTTTGTTGTGCGGTATTCTGCTATTGACAGGTTCCGGCTGCAGTTCTCTTTGAGGCGTTCGAGGCGGACTGTCGGGCCCCTGCAATTGGTCTGGGTGTTTTGGAGGCGCCATTGAGAAATATTCTGGTTGCGATATCAGCTGTTGATTTTGCGAGCCCACTTGAGGCGCCACGGGTCCATTGCTTTCATCAAACTCTACATAATTTGACGGGATAAACCCAAATGCTGTCTTGGATGAGTCTCCAACTAAGTACCAATCTTGGTCGCTCAAATCATATACCAAAAATTGTTCCCCTTCTTTGAACGATAACTCTTCTTCTGTTTGTTTGTCATAATCATACAATGCATTAGCAGTCTTAAGAACTGGTGCCTGTTAAAATGTTAGTATTTTATATAATCAATTGAATGAGCAGAAATATCGACAAATAAACGTACCTCTTCAATATAATTAGATGGAACTAAGCCAGACGGCTCATCTACTTCTTCGTTTCCCAGTGCAACAACTCTTTTTTTAACCTTCCACCATTCATCGACATCTGATTTCTCTAATAAGTAGAGTAGATCATCCGCATGGATCGAGAGTTCCTCATCCGCCTGAGCCTCATAATCATACAATGCCTTATATATTCCAATATATAGTGACAGCATTGTATTGCTCTCTATATCTCTCTTGGGTTCTACTCGAAGTTGTAAATATTCTTAGCAACTATTGGTTATAGAAGTACGAGCAGAAATGTTAGGTGTTAACGGATCGTTGGTGTTCAACGAAATTGATTTCAGCACTACTTATTATTTATCTTTTCGATCTCTTAGCTAGTTCTATGTAATCTGAAGTATCATTTAGCCTTAAATCGTCATATATCCCAGATTCTTCATCTACGTTGATGTATTCACTGTTATCCATGCGATAATCTTCTATATCCAAGTCAAAATTTTTTGGATTAAAGGATTGCAAGTCATAAGTCTTAGATAGCTTATGTAAAAAGTAAACCGCCTCTATGTCTAATGGGCAATGATTTGAATAACTTGCCCTCTTCAATTCATGGAAGGCACTTTTGCAGGCACCAAAGTTCCTATCTGCAGAAAGAGGAATGGATAAAGTTTGCTTAGATAGCGAGGATAAGGTTGAATATTTCTGATGATTTTTGTTCCAGAATTGTAAAATGTGGGAACCACTTTCCTTGGAGAAATACTTCGACATTCGGGAATATTTGATTTCGCTTGTAGCTGAAGTCTCATAATTATAGCACTCTTTAGTTGCTTTGCCTGAGCAATCGAAGGTCTTCATTATGATGTCGTCCATATTCGTGGAATCAAATTCATCGACATTAAATGAATTACTTTCTGTATTCAACAGTTCGACCATAGAATTTACCCTGGAAATGTGATTATCCTTCAAGTATCGTTTTGTAGATGGATGTAAGTAACTTGAAAGAACTAAATCAAACTTATTTTCGAGGTCATTATGGAAACTTGTCAACCTTTTAAGAATATTTGCAATCGGAATATCAACTTTCTTTTCTCCAATACTAGGATGTTTGCTAAACGAAGTGACGTGAATTATCAAAATTTTCATCCACTTTAGTATCATGTGGGAAACTGGACCATTGTTAGAATAAGAGCCTATAATTATATCTTCAAAACGACTTGAAAACTCTACGATGAACTTAATTAGATCCCACTCAAAATCACCAACGATGTCTAACTGATTTTTTTCGGATGTTTCAATGATTTGACTTTTGTAAAAAAGAACACTCCTGAGAAATTTTAAAGAATAGGACATCTCATTTCTTTTTGCTGTGCTATTCAAGATATCAAATTGCTCATTATCTTTATCGTTAGGAAGAGGCAAAATGTCTCTAAGAGATAAATTTTTGATCCTCGAGTACAGTTGCCCCAAGAAATTACCAATTAAGATCGAAATAGTGTCCTTACTGGAGCTGTTAACATCTATATGATTCAAATTGGGTTGACTAGGGGCTAAAGCTTTTTCTAAATCGACTAAGAACTCCTTCATAGAAAGATTTAAAAATTCAGGAACGCAAGGCAAAATTTTGTTCTTTATCTTATCCTCGTTAGTAACAAACTTCAAGATGTCTAAGGAGTTATCATCAAATTTATAATTCGTGGTAATAAAATTGACTTTATTTTTAAAGTTTTTTAAAACTGTGTCTCTTATAAGGAAGTTTGATAAATTAGTTGAATTAAATTCAAAAAAGCTTAGACATAATTCACATAAACGATAGCTTTCGTTAATATAATGTACATTTATGAACATATAAGGATTGAACTCGTAGCTGGGACTCCATTTGTGGCAGCTAATTGAAATCTTAATATTTGGCTGGGTTGCAAAATAGTTTTTGAAGTATTCTTGATAGTCATTATAAATCTCAGTCGTTAAATGCAGTAAAAGTTCAGCATCTGGAAGGAATGAAGTATTGTCGTTCACTGAATGACTCAAGAAGTTTTTAAAGAAAGGATTCTCGATTTTATCAAATGAGATCAAGTTCTCGATTAGTAAAAAGAGAATTTTTTTGGTTAATTCTTCGGCGGTTAGTTTGTTATTTGAAGTAACTCTTCTTTTGATAGGCTTTTTACACTCCGATGCTTGCATTTTGTCGAATTAGCAAAGACGATATTACTATCAGACTAAAGTATTTATTTATTTTAACAATCTAATGAATTTAAATTCTTTTTTTTTTTGCGAACTATCAATAATTTGCAACTACTAAAAACTGACGCATGTACATAGCATAAATTACTTCAAGTAACCTAACAAGAACTTCTGAATCTAATTCACTCTACTCAAGCCATTCTGCTGATGCAACAAAATGTTTTCAATGTTTTTCATAGCATAGATAGCGGTGAAGTCAAAGTTTTCGACAGTCGAAGCACCAATGTGAGGTGTCAATATAACGTCGTCTCTATTAAATAATTCGGGATTAACTTTGGGCTCGTCTTCAAATACATCTAAGCCTGCAAAGAGGATTTTACCAGTTTTTAGACCCTCTACTAGTGCTTTTTCATCAACTATGGATCCTCTACCAATATTTATTATTCTGAATGGTTTTGACATGGAATCAATTAGGGACCTATTGATTAGGTGTTTTGTTTCTGGAGTACCAGGACACGCGATTACTATCAAATCAGCAATTTTCTTTGCATCAATAATACTTTTGTGATAAACGATTTCGTAGCCTAATTTATTTTCTTCTTTTTCACTTAATTTAGATCTTTTTACGTAGTGGATATTCATTCCAATTTGTGATAATCTCTGCCCGATTTTTTGTCCAATACTACCAAATCCCACTATGAGTGCATTGTGCCCCTTTGGTGAAAGGGCAAACCTTCCTCCTTTTTTTTCTCCAAAAGAGTATCCACTTGGATCTCCCAAGACAATCTTACCCAGGGTCAGGTCAAACTGGTTGGAATCCAACATCTTCCTCAAATGGACAGTATGATTGTGATCAGGTGTAAAATTGGATTGATCAAACTTGAAATTTCTGAAGCTTGCAATGGTATTGTACAAAACTAGGTCTGCAACAGGTTCGGAAGCTCCTAGGCTAGGAACATTGGTCAAAATTATATCCTTCTTTGCCATGCCCTCACCATCATAACTATCGAATCCAACAGAGCAAACAGCTATGACTTTTAGAGACTTTGGTGCATTCTCCAAAATCTCGTTCCTAAAACCACCCAAGAAGGATAAACCTAACCAAGCTCCATATATTGCTTCAATAGTAGAGAATCGAGTCTTGAAGTCCTCAATTAATTTTTCTACGGTTGTTAATGTGTAGTCAATGCACTCAAAATTAGATTCAAATTCCTTAAACTCGGGCAATGATCTATTCAAGTCTCCCAAAAACAAGACTTTAGGTTTCATGGGGATTCTTGCTTTTAAATTATTTGCAAAGTAATACTATACGTAGTTTATATCCTAATGTTTGTAATCCTTCGTTTTCGAAATTTACTCGCTCACACTGCCTACAGTATATACAGAAAAGGAATACAAAAGCCGGTTAAATGGACTCATATCATTAATTTTATAGTAAATATGCCGTAGATTCTCCTTAAATATAGCACAATCTTATTCTTCATTATTGCCTCTATAAGATAACATAAAATCAAGATAAAACAGGAGCGTTCCTAAAGAGAATATGTCATTGAGATAAGGAATAGCCAATCAATGGTGATGATGACCTGGTTCACCTAAATACTTTGTAACAAAGACATTACCACATTGCCAGCATCTAGCTGGGTGTTCTTCTTCGACCTTCATCCAATATGGCTTGTGTTCATCCCCTTCTTTACCTCTGCATCCTACATATCTGTAACCGACATAGGTCGGGACTAAAAACGGTTCTTTCATCGTTCCCTTACCTTGGAAAATTGGATTCTCCATGTCGAAAACATCAATACCTTCTAATTTACCTAAAATTTCAAATCTTTCCAAACCAGTGGCCTGATCTAAGTCAGTTGGAATAGTACCTTTCTTGGCACCTGGACCAATCAATGATCCATCAGGTCCTGTAATTTCAGATAATTTCGAAGCAGTCTTGGTAGTAACATCATGTTCTGAACGTAAAACTTTTCCACTTGATAACAATCTACAAGATTGTCTTGCAAAGCCAGAATGTGCTGTGGCACGTAAAGTACGGGAAAGCATGCTGTAAAGGTTAGTAATCTCTCTCATAATGTCAATGTGAAACAAATACTCCAATTCAATTGATAGACTCGAAGTAAAAACATTCAATGCTCTTTACTACAATAACCTCGACTTCCTAGTATAAATTTGTTTAGTACTGCTAGAAATCTGCATTTAAACCAAATTATTGGGTTAAAATTATAAATATTTCTGTCACTGTCATTTTTTCACAGTCATTATGTCACATTTGATATTAGGAAGCTTTCAGTTATTCTAGTTTATCATCCTTCGTTCTATCTTCTCTTACTTCATTTAGTGTCTTTTTCAAGTGATTTGGAAAAGTTTCACAGACAGTCATCAAGTCAACTATATAAGCAACTTGGCTCTTTCATGCACCTACCTTAGTCTATAGTGAATATTATTGGTATAATTTAATTGCCAATATCAAGTTTTAATATCAGTTTTCATAGCAGAAATCATTACACAAACTAATTTAGCTTATATTACTGGAGAGTTGAATCACGATTTCTATTGGTCAAAAAAATCAATCGTTACTTTAGGAAAAGAGTGTCCATAATAAGGCACGTGATAAACAAATTTCCTTTGGGATATGTGCACGATCGATCAATCATGCGTATATGGCTAGGGCACCAAGCATCTGTGTAAGACTTTTTTTATAACTGTACCGTCAAATGCTCGTCGTTGCCACGACTTTTTCATTGAATTTTTTTGGCAAATTACATGTGCAGGGAAGCCTCAGCACCTTTGAAGAAAAGCGAAATTACGTGAAAATTCATCGAAGTCTTTTAATTCTCTTACTACAAGTACAGTAAAAGGTATGTATAAAATGATCTGAAAGCATAGAAAGAAAGACGGTAATAGCATTGATGATGGGCTTTAAACAACGACAAAGGACTTCGAATGTGCTTTAAAGCATACGCCTATGGATTATTTATTTCGACAATCAGGAGTGGCAGAGCTCAAGTAGGAAAAGGAATTAAGAAACCATATTTATTAGGTACTAAGGTTGTTCAGTAGAATATTAAGTACTGCTGACTTAGAGATCCCATTTGATGCTAGCTTTTGGATAGGTTTATGAAGCGTTACAAATTAGAATGTGTTGCGTATCCAAAAGGATTTCTTGAATGCTTCAATCAATTTGAGTTTTTTACTAACATATTCTAGTTCATAATGCCAAAAAAGAGAGCTTCCAACGGTAGAAACAAGAAGGGTAGAGGTCACGTTAAGCCAGTTAGATGTTTAAACTGTGCAAGATGTGTTCCAAAGGACAAAGCCATCAAGAGAGTCACCATCAGAAACATGGTTGAAGCTGCTGCTGTCAGAGATTTATCTGAAGCATCAGTTTACTCTGAATATGCTTTGCCAAAATTATATAACAAGTTGCACTACTGTGTGTCTTGTGCTATTCACGCAAGAATTGTTAGAGTTAGATCCAGGACTGACAGAAGAATCAGGACTCCTCCTCAAAGGAAGAGATTCAATACCGACAGAAAGGTCAACCCACAAGAAGCTGCCAAGAAGGCTAACTAATTACTGATCCAAAAATGGGACAGTCCTTAGTGATCTTCATGTGTATATTTGAAAAGATTCAATTTGTATTGTGGGCCTTTTACTCTATAATTCATATATAAAAACACATATTGTATTAACTTATTCTTGTAGCTTGGTCTCTTATCAGCTCTTTTGAGTATCTTCATGCTCCTGACTCGTGATAGCCAAATATTGTAAGCACTTGAATGAAGTTGCTTCCACCTTGCAGTGATCTTCCATCTTTGAGAAATGCTGGAAACGGCATGCCTGCATATATGTCTTGATTGGGCGCTTATTCTCAATATTAAAAATCATTCACCAGGGAGGGTGCCTAGCGAATGGTACATTAATTAGCTGCAACTATTGAAGTATAAGGTTGTATCAACACTCAGATTTAATTTAATAAAATCAATCTAGAAGTTTGAGAATTGCTTCGGTTATTGACAAATTCTATAATTGAAATATTTCGTTTCTTTGTTAGAATTTGATTCTCTTTCGGTAGCGTTAAGGAAGCAAATTCATAAAATACAAGATCTTACAAGCCAAGTCTCAGATCCTAGAGTGGAATTGGTATTCCGAGCAATTGAATCGACTGGAGGCTTAATCAAGTAATTTATAGGTTTCATTGCGAAAGACAGTAGACAGCGGGAGTGAAATTTATTCCTACAACGTTCAAAAAGGAAGCTTATTCATGGTAAGGAAATGACGAAGGACGATGTATGGAAATTCTCTCAGTGCTTCGGTGATAAGGGTGACGTTGAAAACATCACTGAAGCAGATATAATATCGACGGTTGAATTTAGTCATGGTGGTGATTTTCTTGCTACGGGGGACAAGGGCGGCAGAGTTGTTCTATTTGAACGAAATTCCTCAAAGAAAAAACAAAGCTGTGAGTATAAGTTTTTTACTGAGTTTCAAAGTCACGACGCCGAGTTTGATTATTTAAAGTCCCTAGAAATTGAAGAGAAGATCAACAAAATTAAGTGGCTCCGAAGTTCAAATAATTCGCTCTATCTATTGTCAACTAATGATAAAACTATCAAATTATGGAAGATTATGGAAAGGCAAATCAAATTGGTCAGCGAGAATAACTTGAATGGATCAGATCATTTACCTTCTAAATTGGATGTTTCCGAATTGAAATTACCACAACTTCAATTTCATGACAAGTTGATTCTGGCGCAACCTAAAAAGATTTACTCGAATGCACACGCTTATCATATTAATTCCATATCTGTGAACTCGGATGAAGAAACGTTTCTCTCGTCAGATGACTTGAGGATTAATTTATGGAATTTAGGGATTGCCGACCAATCATTTAATATAGTCGATATTAAACCCGCAAATATGGAAGAACTTACAGAAGTTATCACAAGTGCGGAACTACATCCAACACATTGCAACTTGTTTATGTATTCTTCATCCAAAGGTACAATTAAATTATCTGATATGAGAGCTAATTCACTATGTGACACGCACGCTAAGATATTTGAAGAATATCTTGATCCTGCTTCCCATAACTTTTTCACCGAAATCACTTCTTCTATTTCAGATGTAAAATTTAGTCACGATGGAAGATATATTGCTTCGAGAGATTATATGACTGTCAAAATTTGGGATCTTGCAATGGAACTGAAGCCGCTCAAGACTATTAATGTACATGAACATTTGAGAGACAGATTGTGCGATACGTATGAAAACGACGCAATTTTTGATAAATTTGAAGTTCAATTTAGTGGTGACAGTAAATCAGTGATGACGGGTTCTTACAACAACAACTTTATGATCTATCCTAACGTGGTCAACACGGCAAAATCTTCCCCATCGAAAGAGAAGGGCGTCCATTCTGAGTCTGCTTTTAAGAATCAGAGTGGTGAATCAGACGATGAAAGGGAATCTAGTGATGAAGCTTACCTGAAGTCGATCAATGCCCAATCTGATGATAATGAACAAGAAATCGTCTTGCAGGCCGATAAATCTGCATTCAAGTATAAAAAAGGTGGTTCAACTAGAAGGAAAATGATAAATGGAATAGGCGGAGTCAGTTCAGGAGATTTTGACAATATCAATTTTAAGAAAAGCATTTTACACTTGTCATGGCATCCAAAAGAGAACTCAGTTGCAATCGCGGCAACTAATAATTTATATATATTTTCGACATTATGATTTGGATTCGCTGGCTGTGAAGCATTTTTAAAAGCTTTAAACCTACTTGAGAGGAATATGTCCCAGAATTGATCTCACGGGATGCCAATTCTTTTTAGTATGTAGTCTACAATAGACGAACTAATGAATTTCAACCATAAAAATTCAGGTACTCTGAAAAGAGGATAAAACATTACACATACAAACAATTAAGCATCTAGCGTTTATTTTCTTCAATGACTAAAAATCTGTAGGCTCATATTAGAGAAGCATATTTCAATATAAGATTAGTAAAAGTATTCTATTACTCGATGTGCCTGTTGATATCACTATTCCAGAACAAAGTCTTGTCGCCGTCGCCCCAGAAGAACTTTGTTTGCCTTAAGTTTTGATATTCATATTGGGTTGGCCATTCATCATCTGGTAATTCTCTTAAGTGTTTTCTGTGATCAGCATGTTCCAATTCAATCTTCACAACCGGAATAGCCGTCAACAAAATTGCAGGCAAGGCAACCATGTAAGTAATCTTCTTCCATAAGTTTGTTATACCTTCAGAATGTTGAATTTTTTCGTCAAGATTCTTCTTGAATTCTTGACCAGCCTTTTTGTCTACTTGCGGAAAGGCTGTTTCGTTAATGTATTTTGAAACATGGCCATGACCAGAATTGAATCTTCTAAAGTTACGTTGTACAACAGCTCTAAACATATTTTCTTGCAGTGATATATATGACTTTGATCTTTAAATAGCAAAGTGTTTATTTGAATGAAACCTTGAAGGTGAGATTTTCTTGAACACCACTTTTTTAATTGGTCAAAGAAATGCACGTGATATATAAATAGAAAGAAGTTAAACCTGGATGTAATATGTATTACACATATATATGTATCTAACTTTTACGTAATTTCAGAGATATGATATTCTAAACTCTCTTTAATAGTGTATGTTTATATCAATTAGTCCTTTTCGACTTAATTGGCTACCTCATTCGAGTTTGTTGCAGCATTTGGTGGATCGGGTGATTCCTTAGCTTGTCGAGCTTGTCGAGCTTTGAATTGATTATAAATGAAACCATCATGCCTCATATCCTTGAATAAAACTTTGATATTTCCATCTTCGTCGAAAATTAAGTCCCGGGTGGATTTCAGGAGCGATAGCCTTCGCATCTCAACTTCGTGAAACTGTGTAGCATTTCTTGTGATAAAGAATTCCACGAGTATGTCCAAGTTATTCTCTAAGATTTTCATGTAATCTTCCTCGGAGGGTTCTATAAGTGGTACATTAGGCGAATCGATTTTTGAATTCTGGTATAAGTATGGTTTCAATTTATCTGTTTCAACCCAAGTTCCTAATGTAGGCAAGAATGTATGAGTTTTGAACCTAAAAGACTCTATTCCCTTTTCATGATATTCATTAATTAGTAAGGTTTCAAAGGCGCTTGGGATATAAGCAGGCTGGCCCTCGAAAAAAGAAAGTTTCAAAGGGCTCAATTCACTTAATCTTGCAAAGTGATTATTCCTGCAATTATACGCCTGAATGAAATTGTTCCTTCCAAATTCTCCTATTGTCTGGTCTACGGAAGCCCTGGAGTACTCCCCAGTCAAATATTGATTGTAGCGGACAGGCGCTCTCGTCTCGGAGACTGACAATCCAGTGATATCAATATATAAGCCAGAATCGACATCAATAAATCTAGCATCAATATTATTGTTTCCATTCTCTTTACCCCTTCTACTTACAAAACTTCCACAGTCAACAAAGTATCTTCCATATCTAATTTCTCCATCATCCTTACCACCCATGTCAACGATGACTGATTGATTATAATTCCTTGATAGCTTATGCAAATCTGAAATCGGCACTTGAACATCGATATCATTATCCCAGGGAAACTCAATTCCATCCCAATACCAAGATAGCAATGAACCATGAGCGATCCATGTGGTTATGTCATGCTCATTTGTAAACGAGAGCCATGCTCTTATTAATCCAAATAAAGCAGGTGGAAGCTTATCTGTGAAATTGATAATTCCATTAAAAAAACGCCAGTCATAATGAGAACCTAAACCCGGATTAGGCTCTTTTCTTAACAACTTTGCTTCGAAGAAGTACTTGGGGGGAAAACGAATGTTCATAGAATATTCCAATGACTCTTTGTATATAAGATCTCTTGGTGATAAAGATTCAGCCAATTTTAGTTCTTCTAAAGTTCTTTCGGAGCTGTCGATAAACATCTCGTGATTGAGTTCTTTAGAATAAGCTGTCTCTTTGCGCGGATTAGGATATTGGATTTCATATATCTCTACCAATCTGTTCAATTCTTTACGGACATTCAATTTTTTAAATTCTGAAGTCTCGCTAGATGGGTCATTGTTTTCATTCTGGACGTAAGTTTGTAGTAAATCCGTCCCTGATATTTTCTTTTTTCCGTCTAGAATATTCTGATTTACTTTCACTTCTAAGCTGCGAACGCCAAACGTCTTATCTTTGCCCTCTTTAGACGGAAGTAAAAAAATTATTGACATTGGAGGTGGCATAAAATCATGTAGATAAGATCTCCCATGTAATAATTTTAAATTAGTCTTAGACCTTCCTCCGTATCCAAAAACATGCCAACCAGTCGAGGATTTTTGTGATTGAATTATCCTTAATATGTTCTTGCGGTAATCATCGACATTTGGATTGTCCAACAATTTATCGATGTCGAAGTCATCTACACAATATTCTTCTGCTGGAAAGAGCTCTTGCCTTCTATTTCTTATTTTATTGGAAGTAGATTGATCAAAATAATCTTTGCATGTCACTTTTTCATTATTCTTGACGAACTCGTCAAGAATAGACAAATCAGCCCAATCTGACCAATGAAAGTACGGGATACTTATATCTTCAATCTTTTGACTAGCCAACAGGGTGGATAAGTGATGCATCATAATCCCTAACGTAAATCGAGGATCGAATTGCTCGAAAGTCGCAGTATTCTCTGAGGAAGCAATTTCATTTGGAATATTAATCTCCTCATCTTCTGGGTGTCTTCGTAATTCTAACAAATATAGCTGTTCTCTTTTCTTACGATCGAGGTCTTCCTTGTTTCCAAAAATCAAATTGAATTTATTATCAACCAATTTATTAAAACGTTTGTAATCACTATCAAAGAAATTTACATTCATCAACTTTCTCCAATCAAACAAATTTAATTTGATCGATGGAAGAGGATCGTAGTCAAGTAATGAAAATACGACTAGATGCAATAGAATCATCGACACTAGTAATATAATGCAACGGGATCTTCGAATCATCTTTCATTAGAGACTTCTTCAAGATAAAAGGAAGGAAAAAAAACAAAGAGTGATTCCAAAATGTTCTCTTGCAACTTGAAATATACCCTTATTAACAACTTTTACGCAAAGTTAAATCATAAACATCTATCATTAAACTCTAAAGAAAATTTGATCATAAGCCTTGTTTTATTTGGAGAAATAACAATATATACAGAAATTACTTAAGGCACGAAAAAAACAAAAGCGTGTCCTTTTGCTTAAAATATAATTATCAGATCCAGTAATATAACAACGATTGAACCCTTAAGATAAAGTCTGGATGAAACTTAAAATTGCATGTGTTCAGACAAATCCTATAATTGGACAAGTAGAAAGGAACATTAACAGAATACGAGATCTTCTAGCTAATGTCCCAAAAGTTGATTTCGTAGTCTTACCTGAGCTAGCAATCACAGGTTACAATTTTCCAAACAGAGAAGCTATTCAACCTTTTTTGGAATCTAGTGTGAATGGAAAGTCGGTAAAGCTTGCTGAAGAGATATCAAAAAGATACCAATGCTTTACATTGATAGGATATCCTGAGATCTTTGAAGATCGAATATACAATTCTGCTGCATTAGTTAGTCCGAGTGGATCCTTATTGTACAACTATAGAAAAACATTTTTATATGAAACGGATGAGGAATGGGGATGTGATGAGAACCCTGATAAGCTGTTTTCCCCCATAGAATTGATAATTGATAAAGAGTACTATATTGATAGGCAACCTGGGAAACCTTACTCCAAGGTAGTAACAAGCATTGGAATATGTATGGACTTAAATCCTTATAAATTTGAGGCCCCATTTAATAAATTTGAGATGTCTTTGTCTAGCTTCTTGAACCGCTCTAAGCTAATTATTTGTCCAATGGCTTGGCTATCTCCCCAGTCTCCTTCGATAGATGAGAAGCTTCTGAAAGAAGAAAAACAAAAAAAAGCAGAGATAATTTCAGATAAGTATTATAGAGAGAATAAGCCACACCTCAATCTTCTGTCCACTCAAAACGATAATGCTTTTGTTTCAGAGCCAGAAAATACTATTTTGCCAAAAGTGCCGAGCTTCTCTACAGTACATTATTGGATATTAAGATTTTTCCCCTTTTTGAATCACCCCAGCAATGACTTACCTAAATATTACGATAAGGTAACCCTCATTACATGCAATCGAGTAGGAATAGAAAGAGATGTCATGTATGGTGGGTCGTCATCTATCATACAATTTAAAAATGTTCGAGGTACTGCAGACTTAAATAATAGGAACCCAAGTGTTCAAATTTTAGGTAGTCTTGGACAAGTGGAGGAAGGCGTGTTATTAAGAGATATTGATGTTGAGACTCAAGCCTAAACGACACGCCGAGATAATTTGACGTTATATTATCGCATAGTCTATATATACATAATGGCTGTTAGTTTCTACGATTGCATTGAATAATGTATACACTGATGTATTTGTTTGACCGCTTTAGAAAGATAGTAAGCAAAAGGTCTCGCATTTTTGAATCCATCCTGAAGACTCATTCAAATTAGACATATATCAAAACGAATAACAGCTTTATGCACGAATACAATAAGCATTGATCAAAACAGTATAGCAGAGCCATCATAAGAATAAAATTTACCATTATCATCTCTTGTTAAGTGATTGATTATTTCGATTTCACTTTTTGCACTCTCTGCTGGGGTAATCGGTGTTAATTCTTTCAATTCAGGTAGAATTTTGAGACCAAGTTTTCCCATGTCTGTGCTAACCATACCAGGATGAAAACTGATCACTTTGAAACCATCAGGTACTTCGAAACTCAATTCCTTCATCACATAATTTAATGCAGCTTTAGACTGTCCATAGGCACTAAAAGAAAGCGAAGGCATGTCCTGTATTGATCCTGCCAAGCTGGAAGTAAAGACTACTTTTCTGGTATCTTTTTTGAGAAGAAAAGGATAGACTTGTTTAAAAATTAAGATGGGTCCCAAGGTATTGACTTGTAAATGTTCCTTCCAGATATCCACAGGTAAATCTAAGATAGTATAGTATGAATCTGAAATACCAGCATTTGAAATAAAGACATCTATTCCATCAGTTACTTCAGCTAACTGCTTCGAAAGATTCAAAATGTCTTTCTCATCGCCAATATCAAGTGTGACGACAGAAATATTCCCAAGTTGCTTATTCAACTCAATCAATGGTGTAGCACTCGAAGGTTTTCTAACACTAGCTATAACTTTGTTGTTTTTGTTTGACGCAATTTGCTTGACCAATTCGTACCCGATTCCACGGTTACCTCCAGTTATAAAATAAGTTTCGTGTGATGACATTTTTTGATGTTTTTTGATGTTTTTAAAGCAATCCTACGTAAAGTGGTATTTTAATCAACGTATTTATGTTTATTCTTTGTCATATGCTGACTAATGTTGCAAAAAGAGTTACTAATTTTGAGTTGTGAAGTATTATTCCCGCGATTCTGCTTACATATCCTAAGTTTTGAAGTCGATTAGTAATGTGAAGGACGTTAGTAATCTATCTAGGCATTGAGCTCTCCTTTTACTATGAGCTGCTAATAATCTACAGGTTCAATCTGCCATATAAATAACTTTTGTCCCAACTAATTCATTTCACGGATTCCCACTAACCAATTTAACTAACAAGGCTATGAAAAATCAGAGCCTTGATATCAGCAGCACATGACTTGTTTGCAACATCGTGTACAAGTTAACTTCGAAACCTGCTTTAAATACACGCAGTGCTTACATAGTATCAAATGCTCTATGCGACAAGAACCCTGCAATTACTTTTAATCTTCGCTAGATTCGATCGGACTGGGCCGTTACGAAGCCGAGCCTAAATTGCAGTTAAATGCTCCGTTGCCTCCCCACAATTCTCCCCACACGCACGGCTTTTTTTTTTTCACTTGATGCGGCGGGCCTATTGTTTTTCCCAACATGCCCTTTTGCGTCCAATAGAAAGTAGCGAGGCGATAAAAGATACGTGGGACACATCACTTCTCCAATTTTGTAAAAGTCTTCACTTTGGCGAAATTGCTCACATTCCCCACAAGAAATTCTGGATCATTTATAAATGAGCAAAAAACTATACACATTTTACTCAAATATAAAGATATCTTTAATATAGATGGGAAAGAAAATGACTAAAGATTTCAAACCTGAAGTTAAAGACGCCAAAGAGTCAGGAGGTGGTGCGATTATGCAACCTATCCAAAATGAAGATTCGATATCATTGGGTCATGGTCACAATGAAGACGATCCCCATTCGATTGCTTCCATTCCTACAGAAGTTGTCAGAGAACACAACAAGCACATAATTCGACCTCCATCATTTACAACTTACGCAATAAGTTCCTACTTGAAGTCGCGGTTCTCTACGCTATTTGTTTCAAAGGAAGAGTTGACCCTGTATTCTTTAGACGAAGTTTTCAACCCTTTTCGTACGCTTTCTGAGTTGACCCTCAAGCAGTGGAATTTTTTCTTTCTCGGTTTGTCTGCTTGGACATTGGATGCTTTCGATTTCTTTGCCGTTTCTTTGAATGTCGCCAAGATTGCTGAAGATATTGACAGCTCAGTTAAAGAAGTGACATGGGGAATTACGCTTGTTCTCATGTTGAGATCAATAGGTTCAATAGGTTTTGGGCTTTGGGGTGATAGAGTTGGTAGAAGATGGCCGTATATGGTCAATCTTTTTATTATAATGATAATTCAAATTGGTAGTGGGTTCATAAAAACATACCTGCAGTTCCTAGGAGTTAGGGCAATTTTTGGTATGGCTATGGGTGGTTTGTATGGTACATGTTATGCGATTGCCTCAGAAGACTGTCCCAAGAATGCCAGAGGAATAGTGAGCGGTATGTTTCAGCAAGGTTATGCATTGGGATATTTACTTGCCGTTGTTTTTACTAGAGCATTGGTCGATACAACAGCAAAAGGTTGGAGAACTATTTTTTGGTTTAGTGCAGGTCCTGCTGCTGTCTTAATAGTTTGGAGGTATTTCACTCCAGAGACTGACACATTCCACAGACAAAAGAAAAAGTTGGAAGAAGAAGCTGCTTCAGGTGACCTGAAAGGTAAGGCATTTGCTCAACAAGGTAAAAAGGCAATTAAACAATATTGGTTAGTTGTGATTTACTGTATCTTGATGATGTCAGGATTCAATTTTATGTCTCACGGTTCTCAAGATTTGTACCCCACATTGTTGACTCTCCAATATGGTTTTAGTAGTGACAGATCGACTGTTACTAATTCAGTGGCTAACTTGGGTGCAATATTCGGAGGAATTGTGGTTGGTCATTGGTCCACCTTCATAGGAAGAAGAATGGCTATTATTCTTGCTTGTATTTTGGGGGGTTGTATGATATATCCCTGGGCATTTATAGATGGGACAGCTATCAACGCTGGAGCATTCTTTCTTCAGGCTGGAGTTCAGGGTGCATGGGGTGTTATACCTATCCATCTTGCTGAATTGTCTCCCCCTCAGTTTAAAGCCTTTGTTACTGGTACATCCTATCAGTTAGGAAATTTATGTTCCTCTGCCTCGAGTACAATTGAAGCTACAATAGGCGAGCGGTTTCCATTATCTAATCCAAAACATGGAGCAGATTATGATTACGCCAAAACTATGAGTATCTTTATGGGCTGTGTTTTTGCGTACGTAATTTTTATTGTTTTCTTTGGACCTGAAAACAGAGGCGCGGACTTGAGTGTAGATAGAGACGAATACATAGATGAGTATGGTACTGATGCTGAACGCAGGTCCTTTGATTCTGTCAAAGAAAAACCCACTTCCGAATTCGTTGCCTAAATATGATTAGATATGAAAATAAATACCGTAACACGATTATATTTTTTGTACTTAAATGACTTTATCCTTACTCAAAAGAAGCTCTCATAAGAATCTTGATGAATGTAATTCATAAACCTCAATCCAAGAACGGAAATTAAAGTAATGATGGTCATCTGGTTCATGCCTATTTAAGTGCATATCAAGTTCATTGCCTCTGTATAAAAAATAAATTCAAAGGCATTATCGCAAAAGTCACTATTCCATATTGCTTCCAAAAAATTAAGAATCAGCAAAACAGTATTTGAACTTAACGAATGAACCAATACTTCAAGCTCCGATTTGAAAAATTGTCTTTGAAGAGCTGTGGAGGATGCACTCCCGGCAATTAAAAGTGACCAGCAAGGTAATACTAAATTCTGGTTATAAGGTCTTTGGATTATTTCAATCAAATGATTTATTTCATCATAAAAACCTGTGGCTCTAATACCAATGGGATCTAAAATTTTCTTTAGTAGAATAATAGAAGTTCTTAGTACTAATTCGATTATCGTTAAATGTCTTCTCTTAGAGTCATTTGTGAGTAGGTCATGAGACTTTTCAGTCTTCGATAACTCAAATGAGGCTCTTAGTAACAAACTTGAACACCTCCCTTGGTTCTCGTCGTCTAATGGTAATTTTAAGCGACAAATCCAGGAGCATTTACTAGCAAGCTCAAAGGCAAAAAAATAAGCATCCACAATTTCCTTAGAACCATCTACCTCGCATGAATCAGGAATATTAAACCTTGTGAAGAAATTGAAAGGATCAGGTACCAAGGCTTCAAGCTGATCTTTATGACAAAGTAAAATTGTAATGGCATAATTGAATATGAAATTTTCTATCAAAACGCCGTCAATAGGAGAGAATTGAATTAAGTGTGATATCTTTTTTAGAAAGTCTCGCTCACCATTTTGCAGCAGCTGCAAATAAAATACCAGTTCATGCTCATCCTCTTTTATCAGCTTTAGAAATCTCTTTTCGATAATTTTCTTAGCCACCAAAAGGTGCTGTGCGCATCTTGTGGCATTAAATCCCTGTAATTTATCTCTTAGGCATAACGTTTGTAAAAGCTGTACCTCCATAAATAACCAGTCTTCTGTGCCATCAAAGTTTCCGTCCTTTAGTCGTTTTAAAAATGACCCAATTGCCCTTAAATATTTTCTACGAGCAACCTCTGAATAGAAATCGTTATCAAAAGCCATGATGACCGCTCCCATCGCTATTATGACTTCCCTACCTGTCTCAGACATTGCAGCAAGAGGAATGTAAATATCATTATTCGAAATGTGGAAGTTCGTTAACGGTTGAGGTAGCGATGGAACTAATCGAACAACAAAAGTATGATAAAATTGGGCATCTTCTTTAGAAAGAGAGACACCTGGGATCCAGGAACTGAAAGAATCCAGGTTGAAATTAAATGAAATGCCAGGTTGTGTCTTTCCATTTCTATCATTGATACCACCCCCTATTGAATCAGGATGCTTTTCAACTGTCCTTACCAAGCTAATTTCGTCTCCCTTTTCCTGAATAGCTTGATTCTTACATCTAGTTGTCTTACTATGCAATTTATCTAAACAGGGCCAGGTACACTCTAGATCTCTCTTAGAGCAGCTCTTGCATATTGGCTTGGTTTCATCACATTTTTTCTTTTTCCTTTTGCAATTAAGACAACCCGTGAAAGTACGCTTCGATGTTTTTAATGATTTCTGAACCAATTTATTGCCAGACTTAATTTGAAGGATTTTCTGATACTTCTTATAGTCTAAGCTACCCATTACTTTTAATTTCTCACGATGTGGTGACGTCTTTAATACAAGAATGAGCTATAATTCATTATCGCACTGCTAATAGACATGTCTCAATTTAACTGTGCAGGATAGGATATAATACCGGATGTAATCTTGCCTCAAAGAGGATCAATCGGCGGTGAGGCTTTCCTTTGACTATATATCAAGGCTTACTCTCTCTTTACTGAAAACCGATTTGAACATGTCTATAAATACCACTTACAAAAGATACAATTTCGAGATATAGGTATTGGGTAGGTGTTTCGTTCCTCAGAGATTTATTGGTGATGGTAAAAAGACAAAACTACTGAAATTTTTTTTGCATCTGAGAAATGGGTTCTTGTATTTGGAAAAAAACGAAATGAACGTAAATTGTTGAGATCTTGAGCATTTATATCATTAAGTATAATGATTCACTTATAACATATTGATGAGCTCGATTTGAGTAGAACTAAAGAAAAGAAATTCGTATTGAATGGTCAAGTTAAGATCAAAGTACACTCTTAGATATACATTTTACGATTCATTTACATAATAATCTTTTTCATTCCAGCAATTATGGCATAATTGAAATAACTGTGAGATGTAACTTGTTGGGAGTAATAATGTGCTCTCATAAACTTATAGGTCTCCTAGAGCTTTGGTGGTTGGAATACGACTCTTCCTCTGATAACCCCCTTGGCTAATTTGAGAAGATAGTTAGGTAACTCCTCCATAGGTACTGACGTTGTAACTGGCTTAATTCTTCCCTCTGAGATCCATTTCATACACTCTACAGACTCCAGTGTTGTGCCTCCAAAAGAATAAAGTATTTTGATTTCTCTTCTTGCTAGCTCATAATGACGCACGGTAAGTTTGTACCTTCCCAATCCAACAGGCAGTATTATTCCTCTTTGTTTGGTATATGCCTCACAAAGATCGAATGTTTCCTGAAGACCACAAAAATCGAAGCAGACATCAAATGATTCTTTAGGATGATTTGAGAGCGTTAGATCCTGGTAGAATTCTGCAGCTCCAAATTTTTTAGCAAGATCTTCAGAATCCTTTTTAACATCAACAGCCACTATATGGCATCCAAAATTATGGAGAATCTGAATAGCATTAAGTCCCAAACCACCAAGGCCCACCACCAAAACTTTTGACGTGGGTAAAAGGCCCTCTCTAGCGTTTTGGATAGCATGAAATGGTGTAAGGACTGCATCTGATGCAACAGCAGCATCTTCATATGAGACGTTTTCTGGAATAGGTATCAAACCTTTTAGATTTTTGACCAATAAATATTGTTGGAATCCTCCATTCATACTCAATCCGTATGCTGTCCTAGAATTCAAGCAGTTATTATCTGCGCCAGAACGACAATTTTCACAGATTCCACAATAATTTGCAATAGAGACTGCAACTCGAAGTCCAACTTTGTATTGGTTAGGAACGCCCTCTTTACCTACTTCAACAATTTGACCCGCTATTTCATGTCCCATCACAAACTCTTTCGGGACATGTTTCTCTTGGGCATATAAAATATGAAGGTCGCTTTGGCACAAGCCAGCAGCTTCCACTTTAACAAGTACTTCTCCTGCTCCAGGTCGTAAAACGGGCCAATTGTCATACTTTTGAATAGTTTTCTTTCCGAATTTAAACCCGTAAGCTAATTGAGTATCTGGTATTGTCATATTTGTTTCAGCCTGCTTGATTGTTTGTTTCTACTTTTCTTCTACTATGTGAGAATACTCTTACCATTTAAACAAGGAGATGGAGTGTGGGGAGCTAAAGCTCGGTTTAAACATTAAAAGAGGTAATCATTCCGGGCTGCTGTGAAGGAAAGAATCAGCCCTTAATCGCGAACGTTTATGAGCCGCACCTCCTTTCTGGCGGTTGACAAAGTGGTGGCACATCTCACTTAGCTTAAAATCAGTATTCCTTCACTAATTCTGTCCCAGTGTATCTACATTTATTTCTTATAAGTGTAAAAATCTTATCAAAAGATACGAGAGGCTGCTTGATGTTGAAGCATATCTGAAGATGCGTTACACGACTGTCCGCCCGACGCCCGAAGAATAGCCATTCTTCATGTTCATAATACATTTCTATGCATCTATTACGTAGCCCTTTGCAACAAGCTACAGCCGAGATAATCATGAAATTCTGTATATGATAAGAATTTGGACAATGTTCACAATTTGAGCCAAAGAAATGTCCGCACAATAAAGGGCAAAGCCATGCATCATAATGCTCACAAAGCTTGACAAGTTACTGCAGCGCTGTTTTATCGACATACGATGAGCCCTATTCAAGATATACTATTGGAAAGCTTTCATGTTTTGGTCTAAGTCTGATATCTTCGATACCTTCTTTAAATTAGCATAGTCTATAACATGTCTAGGGAGAATATCGGGAAGAATTCACTGGCGTAAGATTTCATCACTTTTGAGCGCAGCTGCACGGCACGGTAAATTATAATCGTATTATTTATTAATTGAAGTGATGAACTTCGGCGAGATTTTGAATGATTCCGAGTGAGTGGCTCGATTTCAGCAATTCTATTATCCACACTTTAGCCAGATAAGGTGTTATCTTTGATGAAAAAAGTGGTGGGTTTTATTCATAAGATATTTAAAGGGCCGTTTGTTCCCATGATGTTTGATAAGGTTGAATATAGTGAGTCCTAAATTCAAAGCATAATGGAGAAAAACGAGCTCGACGTTCATGTTTCTCAGAATAACGTTGCTTTGGAGGCAATGGTCTCTCAATCTGGGAACCAGCTTTCTCAAAATAAGCAAGAAGTTGACTTGAATGCCATCACATCTAACCCTATATCTTTGGGAGAAGTTGGCAAGCAATTTTCGATGGAGGAGAAACATATGATCTTGCGTAGGTTAGACATGGACACCCTTGACGATGACAGTGACTTGCCAGTAACAGCCACTTTTATGATAGAGCAAATTCAAGGCTTGTCATTGGAAGAGTCTATCAAAATAATGAAAGAAACGCTTGTTGAGCATGAGGGTGATATCAACTTTTCAAGCGAACTTGAAAACCATTTCAGGAAACTAATAGCAATTTCCGATGGGCAAACTGGTGATTCGCTGCCGATAGATTCGAACGCTAATAGTAAGGAAGCATTTGTTGAAACAGTTAAAGAGAAGAGTTCTGGTACTGGTTCTAGCTCCAGCCTTGCGGAATCTCTCACTGATTATGAATCTTACGATTGGAAGTTTCAAGCTAGAGTTGAAGCGGGTCTCGTCGCTTTTTGGTCCCCATATCAAGAAGTTAGAGCTGTTACGACTCCCTTTGACGACCCTAACGAACCTTGCGAAACTTTGAGGGCATACATGGTTGCTATAGTATGGCAAGCCATTGGTACTTTCATCAATACTTATTTTTACGCAAGGCAACCTAGTATATCCTTTACTGCTGATATTGGTCAAGTTTTCATATACCCATGTGGTGAGGCATGGTCAAAGATCATGCCTGATTGGACCATTCCTCTACCTAAGGGATATCTGATCCCTATTAATAAGGGACCATGGACTGAAAAGGAGCAAATGTTCACAAGTTTGATTTACTTTGTTGCAGGTTTGGCCAATAATATTTATAAAATTATTTTTGTTCAAAAATCCAAGCAATATTTGTATACAAGCTGGGCAGATTGGGGATATGAATTACTTCTTGGTATTTCATCATCGTTCATGGGTTTGGTATAGCTGGTCTCATGAGATCATTATATGTTTATCCAGCGAGAGCAATGTGGCCGAGTATGTTACCTACGGTTGCTGTCAACCGTGCTTTAATGGCTCCTGAAAAACATGAGAATATCAATGGATGGAAAATCTCTAGATATCGCTTTTTCTTCATCGTCTTTCTGATCTCATTTCTCTACTTTTGGTTCCCTAATTATATTTTCCAGGCATTGAGCTACTTCAGTTGGATGACTTGGATTAAGCCTGACAACTTGAAACTTGATGTACTTACAGGTTCTCAGAGCGGTTTGGGACTCAATCCTATAACATCTTTCGACTTTAACGTTATGTTCTTCAATTCTCCGTTGGCTATTCCGATCTTCACATCTTTGCTTCAATACCTTGGGTCAATAATTTCATTCTTTATTGTTCTCGGAATGTGGTTTTCTAACTATAAATGGACTGGATATCTTCCAATCAACTCATATTCACTATTCGATAACACAGGTGCCACGTACAATATCTCAAAAGTGTTAGATGGTAAGGGTACATTCGATTCTGCAAAATTTAAAGAGTACAGTCCTACATTTTACTCTGCGGGACTCTTAATGAATTACGGTGCCACTTTTGTGGCTGTTCCTTTTGTCGTGGTTTATGTGATATTGACACAGTATAAGCCCATTTATAGGGGTCTTAAAGTGATTCGCAAAGTTTTGACAGAGCGTAAAGGGTCTTCATTTTCAAACTTCAACGATCCGTTTTGCAGAATGAATTCAGCATACAAGGAGGCCCCAGAGTGGTGGTTTTTAGTAATTTTGGTCATTTCTATAGTTTTGGCAATCGTTTGTGTCGAGATTTATCCAACTGAAACACCAGTCTGGTCAATTTTCTTCTCACTTGCATTCAATGTGGTCTTTTTGATTCCATTTTTACAAGTCTATTCGTCTACTGGAGCTTATATTTCGTTAACCGTTGTTCTTGAGTTGATTTCAGGTTATGCTATTCGTGGTAATGGTGTCGCGTTAATGATTGCTGCTCTTTTCGGATACAGTATCGATGAACAATGTCAAAACTACTTGACAAATCAAAAGATTGCCCACTATGCAAAGATTCCTCCGAGAGCCATGTTCAGGGGTCAGCTTCTCACAACGATGATTAATTTGGTTGTCACTATTGCTATCATCAACTGGCAAGTCGATTTTCCGGAAATATGTACCTCAGATCAAAAGAACAACTTCACTTGCCCTGTTGCACAGAGCCAATATAATGCTGCAATAAGTTGGGGTGTTATTGGTCCATACAGAGTTATCGAGCATTTGTATCCGATCCTCAAATGGTCCTTCTTGATTGGTTTCCTTTTAGCGTTCCCAGCAGTATTGTTTAGGAGGTACGGTCCGAAAAAGATCACCAAATATTTTGAACCCAACGTCATCATTTCTGGTATGGCAATCTGGGCACCATATAATTTATCTTACTATACCCCAGGAATTTACTGGGCTATTGGATTCATGTACTATTTGAAGAATTATTATACTTCTTGGTGGAATAAGTATAACTACATTTTCTATTCAGGAATTCAAGCAGGGATTGCTTTCTCTGCTGTTATAATCTTCTTTGCCGTTCAATATCATGACAAGTACATCTCCTGGTGGGGAAACAATGTTATTCTCGAGGGTCTTGACGGTGAGGGTGGTGGTCCACTTTTTTATCCAACTAAGGAAATGGATAATTACTTTGGCCCTAGAATAGGAGAATTCAGCTAATTTTTTAAATATTTAATTTAATAAAAAGAATGATTGTATTTTTATTGAACAGGGAGCATTAAGCATTTATAGTTTTGCAACCGAGCGAATGACTGCTAGAAACCATAGAGGTTATATGCAAATATTTCCATAAGTATACAAATAATCTAATTTGTCACCTGTCGTTCGCCACGTTAGTAAACTTCCGTTGAATTTCTAAAAATAGCTATTCTAGAGCGCCCATCCCTTTTTATGGCATTCTTTTAGCTTTGCAGGAGTGCCTAAAAAGTGCGAATGGCTTTACACAAGGTTGTCAAAAATGCCAAGAGTAAACGGCTGTAGTAAGAAGTACTAGTCTCTCTTGCTAACTTAGTAGAATCATATAACCATAATTTTCGTAAGTTTTATGAAGTCGAACAATGAGCTAACAGGAATTAAATACTTGAAGAGAGAAATGCAAAGGAGCTGCTCAGCAGATACGTTCTCCGAAATCGTAAAAATTTGCCACCTGGGTGGTAAAGCCGCCTCTTAACGCCGTCCACTATTTCCGTCTTGTACTATTTATGAAAGGTAAACGGCTCTGCGAAGACATTGAAAGCAAAGGAGAAAAGGTTCAATGTCGACTAAAAAAGAAGCTCGTGATAGTCTGTCTGACCATTCTGTTGATCTTGAAGATCAGGGTCTGGTAAAAAAAGAGTATAGACAAGATAATGCAGGTGATGGTACAAATGCTGAAGATCAATACCTACATGGTATAAAGTTATTGCTTTGCCTTGTGTCGATGTTCTTGTGTATGTTTTTGTCAGCCTTGGACCAGACGATTGTGGCTACAATTTTGACTGTGATTGGAAATAAGTTCAACTCTTTTGATAAAATTGGTTGGTTGACGTCTGGTTTCTTCCTCTCTATGGCAGTTCTAGTCGCTACATGGGGTCGTTTATCTATTATTTTTGGAAGAAAAGGAACCTTATATATATCAATTGTGCTATTTGAAGCAGGCTCTTTGATGTGTGCTTTAGCTAATGATATGAATACGCTTATTGGCGGTAGAGTCTTAGCAGGTGTAGGGGCCGGTGGTTTACAGTCGATGGCTTTTGTAATTATATCTGAAGTTGTCCCCCTTAATAAGAGACCTTTGTCTATGGCACTAATGGGGTGTGTCTTTGCGGTTGCTTCTGTTGTCGGCCCATTGCTTGGTGGTGCTTTCACTACTCATGCAACTTGGAGATGGTGTTTTTACATAAACTTGCCAATTGGTGGAGTTGCCTTGGCTTTCTTGTTTTGGGCGTTTAACCCACCTAGGCCTCAAGGCAGCGTCAGAGAAAAGTTGAAATTGATAGATTACGTGGGTACTGTATTGTTGTGTGGGGGATTGGTTGTATTCCTCTTGGCGTTAACATTTGGAAGTAGTAACCAATATCCTTGGAATTCTGGCGCTGTAATCAGTTGTTTTGTCATTGGAGCGGTCGTTTTCGCTTTGTTTTGGGTGTGGAATTTTAGGTTTGCAAAAAATCCAACTATTCCACCACCTGTTGTGAAGGTGCCACAAGTTGCTGCCTCTTCAATTGCCTTTTTTGCGGCTTTTGCTTATTTTATGTGTGCTATTTTATTTGTAGCAATATACTTTCAAGAAATCCATGGTCAGAGTGCATGGAAGTCAGGAATTCATTTGTTGCCAGTTATCATTCCAGTCGTGGTGTCCTCGATTATGAGTGGAATTATAATTAGAAAAACCAAAATGGTGAAACCTTTAATGGTCTTGGGCGGCGTCCTTGCTCCGATCGGATGTGGACTATTAAGTTTACTTGATGTCGATTCTTCTTCGTCGCGGCAAATCGGTTTATTGATTATTGTGGGAATCTCTGTTGGTGTTTTCATTCAAGGATGTTTAATGTCAGCCCAAATAGCCGCTCCTAACGTGCCCGGTGGTACTATCATGACGACCGTATTAGCCAACTTTAGTAGATCTGTCGGAGGAACACTTGGTTCAATATTGGCTCAAACTGTGTTTTCTTCATCCTCGAGAAGTAAACTCACTTCGTCAATTGCTGCTCTCAAGGGACAGAAGTTATACGAGGAGCTTAAAAAGATTGATATTGATAAACTTCTGGATTCCACAGACGTGTTAAATCAATTATCTCCTGAGGCAAAAGCCTTTGTGAAGGTTCAAATAATGGGTGCTATAAGGAATGTGTTTTACTTGTCGATCGGATTTGCTGGAATAGCAACAATAGCTTGCGTTTTTAGTACTAATAAGAAACTACCAGATTCAGTTTTTGGAGCCGATAAACCAAAAGACGTGAACGCTGAGATAAATGAGGTTGAATCCACTGCCGAAAACAACTCTGTTGGTGATGCTACAAAAGAAATGATTGGTAATGAAAGTGAAAGGTCTGAAGAGCCCAGAGATGAGATTTCGAAAGAATCTGCCTGATTTTAGAAACTGCTGAATATTTGTTATTTTTGTACATAGAATTAAAATTCTTTCATCCAAAGAAAGAATAATGTGGTGTGTTATATAAGAATCTGTGAATTTGAAATGGATGTATATAAAGATTCAGAAGCTGTAAAACCTCTGATTAGTTATCTCCTAAACTTAAAATATAAAATGCATTGAACTTTAAAATAAATATTCCGAATCTGTCCCACTTCTGATGTTCCATGTTGGACTTGGATAATTTTTCCCCACCTCAATTCAATGGTCGTGTAAAACACTATTATTCTGTCCTACAGTCATGAATCGTCTCCACGCTTTCTTCCACATCTTAAATAAAGCTGTATTGGTGTTAACGACCTAATGCAATAGAGATCTATGAAATGTCTGAAAAGAATTTGAAGAATCTTAAATCATGTAACAGTAAAAGAACTTTGATAACTCGAACAAAGAGTAAGCACGGCAGGCCGTGCGATGGGTGTGCTTTGAGAAAAGTCCGGTGTGATTCTAATGTACCTTGTTCACGATGTTTGGACCATAACTTGCCCTGCACTAATATTAGAACTATAAAAAAGTGTGGGCCCAAAACTATTCATGACAAGACGCGAAGATGTATTGAACAGCTTACTGTAAGCTCCGTGCCTGAATCGGGAGTAGATTACATTTTATTTCCTGCGATACCAATAGCTAAGGTGTCCCAAATGCTACAAATTTTTCACACATGGTTTTACAGCGTATGGCCCGTCCTATCATCTTCCCTTTTAATTTCAAAGATGGGTCAGATGGTGAATGAAAATTCAGAGGTTACTATTAATGCCCAAAATGCGACTGAGTGGGCATTGGCATGTTCTGTTGCAGCAGCTATTTACGAACAACTAGAGTTTCTTTCCAAAAAGCCCGTCGGAATTACAATTCCACTGCATGTGACATCGGCTGCTTTTGCAAGAGAATCTATTAGAATCCGTCAAGTCTTCGATTGTACATCAAGTCCTTCTATTGACACTCTTTTGTGTTCCTTCTTTTTATTCTGTTACTATGGAAACTTCAAGACAGGAAAAAATAAATCAATTTTATTCTTGAGAGAAGCAATTTCGACGGCCCAGTTGCTTGGGTTACATGAACCAAAGACTTTTATGAAAAAAACGAGGGCCGAGAGACACCGGATGAGTAAAGTTTTTTATATTTTACTAGTTACGGAAAGATTTACATGCATTGAAAGCGGGATTCCTATATTGCTTGAAGCTAACATACCGCTTCCAAACCTTGAATGTGAAGAGTATCCAGAAGCGGCTGCAGACTTTCTGGAACTTGCCAAAATTTTTTCCATACCGAATAAAAGCTTTTTTGAGAAACTCGTTGAACGAAGCAGCTTCATCTTTACCGATCAGTCAAATTCTGCAGACTTGGGACTTTTGTATCCACCTTCATCAAATTATATCATTGATATTCAGAATAGTTTATCGAATATTTCAATTTTTCCTTTAACTCCAGCATTACAGAAATTAAATATCATACTTTCAAAATACTGGATGCAATGTTTGGTTTGGTATGTTTCTCAGGAAAATGATCTTTTAGTTGACGATCCACAGGAAAGCTATTGTTTAAGTTTGCGATTCCCTCTTCATCTAATGGAATCCTTTTTAAATGCATCAGATGACTTGGATGTTGTCGCGTTTGAGTCAAATGGGCCTGGGATTGGCTTGAAACTACTGGTGTTACTTAGTGGCTCTACAATCGCATATGAATCCCTTCTGTCCCAATTAAAATGTAGCCGTTACGGCTTAATGACACGTATTTACAACTTCATGTTACTTTTCAAGGCAAAAATGTCTTTTCCAAAAGATCTCGTTCGGAAAATGGAGACCATAGTATTGAGTAGGTCCTTAGATGAAAATAATGAATTAATAGAGGAAGTGAACTCAGATGTATTTTGGAATTATTCGTGTCTTGAGACGCAGGGTATGAAGTACAGAGATGAATGCAACGGCAATAACGATATAAATTCTTTCAATGATCTTTTCTGCGATTGAAAATACTAGGAATCCTGTTCTTTATGTGAGTGTATTAGTGATGTTTTAGTTCTCTACTGAATAAAAAAATTACGTGTTTTGAATAGGCACCGTTAAATTTTGGGAATGCACATCCAAGCTACTTTATTTTGAAGCCTTTATAAGAGAATCTTATTATTTCATGTTAAAAAATTACATGTAGCTTCTTTTCAGCTGCTTATTTAAAGAGACCTTTCGTAGAATGCAACTAGCTAATTCAGGATTTAGTTGACAAATCGTATTATTCAACATTCTTCCTTTTCAAGCTTTTCGGTATTAATCACAAATTCCTTCACACCGTCATCGCCCATTTTATTAAGAAGTTCCTCTGTGTTAAAGACCTCTACTTCGGTAGTTTTGAAGTTTCTAGCCTTCACTTTCTGAGCAAATAACTGGTCCAACTCCGCAATAGTCCTTTGTTTCGTTTCAGGTAACATAAACCAGCACCAAATAATGGAGGCTAAGGCAAACCCTGACCAGAAGAACCCTGTTTTAGCCTTCCAATTCCATGCAGTAGGATTCAACATGTAAGGTGTAATAACTGATACAACAATCCCTGAAATATTATAAACATTTCTTGCTAAGACAACAGTTTTATTACGAAGCCTGACACTAGGGAGCTCCGTTATCACACAGTAGCAAATAGGGCCGATGGTCGAGTCATAAACGAAAGTATAGATAAGTAAAAATGTTCCCACTGCCCATCCGGTTGCACTTGTCTGGTGAATACCTAAGCAACCAACGATGAATAAAATCACAAATAAGATGATGAGACCACCAAAGTAAACAGTGAACCTACCAAGCTTTTGAGAAACTATCCAAGAACACAAAGTGCCAAGGATACCCAAACAATACTGAATTATTGAAAACGTGAATGACATACTTGTTGCAAGACCGGCTTGTTTGTAGAAGTATGTGGAAAATCCCATCAAAGCAGCTCCTGTACAATTCTGAATCAACCACACGGAACAGGTTAAAATGGTCCTCCGAAGATTGACACCCTTGAAGCATTCCACATAGGAGCTATTCAGAGAATTTGCGTCTTCTTCTTTCAAAGTCATTTTAATTCTGTTTAGTAAAGCTGATGACATTTCATCCTTATTGGGCATTTTTTCGTTAACGGTTAGTAATCTTTTAAGTGACTCTTTAGCTTCAGCATCTCTACCTTTCCTTGCAAGCCACCATGGTGATTCAGGAGCAAAGAAAACACCAATGAAGATTGGGATTGGCCATACCCATTGGACCGCAAACGGAATACGATAAGCATCTTTATCACTACTCGATACAAATGCACGAAGGACACACGACGAAATTAACTGACCAATAACCCAGCAGCAGTTCGCATAAGTCGTGAGATAAAGTCTAAGGGTCATAGGGCATACGTCAGACGCGTATGTCACACACAAAGTCTGGAATGCTCCCCAAGGAAGACCAAGAAGGATTTCACCCACCAACAACATTTCAATGCTTTTAGCGAAGAAAACAATGAAGATAAATCCAGTTACTAAAACTAAAGAGCCCATTAAAGTTTTACGATAACCAAATCGATCAGCTATAAGACCTGCGAAAAATAAACCCACAATTTCTCCAACGTTTATAGCCATACTTAAAGCAGTCTGCCATTTTGCTTCGATTTCATATTCTCCCGCCTCCTCGTAATATTTTCCAAACCTCTCATTAAAAGCAGGAAACGTGTAGAAAGAGCTAAGTAAGTTAGTGTCGTATCCTTCCATGATCAATGTAGAGCACAAGACAAAAGACCAAAATGCAGCCTTAGGGTACGTTTTCAAACCCTCTTTCAAACCCATCTGTTTCTCCTTCTTTTCCCCTTCCTTCGACTGTTCGGAGATGTCTAAGAATTTGGCTAAGTACTCATTAACCTCAAACCCCAGCAACTCATCTGTGTCAGTTTTAATCACATTGAAAACCTCTTTCTCCTTCTCCCCATTGCTATCAGCATATTCGACATGTTCGACAACCATATTATTCACGTTATACAGTTCACCAAATACCTTTTCTGTGTCCCTTTACCTTCAATTTATATTCATGTTTGTAATCGGGGTTCTGCCAGGAAGAGCGGTGACCTTCACCGTCCTCGATTCATTCAAAACTTTCTCGATCCAAGTTCCTTCAAAAGTGGCACTCGTACCCCAACTTTTAGATATTTCTTCCTGTGTATAACCTAAGCCCCCAAATAATATTCTGGGAGCTGCCCAGGATCACTGAAAGATGGGGGGTTGACACAAGAAACATCGCCAAATTTCTCGCTAAAACCACCTAAAATGCATACTCATAACCAAATATTTTCATCTTCCCCATAAAATAAGTGGTATGACCTGTGGAGCATAGGTCAACTTTTTAGTGTTTCGGATTATCTTCGCTATATTTGTCGCTTAGATATAGGTGGGGTAGATAGCCTCTACCAAGTAAGCCATAAGGTATAAAGTATTGAGCGACGGCAAGAAGACAGAAACTTCACTCTTTTTGCCTTTACAAACTCAATTGATTTGAATAGTGATACGATTTAATATTACGAAATGACTATAGACTCTAAATGGTGGAAAGATGCCTCGATTTATCAGATTTGGCCGGCTTCTTATAAGGATTCGAATGGGGATGGAGTAGGTGATTTGCAAGGAATCATTTCTACTTTAGACTACATTAAGAATTTGGGAGTCGATATAATTTGGCTTTCACCGATGTACGATTCCCCTCAAGATGACATGGGATATGATATTTCAGACTATCAAAAGATTTATCCGAAGTATGGAACAATGGAGGATATGGATAATTTGATTAAGGGGGTTCACGAAAGAGGATTGAAATTGATTTTAGATTTGGTTATCAACCATACTTCATCTGAACATGCTTGGTTTAAAGAGTCGAGAAGTTCTAAAACTAATCCTAAAAGAGACTGGTATATTTGGAAACCTCCACGTTATGATGAACATGGTAACAGACATCCCCCAAATAACTGGATGTCCTATTTTTCTGAGTCTGCGTGGGAATATGACGAATTAACAGATGAATACTACTTACATTTGTTTGCTAAAACTCAGCCGGACTTGAATTGGGAGAATGAGGAAACTAGAAAAGTCATATATGATACTGCTTTGAAATTTTGGTTCGACAAAGGAGTCGATGGCTTTAGAATTGATACCGCTGGTATATATTCGAAGGTACAGACCTTTCCGGATGCACCTATAGTAATCCCAGATTCACAATATCAGCCATGTAAACTTTATCACCTCAATGGGCCAAGGATACATGAATTTCATAAGGAAATGTTCGCTAATGTGACGTCAAAGTACGATGTTATGACGGTCGGAGAGTTAGGTCATTCTTCGATAGAAGAAACCTTGAAATATGTCAGTGCCAAGGAAAATGAGTTGAACATGGTTTTCTTATTTGATCTCGTCGAACTTGGTGCAAACCCTGATGATAAATTTGACTTCAAAGGGTTTACGCTCAAAGATTTTAAAGATTGCATCAAGAAACAAAGTTCATTCACAGAAAATTCTGATGGCTGGGCGACTGCATTCTCTGAAAATCACGATCAACCCAGATCAATCACTAGATTTGGAAATCCATCTCCAAAATATCATTTCAAATCTGGAAAATTGTTAGCGCTTATGATGACTACATTGACCGGTACTCTTTTCATCTATCAAGGTCAAGAGATTGGTATGAGTAATCTTCCACGATCATGGTCTATTGATGAATATTTAGACATCAACACTATAAACTATTGCAAGGCTTTCAAGGAAAAGTATGGTGATGATAAAGAAAAATTTGAAAAGTTAATGGATGTTATCAATCTTTTGGCCAGGGATCATGCAAGATCCCCAGTTCAATGGGACTCTACGAAGAATGCTGGCTTCACTTCGGGAACGCCTTGGACTAGAGTCAACGATAATTATACTTCGGTGAATGCTGCTTCTCAAATTAATGATCCCGATTCCTTATACTCTTTTTGGAAGCAATCGCTTTTGATCAGAAAAGAATTCAAAGATTTGTTCATTTATGGTTCAATGGAAATCCTTGATTACGATAATCTTAAAGTGTTCACATATATTAAGGAATTCAAAAATCAAAAGGCTTATATAGCCTTGAATTTCAGCTCCGAAACAGTTCCATTTGAAAATTTGTCATCAGGAAAGTTAGAGCTTATTCATTCGAACGTTGTGTCTTCTGAGACAGATGAATTAACGCCATATGAAGGAAGAGTTTACATAGTTAAATAATTTCGGTCCTTAAATTTACTAGTAGTTTGACTTTAAAATGCATAATTATTATCCCAACTAGAGGCAGCTTCATGCTTAAAATTTTCAAGGAGTCTAAGCTTAATGGAAATAATTACAATATGAGAGAAGAGGCTTAATACAATTCGCAATATTTGGCAGTGAATTGAAATAAAGGCCACTTATTCGACCGTTCTTTGAATGTGATATTTGTCTATAGTTTTTATAGCCAGCCAGCATTCCTGCATCTTTAACAGCATGCAAAAGTATAAGCTTGTGGTGCATATAATAAAAAACCGATGTGGTATCTGCATGAACTAAATTTTCTAGGATGACTCAAGTCTGATCCACGAGTCAGCAGACAGACAAAAAAAACTCTGGGCAATAGAGAAAAAACAGAAAAAATATGTGTGAATTAAAAACAGATGGTAATTTCTGAAGTGTCCTCACAAGGAGCAATACCCTCGGAGAAGAAACCTGAAGAAGAGTACGATGTGGCTTATCATTACTTAAGACAACGTAAGGGAGCAGAAGAGCCCGAACATTCGGTCGCATCTATCACACGAAAAATTGACTGGAATATCATGCCGCTTTTATGTTTGATATATTTCTTGCAATTTTTAGACAAGACTCTATTAAATTATGCAGCTGTTATGGGAATAAAGGACAATTTAAAGGATAATCAGTTTTCCAATTTAGGTACTATCTTTTATGCATCATACATATTTGCGGAGCCGTTCATTTCATATGTTCTACAAAGATTTCCTCTCTCAAGGGCGTTAGGTATATGTATATTCCTTTGGGGCGCAGTTTTAGCCTGTCATTCGGCTTGCAATTCTTATGCCTCTTTAATGATCGTAAGAACTTTGTTGGGCGCTTTTGAAAGTAGCTCCGCTGTGGGAATAATTTCAATAAGTGGAATGTACTACTCAAAATCAGAGCAAGCATCAAGAATGGGAATCTGGTGCAACATGTCAGGTATGGGTACAATCGTTGGAGCTTTATTGTCTTTCGGCTTTCAACATATCAGAACTGATAGTTTTCAATCTTGGCAGATATTATTTTTAGTAATGGGGTTGGTCACTGCTTTTTTTGGAGTATTTGTATTTTTTTATTTGCCTAACAACGTTACTTCTGCTTGGTTTCTAAATGATACGGAAAAAATCTGCATTATAGAGCACATACGCTCAAATCAAACTGGAATTGAAAATAAGACCTTTAAACGTGAACAATTACAAGAATTACTTTTTAAAGATCAATTTACCTGGCCATTACTCTTACTAACAGGGACATCACAGATCGTTACTGGAGCCGTAGGGACATTTAGTACAACAATTATTTCAACTTTTGGATACGACAACTATAGGTCTGCTTTATTACAAATTCCCTCAGGTGTTATTATTATAGTCATTATAACGACTGTAACTCAATTAGTCTCACACTTCGGACATATCACTTATATTATGACTTCGATGTTTATTCCTTCAATCGTGGGTGCTATAGTGCTCCTATGTACAGACTTGACGACGCAAAATCTTGGGAACTTATTTTCGATCTATTTATTATACAGTGGATCATCAGCAATCACTTTGATTTATATTTGGAACAGTGCTAACACAGCAGGCTATACTAAAAGAATCTTTAGAAATGCGCTCACACTAATTATGTTTTGTCTTTCTTCACTTCTTGGTCCACAAATGTTTAGAGCTTCTGACTTTCCCAAATATACCCTGGCAAAAGTTGCAATATTAGTTACCCAAGCTATCTCGGTACCCCTTTCCTTGTACATAGGATTCTTGTCTTATAGAGAAAATGAAAGGAGAGATAAAAAACTGATTGAAAAGTCCGATGAAGATTACGAATTTTTGGATTCAACTGATATGCAAAACTTAAACTTTAGATATTCTTTTTAGTTTTTCGCACTATTTGTAATAAATACATAATATTTGTAAAAAGCTAAAGATTTACTTTATAGTGATGGTATTCAAAATTTAAATTCATTATTATAAAACGCAAGTCAATATCGATCCTAATCAAACTAGGTCCCAGACTGAGTGCCATTTTTTTCCAACACTCTATCTTTTAAAGGTAGACTCTTACTATCGATGAGTTTAGATGTCTGCATATAGAAGAGCAAAGTTTGTTAGAAACATTTTTATGAAGATTGGCAAATTTAAAACTTGAGGCCTAGCATCTTGAATACGATGTGGAAACCGGATAGACCATTAAAACCTCAACACTTCTTTCCACTTGTAAAATAGGTATCAAGTAGGTGCCTGAGAACTACTAATAATAGCTCTCGCTTTTATTAGGCTAGCCGATATGCCTACGAGTAATGGAACTGATCTAGATGCTGAAAGCCTGACGATTCCATAAATGTATTCACTGCTTCTCAAATGTGTTTATTACAAGACATTTGTTTGCCGTAGTAGCTTCAGACTACTAGCGTGGTCTTAGCTCAGGATCGAAATTACAAAAGTAAACAATTTGGTAGAGGACATGAGAGAGAGCATACAGGCCCAAATATCCTGAAATATACGGGATTACTAAGTCCGAAGGAGTTTTGTTTCTGCTCATATTCCAGAACAATAGGATTAATTTCGCATTGGCTTAACAGTATATTGGTCAGTTTATATGTAAGTTATTGCAAGAATTAACTTGCTCTTCGTATTCACAATTGTATTTAACAAATAGAGTCGCCTGATTTGGAACGACTGTGACAAAGTCTGCATTATAAACAACCGTACAACCAGGAATAATAAAAGCTAATCTTACCTTACTTTCTAAACGCCAATTGAAGGAAATCTTTTCAGTGACTGCCAGTTTGCGTTTATCTTCGGAAGTAAATAGTAATTGAAGGTGCAAAACGTGTTTCCCGCAACTTGCGTACACTGAAAATAGAGAGTTTGGTTGCCTATAAAATATAATATTTAGCCCTTCACTCTATGTAAGTGCTTACACGAGTCTTGACGGGTACCGTAACATATCACTTCGTCTAATAGCCAAGAGCTATTGTTCTATGTCACGGGTTCGCAACCCTTGTTTAATTGTTTGGCTGCAAACAACTTGACAAGCTGCATAATACGCGAACTAAAGTTAGCATATGATATTACATCATCGAAATATAGCGCTCATATTCACATGCAAATTAATGCTAATTTTTAGACTAGATAAGGCAAAAGACTAAAACTTGAAGCAAGCACAGTAGCTAGTAATCTATTTTTTAATGTAGTTATGATCTTGAGAAAGACAGCTTTGACCTCAAAGGGTCTGCGATTCTGTAAGATACTCGATCGAATTTAAACAATCAGAGACCAAAGTGTTCGAAGCATTGCGCTTATAGGCAAAATACAATATAAACATAAACACGAAAAAGCATAGGTCTAATATAGCCTACAGGAGAAAGTCTAACTTTACGGACACTATAATTGCATGATTTGCAATTTTGTCGTTTATTTACTTACTTTCCGCACCTTTAAAGACTGAAATCGTCAATAATAAACAATTGAGACGTGAACATAGGCTGTCAAATCTTATTGTCACGTCTTTGCGTACCATGCTTTTTGTGGCGGAGGGTTACGAAATGTCATACCTGTCAGGAAAAGAACGCACCCTGATTCATGGCCAGCGCACATTGACTCATGGGAGTAGCTTCGAGTGTCAAGTATACTTTGATATCATAAATTAGAGGGCATAGGTTAGAAATAGATTAGATGAAAATGTATAAGCTTAAACCTAACTTTGAAGTTTGTTGTATCACTAAGTAGCAATTGCGCAATTCGCTGGCACATTTTCTACTCTCTATTCATATCTGAAGGTTGGGGTCAAGGATGGTCTAAACCCATAAAAGGTGATATAGAGAACAATTAATTTATTGTAGACATGAAATTTAATAGAGGTTATGAAAGGTAGCATAGCGTTCTTATTGTAATAAAAATTGTCGCTTATTGTGCGCATTAGCAGCTCGGGTGCTTCGTACTTGGGCCCATAGTTTGCAGACAATTATTTTTTTTTTGTGGAGGGTTGAAAACGCGGTAAATATTTTTAATAAGCTCAATGAAGACTCCAATACTGGATTAAATAATAAAATACAATGTCATAAACAGATTTATTCTCTATGGCTTCATACTGGCCAATAGAAATGACAATTCATATCGGAGTTTATTATTTTTCACCTTGGCAATCCAACTATTTTGACTCCTTTTAGCTCGCTTCAGCTGAAAGAAGAAAAATATCATCAGAGCAGCCTATTGTCGTCCTAATATTTACAAATTCTTCTTGGGTAGACGTGTATCGAATTGTACCATAGGACAGTAAGATTGTTTATCATTTGGACCGCCTTTTTACGATAAAGGAATATATTATATAGAATTCAACAAAGCAAAAACTATAAATGGAGCGTAGAAGTTCAGCTTTTTAATGTAAACCTAATAACTAAAATCATATTCACTCGTTTTAATATCCATTTTTCATTCGTTTAATTATAATGGTGCAGATCAATAAGATATTGGCTGCTGCTGCTCTTGCCAACTCAATTCAAGCTGGGCTTATCTATCCTGTAAAAGAGATTGAAACTCGTGATGTCATCAGCGACATTGTAAGCGGAGTTGAGGGAATCTTGGGAGATGTTGTTGGCGTTGTTGGTGGTATTCTTGGTGACGTTGATGATAAACTTCAGTGTATTGCAGACGTCGTACTCGGGGGTGATTCTAGCAGCGAACCTCAATTCGTGACAGCAATCCTTCTTGCAAATGGATTTTATAATCAAAAAGTTTCTGGTTCTGATTCTGCAGTGAAAGCTCTTATCAATGAAATCGTAAAAAAGAACCCAGGTTTGATCAACAGTTTGGTCAGCGAGCTTGGTTTAGCTTTGAAGACCAACACAGAGGCTGTTGAAGACGTTGCTAAAGTATTGATTTCTTTCCTCGAAGCTCTCATTCAAGTCTTAGTTCAAGATGCAGAAAGTATCTCTAATAGTCCAAACCCATCCACTGTATTGACTGATGCTGTTATCACCATTTTAGAAGCGGGTGGTCTTACTGTCGAAACCGTCGGAGAAGAGTTGTTCATCGTTGGTGACTTACTTATCACAGATGTTGGTTATCTCTGTAAGATTTTGTGGACTCTTGTTGATGGTGTTGAAGGTCTTGTTCAATGTATCGTAAGTCCAATTGATTTATCACCTGTCTATGACTTGTTAGATAGTATTCTCAAGTTGATTTGCCCAACATCCGCAATTACTGCTTCTTCTTTCCCATCAAGCATTGCGTCCTCGGCTATTCCATCTGGATCTCTTCCTCTGGGAGGTAGCTCTTCAACTGTTCCATCTGGAACTTCGGGCTCAGGATCTTCAACTTCTACTCCATCTAGTTCTGGTTCTGACTCTGGTTCCGGTTCCGGCTCAGCTACTGCATCAGGCTCTGACTCAGGTTCCGGCTCAGGCTCCGCTTCTGCTACTGCATCAGGCTCTGGCTCAGGTTCAGGTTCAGGTTCCGCTACTGCTACTGCATCAGGCTCTGGTTCAGGTTCTGGCTCCGCTACTGCATCAGGTTCTGGCTCTGGCTCAGGTTCAGGTTCTGGCTCCGCTACTGCCTCTGGTTCTGGCTCAGGCTCAGGTTCTGGCTCCGCTACTGCCTCTGGTTCTGGCTCAGGTTCAGGTTCTGGCTCCGCTACTGCCTCTGGTTCTGGTTCTGGCTCCGCTACTGCCTCTGGCTCTGGCTCTGGTTCAGGTTCAGGTTCTGGCTCCGGTACTGCCTCTGGCTCTGGCTCTGGCTCAGGTTCTGGCTCCGCTACTGCATCAGGCTCTGGTTCTGGTTCTGGTTCTAAAACAAGTTTGGAGGCCAAAGCTGCAACTGCAACAGACTTCTCTACCACAATTGTTACTATTACTTCATGCGAAGAAAATAAATGTCATGAGACTGTTGTACCAACAGGTTTGACTACAGTCACCGATGTTGATACTACGTACACCACCTATTGTCCTTTGACTGCAGCTGAAAGCAGCGAAGCTGAATCTCCAAAGACAAAGACAGAAATAAGTACTACTGTCGTGACTGTCACTTCATGTGAGTCTGACATATGCAAAACTAGTGTTGTGCCAACTGGAGTAACCGAGGTCACTGACGAAACCACGACTTATACCACATACTGTGCTTTGACTGAGTCATCAGAAAAGACAGCAGCAGCCTCCTCATCAGTTGCTCCTGTTTCTACACCTGCCACAGCACCAGTGCCAGTTTCATCAACAGCTGCAGCTTCATCCGTTGAAGCAAATTCTGAAGCAGGAATCCAGAGCGCAACTGTTCCGGTCGCAGCAACTACTTCATCTATCGCGTATCAGTCAGGCTCCTGGAATAGTTCCTCAGCTGCCCCCGCTGTAAGCACTATTGCTGAAGGCAACGGAAATCACCTTGGTCTTTCATTCGGTTCTTTATTTGCTGGTGCTGCTTTCTTATTGTTGTAAGCGGTCATGAACTCGTGAGTTAAAACAACATATTTTAATGGATTGTTCCCTTTCTTATTATTAATTTCCATTTTTCTTAATCCTAGCTGATTATTTTTTCAACTTATATACACTTTGGATCTATATCCAATAATCAAAGTAGTTTCAATTGATACGATGTAGAATATGACTTCATCACCATTTAAATAAAAGCATGCTTAGTTTTATAAACCTTGTTAGAGGTAGGAGGACAATCAATAAAACAATTTAGTAAAATAACAAACATGTTTATAAGAGAGCAATTATTCAAGACATCAAAGATCACTTGACATAAGAATCCATTATGAATTTGCAAATTATTTCGTACGCTAACATAATTTGTAGTAAAGGGTTAGGACAGGAGCTGCTGTTTGGTTTTGGAGAGGACTTTTGGACATCCAAGAATTACATAATCATTTAATACAATTATCGTGCGAAACAACAATATATGTAGTTAGCATAGCCGTACAACTACAACTACAACTACTAACACTACCGACATCAAAATAAGATAAAACCTGAATGCGATGGAGCTGACAATCAACCACCAAATATATCCTCGTAAGGAGGATCAGCTTTCACACTGATTCCTGATGACTTATTACGGGATCAATTAGATAACTAAAGTCTAAATATAACCCAAACGAAACATTGCAATTCAGCGGTCTTTCAATTCCCCATTGTAAGTGAATGTGAACAATTTTCTCTCAATTCTTAGACATTCTTCTTATGCTTTCCTGTAATGTATTGCTGCGAATCTTGAACACGGATTGTGCCCACGATACTTTTTCATTACTTTACTTCACTTATCTCCGAATAGCCATGGAGGGTCAAAATCAAGAGGGACTTCTCTATTTTTTTCAAATCGCTTACATGAGTGTGGTTTCTAACAATATAAGTATTGTAGTTATGTTTTAAAACACTCTCTATCTCTAGTTCTTCTACAGACAACTTCCTAATTAAATGACTAATTAATTATCTCAAAAAAAAGAAGTAAAAAAAAAAAAGTCGGACCTAAGTGGCTCGCAAGTAAGATAAAAGTCTAAAATCTTGATATAAGAAATGTTTGAGTGAACACGCGTGCAAGTGGGTTATGCAAACGTCAATATTTAACGCTGATGACGACAATGATCACTCTTTGGTTTCCAGTGAGTCGTATAGTTTATCTACGAGTTTGTCGAACATAAGTGCCAGGAGCCTGGCTCAAGATGAAGAACCTAAATTATTGAAAAGGACTCCATATGAAGATGACACGGGATGTAGCTTAAAAGTATCACGAACTATAAGCAGAAAGATAACAAACTCAGAGCAAATCTTACAAAAGGCTGCTAAGTCAACTAGCCCTTTGCCACCTATGGGTGGAGGCAGAAACTATCCACCACCACTAGTAGGTCCGGAGGATGCTTACCTAGTCGTATATGATGGTCCAGATGATCCCTTATGTCCGTTGAGTTGGTCAAAGAATAGAAAGCTCGTGAATTGTTTTGCAGTGTTAGTAACTCCTTTTGCTGTCCAATTAGGTTCGGCGATGTATTCTCAAAGTATACCAACAGTCATGGCTAATTTTAAAGTTGGACATACCGTAGCAACCTTAGGAACATCTTTGTTTGTGTTTGGATTTGCATCAGGCCCGGTTATTTGGGGCCCTCTTTCTGAACTTTTTGGTAGAAAGCTAATTTTAATTTGTTCCATGTTTGGTTATACCTGTTTTTCGTTTGCAGCTGCAACAGGACAAGATATACAAACCATAATGATTTGCAGGTTTTTTTCTGGGTTCACTGGTGGTGCTCCAGCTGTCGTTGCTCCAGCGGTAACTGCTGATTTATTTCATACGGCAGATAGAGGAAAAGCGATGACGGGATTCGGTTTTGTTCTATTTGCTGGCCCAATGTTGGCACCAATTTTTGGCGGTTTTGCGGCTAAAAACCCTCATTTAGGGTGGAGATGGCCTATGTATTTCACTGGGATAGCTTCTAGTGTTGCTCTCCTTTCTGCTATTTTCATCCTAGAGGAAACGAATCATCAAACACTTTTATTAAAAAGAGCCGAAGAAATTCGAAGAAGGACAGGAAACAAAGCTATTCATGCAGCTCATGAGGAGGTTTCTTTGGGTATTCACGAGATTTTGTGGAATAATATAGCTAGACCGTTGAGTATGCTATTTTCTGAGCCAATATTATTTTTAATAAGCTTGTACAATTCATTTGTTTATGGAATTTTGTATCTATTATTGACTGAGATCCCTTTAATCTTTTCAAACAATTATCATTTTGAAAGAGGAGTCGCTGAATTACCTTATATATCACTGTGCATAGGTACAATCATAGGCTGTCTTTTGGTTGTGGTCTTCGAAAATAGATACGTTAGACTTTTAAAGAGAAATGGCAAAGTTAGACCAGAAGAGAGGTTGCCAGGGATGATGCTTGGCTCCTTCTTCTTCTCTGTTGGTTTATTTTGGTTAGGTTGGACTGGTGACTACCCAAGGAAGGTTCATTGGATTGTGCCGACCGTTGGTATGTCATTTATTGGTATCGGCTTGGTTCTCATATTTTTACCTTGTCTCACCTATATTATAGACGTATACTTATATGTCTCTGCTTCTGCCTTGGCAAGCAATGCATTTCTTAGAGCATCTTTTGGTGCGGCATTTCCCTTATTTGCAAGACAATTATTTCTAAATATGCAAATTAAATGGGCAACCACTTTACTAGGATGTTTTTCTGTCGTTTTGATACCGGTACCAATTTTGTTCTACAAATACGGCGCCAATATTAGAAAGAGATCCAAGTTTGCCTACAACGCTGTTTCGTAGGATCGGAGATAATTCCCCTCTAAGCTCTAGCTAACTTTCATAATATTACGTTTTTAGAGGTTGTATTTCTTTTGTCATGGTCTCGGGAATAGGGTATTTCAGACGTCCATGTAATCTTGTTTTTCGTCAGCAAAAACCACATAAAAACTTTAGGTAGTATAATTATTGCATTTGACCTTATTAATTATGAATTTGACATCGAGAATGTTGAGATTGTGACAAGTTTAGACCACATATTTCAAATTAGCTTGATAAAATAGAGTGGTACTTATACTGAGAGCTAAGATTTCTAAATGTAAAAATTTTATGCTATTTACACCTACTAGTGATTTTATGTAGCGGCTCGAAGAATAGATTTACCTAGGGCCAAAATAGAAATTCTAATATTCATAAGGGGCGTGCTTTAAAAAGACATGACTATTAATCAATGTACTCAATATCTACAATCAACGCTAAACGAGCCCCGATACCAAGGTATTGCCCGCTTATCATATCAGGAAATTACCTAATTAGGTAACTGGATGCTTCTCAACACTGTTAACCATATCATGCTACAGCATTATATCAATGAGGGACTTCTATAATAATAAGTACGATCAAATATACTCAGGACATATAAGATCATCGTTTTCATGTTTGTTAGTTAATTTATTTAATTTGCTAATCTGTTCCAAAAAGTTTGAAGATGGAAGAAAACAAAACAGATTTAGAAAAAGTCTTAAGCGGAGAACGCCTTTCTGTCCCCGAGGACACGATAGTACCAGGTACTGTTCACATCGTTGACATAGACGGGAATCTTAATGTAAAGAAGAGCAAGTCAGGGAAAGGAAACATTATTCTTCAGCCTCAGCCGTCTGATAATCCCAATGATCCACTTAGATGGAAGAAACTGAAAAAGCATGCACAATTTTGGCTTTTGTGGTGGTGGGCTTTTCTTTTGGCAGTAACAGTGAATTGGAGTGGGCCAATATGGACAGAGTGGACCGAGCTGTTTAACTGCACCTATATGCAATTGAATATAAGTTCGGCGCTCTCTTTCCTCTTCTTGGGAGTTGGATGCATCTTTCTTCAGCCGACGGCAATGAAATTAGGTAGAAGGTTTGTGTACTTACTCTGTACTGTGCTCGCGATAGTAGCAAACATTATAGGTGGAGTGTCTACAAATGTTAATTATTTATATGCTGCAAATGTTTTAGGAGGACTTGCTGCTGCCCCTGTTGATTCTTTAGTAGAAATATCTACAATGGATGTCTTTTTCCAACATGAAAGAGCTGAATACTTATCATGGTTTATCTTAGCACTTTACGCCGGCTCAGATCTTGGGCCCGTTGCATGTGGCTATATTGTTGAAAGAATGAGTTGGAGATGGTGCTACTGGATCCAAGTCATCATATTTGGAGTTTTATTTGTTATTCAGTTATTTTTTATGGAAGATACCACTTTTTACAGAGGAGATAATGAAATAGAAGAAAATATTTTACAACAAATAAAATCTGAAGAAGTTGTATTAACAGCGATTAAGAGCGGTGAGATACCACAAGATAATGGTAACAAATACCTCATACAGAAAACTAGGAGAGCAGATGACGACCTATCTGGTGATGAAATTGATTCTGTCAACCATTCCATTCCTAAACGTACTTATTTGCAAAAGTTAAGACTAATAGAAATTGAGTATAATGATCCGAGAACCTGGCCCACTATTTTTATACGGCCCTTCTTCTTAATTCCATTTCCCGCAATTTTATGGGGTGGTTTGGTCTATGGATCTCAAATGATGTGGTTATCTTTATTGGCTACTACGCAATCCGAAATTTATGCTGTTTCACCGTATTACTTTTCTACAGCACAAGTTGGTTTAACTAATATAGGAGCACTCGTGGGATCAATTTTGGGGATGGTATACGGAGGAAAATTTGTTGATTGGCTCACAATAAGATTGGCTATACGTAACAAGGGTATATTGGAACCAGAGTTCAGATTGTGGGCGATGGTACTTCCTGCACTTTTAAATGCGGCTGGCCTTTTGGCATATGGTTTGGGTTCAGTTTACGAAGCCCACTGGGCTGTATCGGTAGTACTTGGGCAAGGTTTCCTAGGTTTTGCTATGGGATCATCTGGTGGAATATGCTTGACGTATACAGTCGATAGTTATGCACACCTTGCTAGTGAGGGGTTAGTTCTTATGCTCTTTATCAGAAACTGTATTGGTATGGGATTTACGTTCGCTATTCAACCTTGGCTTGATGTATGTGGCTTGAGTCTAACCACATGGCTCATGTTTATGATTTCACTAGTCATCAACTGTAGCTTCATTTTGATGGTAATATTTGGTAAAAGGTTTAGAAGAATGACACTGAATATTTATCATATTATATCTGAACCTACCTTTGGAGAGTACTTCAAAAGCTGAAATGAGACGTTGAGCTACAACGATCGAGAGTGATAAGCTGAGATCGTTCATACATTTTAAATTAGTAGTTGATTTGGTTCTCTTAATAAACTTTAATGGCTTGTAAATTCAATTCACTTCTTTCTTTTCTCTTTCGCAAGTTATACGAGATACTGTATTATTGATATATTTGCCAAGTTGTTCTCAAGTTTTTTTTATGTCCTTTTAGCATTCGTTTTTCATCTTTTATTAACACTTGCCTATATTTAAAAATTGAATCCAGCAAAATCTCTAGGCAAAAATTAGCATAGATAGATTCCCACTCTTAACCACTTTCTTTTAAAACAAGGCGATGACATGTCAACTACGAATTACGAACCAATGTTTTTCTCTGTATAAGTGTACTGCTACCTCAATTCACATTAAGTAAGGTTTAAAAAGGATTTTTATAGCGGTAACCTGAAGTCATGACCTCAAATTCTTCGAGGTCGAGGTCACAAGAGTATGCAAGGAATGAGCTCAAAGTTTGAATAGGAATGCGGCAAAAGAAAGAATTTGTCCCCAATAAACGAATCCTGTCATCACTCAATCATATGATAATCTTTGGATTAGCTGCGAGAGATAAGAGGATAGAGTTCAATCGACTAAAAAGATCCTATACCTAAATACATCCAAATGATTTTATAAAACTTTGTGAATACTTGAATTTATATGGTTATTATTATTTATGCTTTATCAGATTATTTTTGAGTAACAAACTGGCTAACCCAGAAACTGTGTCCATATCAGTTAGTTAGTTCTTGTATTTGGCAAAAGTGCCGATGTGTATACAGTACTGGGGGTCCTCCAATTTATTCAAGGAGATAGCCGATATCTCAAAACAATGTAAATATTATCTTATCAGTGTCCGGGTTAAATTTGGAGCCATGAAAATGCTGCAAATCTATTTTCACGAGTGGACATACTGTGAGAAGTGCAGATGCGATTCTGAATAATATTTAAGGCACCTATCCGCAGTGTGGTATATATATTAAGTTGATTGGTAATTTAAGAAATGTTATTTTGTAATGCTACGCTTATAACAGTCAATGAGACTCGTGACATCATTGAGAATGGGGCTATCCTTGTCAAGGATACATATATAATGGCTATAGGGAAGGCGAAAGACTTGATTGAAGAATATAGAGATGAAGAGATTGTCGATCTCAAAGGACAAATTATTATGCCAGGCTTAATTTCTCTTCATGTACATCTTGCCCAGTCATTGCTCAGAACTGCTGCAGATGACTTACCATTGATAGATTGGCTCTGTGATAGAGTGTGGTGTATGCAAGGAAACTTCACAGAAGAGGACGGATATGTAGCATCTAAACTTACCATCGCTGAAATGTTAAAGTCAGGAACGACGACTTTTGTTGAAGCGTTGTTCGCCGAACGTTATGGCTTCAAGGGGGCTGTTGATGCAGTAGTTGAATCTGGAATTCGGGGTTGTATTGGTAAAGTTGTAATGGATCAACCCCGTTATGCCACCCAAGAAGGAATTTCTATGCACCAAGGTTTAATTGAAGATGAGAGATCCCTTAATAATACAATTAAATGCTTCGAACAATATAATGGGGCTGGTGAGGGCTTGGTTGAGGTTTGGTTTGGTGCAAGGACTCCAGGCGGAGTGTCTGAGAATTTATATCGTGAAATGGTAAAAGTTGCCCGAAGTCGTGGTATTGGGATTACAATGCATTGTGCTGAAGTCAAGGCTGACAGAGAATTTTTTGCTTCTGAGGGGCATACGCCCATGACTTATTGTCAAGATTTGGGTTTGTTGGGCCCCCGTACAGTTCTAGCTCACATGGTTCATCTAGATGACAATGATATAGAAATCCTTAGCAAAACTGGAGCTTCAGTTGCACATTGTCCCACGTCCAATGCCAAATTGGGAAGTGGGATTGCTCGTGTAAAAGAGTTGAATGATGCCGGAGTTTTGGTAGGGATTGGATGTGATGGGTGTCCTTGCAATAATGTAATGGATTTGCTTCAGGAAATGAAGTTAGCATCCTTGCTTCCTAAAGCAATACATGGTGACCCATCTTTAATACCGGCGGAAAAAATTATTGAAATGGCTACCATCATTGGAGCAAGGGCTCTCGGTAAGGAGAAAGAAATCGGATCGTTAGAAGTGGGTAAAAAAGCGGATTTCATATCTATCAATCTTTCTGATAAATTGTACGCTCAGCCTCAAAGAGATCCAGTTTCCATGGTGGTATATATAGCAACTGGGTCTGATGTCGAAACTGTTGTAATCAATGGGAAAATTGTGATTAAGAACAAAGTACTTTTGACTCTCGATGAAGAAAAAATTATTAAAGAAGCACAAGTTCATGGAGAAGAGATCAGAAAACGGGCAAATTGTCCCGCAGGTTCGAAATGGCCCATTACTTGACTGTTGTACAAAAAATTCTCTATTTAGACTTCTAAAATAAAAAGTTTTACCTTTATGGTGATTACTGTTCCAAATTCCTGTACATAATCTTCACTTATATGATTATACTTTTAGAGAGTGCTTTAAGATGACTTCCAGTCAATTTTGCAGCGACGTGTTCGTACGTTTTGAGCGAAAGCTTCAAAAAATAGTAAAAAGAATTTAAGTAGTATTTAAGTAGGTCATTATGGTTATATCAATGTTGGACGAAATTACGTTCGCAGATTTCTGCACTTAGTTGCAGGCACCAATCATGTAAAGGTTATTGGAAACACAAGTATAGTACAGATCCTTGACCATGTTATGTTGCATCTGCTTGAAAATTCACCCCTTCTTGCAGTCGAGCAATAAATTGGCATCTGACTGCTCTGTAATTATAGTTACCATGGTAAATAAGAGGTGACTACTACTATGAAAAAAGGACACCGCCCCAAAGTTCTCTCTTCAGCATGCTCTTTTTTTATTCACAGTGCTATTTAAAGTATACTTGAATAAGTATTATCCCTACTTTTGCTAAACTAAAAGGGTCTTAGATTGCGAGCATATTGTTTTCATTCCCAAAAAGGTTCAACAGTCCCAACAGCATCAATTTCTCAATCCATGCACGTTCTACACATTATAGAACTAGATACATATAGGGATATTGGGCTTTTCATATTTCTTTCCTATATGTAACTTTGTTAATAATTCAGTGTTCCTATTAAAGATTTCTCGATAGATCATGGAGTATCATCGATGGCATTACGGACTTCATATAGTTCAGTTAACATTAACTTGCCTTTGTAATCTCCGGTGTTGAGATTATTACAGAAACATCTGACAGTATTTCTATGCGTTAGAGATGATGTTAACTCGATGCATTTTTACAGGAAGTAAAATTATGAAAATAGCTTTTTCATTCATATTCGAATATAGACCTAAATTTAATTGATTAATATAGGCAAAGTAAGCTGGCAAACATAGTAAGTGGGCAAGTTAATCTATATAAAACCAAAAAGAGACGCTCGACCTGAGTAGGGAATTAAAGCTATTATTCTCTTCTCTCTTCCTCAGGTTTAACATCACGTGCATAGCCCGTAGTGTATGCCATTTCACTTTGACTAGGAGGTTGCCAATTTGGAGAATTCCATGCTGAGATTCCAGAAGCATACAATTGATCGACCTCTTCTAAAGATAATCCCTTGGTTTCATAGACAAAGAGGTATGTGAAAACAAAACCGAAGACAACACAGCCGAAAAAAACGTAACCATACGCAAACCCTATCTTGTCGGTAATGGATGTCGTAAAAAATGAGATTAAAAACCCCCATGTCCAATTACCTGCAGTTGCAACAGCCATACCTTTTGACCGTATTCTAAGTGGATAAATTTCCGAGATAATGGAGTAAACACCACCAGCCCAGGTTGATGCGAAGAAGAAAATGAAAAGAGTAGTGATGAAAATTTGAGCATCACCTTGTGGCTTGATTGTAACATCACCTGCTGTTCCTAAAGTGGCATAAATCAATAATGCTACCGCCATTGCAACACCACCCAGAAGTAAACATAATCTTCTTCCAAGCTTTTCAATTGCATATATACCAACAAATGTGGAAGCAAAATTAACAACCCCCAATACAATTGAAGTCTGGAAGGAATCCAGTAATCCGACCGACTTAAAGATATAAGTACCATAGTAGAAGAAGTAATTGTTACCAGTCAACTGTTGTAAGCATTGTAATGTAACACCCGTCGTAACACGCAAAAGGATTTTAGGCTTTCCGTAAATCAATTGAGACCATGATGCATTACCAGCAAGCTTTTCTCTATCAATTCCAGCTTGAATCATTTGAACTTCGGTGTAGACTGATGGCGCTTCCGGATCAACACTGTTAGATCTGGCAATTGATTTCTTGGCCTCTTCAATTTTATTTTTCTCAATCAAGTAACGAGGTGATTCAGGAGAAAATAACATGCCCCCGAGCAATATAAGTGCCCAGGCAAAACTTAAACCTAAAGTGATTCTCCATTGACGGGAGTCACTGTAATGATGATAAGTACCGTAATTAATACAGTAACCAATAAAAATTCCAAACGTGACACAAAGTTGAAAACAGCAAACCAAGGTACCCCTAAGAGCTTTTGGTGATGTTTCTCCAATGAACAATGGAGATAAAACTGAAATTGACCCAACTCCGAACCCAGAAATTAAACGTCCGATTACAATCTGAATCCAAGATTTTTCCAGACTTTGGGATGAAATTTGAATGATTATTCCAACAATGTAAACGACAGCAGCTACCATTATTCCCATACGACGACCAGAAACGTCTGCAATTTTTGAAAGAAAAAGACAACCAAATGCACACCCTACGTTGAATATAGCAACTATAAGACCGACCTTATATGTTTTCGTAACAGCATTTCCATTACTATCAATAGTTTGCAATCTGAATCTATCTATATACTCAGGCATATTAGTGAATCCAGAGATGGTACCAGTGTCGTAGCCGAATATGAAACCACCAAAAGCGATGAAGAAACAAAGAACAGTGGATGAAAGGTAATCTTTAAACGACTTTTCGGGTAAAGATGGTAAGTTTTCTTCTATTTCTTTGCTAGTGGGTATTTCGCTCTCATTTTGAGGAGTTTCATGCCTCTCAAGGTCATCGGAGTTACTTGCCTTTTCTTGGGCTCTAGCTTCACCTTCAACGCTTGTCTGTGACGACTCTAACGCTTCGTTATTACTATTTTGAATATCTGACATTTAAGATAAATATGCTTCATTTGAAAACGTTTCGTCCTAACTCTGCGTCTTATTAACCTTTTAATTTCTTACAAGCTAGTGACCTGAGCGACCAGCATCGAATAAGAAAAATTTTCGGGACCGGACTGCAGTCTTGCATATCTATGCACAATGAGAGAGCTTCCTACATATTCTGATTAAAAGAAACAATTGATCCTGTATGACCGGAGAAACTGCCGTAAATGAGAGCGAGAAAAAGAAATTGATCAAATTTCTGAGCTTTTTGGCTTATTAAATTTCAAAACTTCCTTAGTACAAAGCGCGAAATGACATTACAGTGCATATTCAGTCAGGCACATAAAGAATAAACGCAAGAGAGCAAGCCTTTTTTACTGAGATGCTTGTTACTAGAGCGGTTCAAATGGGAACTTACCTGGAGCCGGCCGTCTACAATTAAATATTGCTTAGCTTATATCAATATTTAGAAGGAGACATAATATTGTTATCACTCTATTCTATGAATTGTAGTACACATTCGGAATCGATGTCTAAACAACTCGTGGGAATCGCGGCCTTATAAAGATTATGTTATTAGCGACAGAGCTACAGCAATTTACGGACTTTATGAAGTGACCCTTTTCAATTTATACTTTTTCATGATTTGAATGGGCCAAGTTTAGAGCACACTTAAAGCAGGGAATGAGGCCACAAGAAAATTCTTGGTATGCTAACCATGAGAGCCGTTGGCTGCGAGAGTGGCTGATGCTTGGATTATCAAAACGTTGTGTGACAAGTATTTTGATACGCGAAGATTTCAAAGAGAAGATATTCTTGGCGAGCGCTTCTTTCAACTCGAGATCATTATGGCATTAATAGATATGGTCTAAGCAAGAAGTTGGCTTCCTGTATTAGTTGAGTTACAAGTTTTTCTAAGTTCTACTCTTCACCACTGAGGACAGATTCATGCAACCTCATAGGTGTTTATTGTTTATTCGATTGATATTTCTTCGTATGTGAATATAGAGTGATGCCTAAAATCCTCATTCCTCTCTAAATATGATATTACCAGCGAGTATTTTCATCAGACTGAATTCCGAACTGTAAAAACGGAAATCTGACAAGCTGGTACTAGCTAAGTCATTTGAAACACTGAAACCGATGGTACCAAACTACATATGCTTGAAAGTTAAACTAAAAAGAAAACTCCTAACAATAGAAAAAGACTTGCTTGGAAATGCAGTCAGCCACATAGGACACTAAGAAGTTTCAAAAAGTAATAAAGAAAAGTTACGTCTGTGAAATGATAACTCTAAAGATGAATGTTAATACGGGTTTCAGTAGAGTAAGGAGTGGAGTTGAAACTTTCCTGATCTTTGAATGGATGAGTTTTCATTCCTACTGGTAAGACGTGGAAAATAAATCATTTAAAATTCTCAACTTTGATCTCATATGGAACACTACTATCATTCGTCAACACAGAAGCAGAGAGGCATAAGAATGTTACAATTCAGTTATTTTTCATGTCGAATGTTCACAAAATTAGGCTCTGTGCTCAACAATCGTGACATGAACAGAACATATAGCTCCAAATTTTGACTTATTTCCGTCTGTTTATATGCATTAAAAAAATAACAGAGGGCAACGGACAAATTTGAGCTCCGATTTTAGTGAGTCCGACCGATAAAGTTTGACTGTATGTAAATACCGAGAAGTAGCCGTGCTATTATTGTTCCGCTAATTATAAAAAATATTCTCAGTGACTACCACAGGTATTGCAATGCTTTCTAATTCCTTATTTAGCCAGATAGATGATTGCAATACTAATCTTTCGATATTTTGGCGAATCGAGACATATGGCCTCCCTTCGTTGTTTAATTCAAAGAGTATCCGCTACTGATTTGTCGGAAGCAGGCCTAATAAGTAGAGGTACTAGTCTTACATCTTTTGTCCTCTTGTGGAAGAATTATCGCCAGGATTCCTCAATTGAATAGGTTCAGTTCAAAATTTGTTCCTAAGTGATATGAATAAAAGTAATTGCGATAGAAGAATGTGAAAAAAAAGGTAGCTTCGTTCAATCTGTATAAAGTCTCAGAGTTTCAGAGTTTCAAACACCTTTGGTAAAACTCATGTTATGATCTTTTTTTCGAAACGAATGCAATCGCTTCTTCCTATGGACAGGGTAATTCATAGTGATAATACTATTTAGTTTCCCAGAATCGTGACGAAAATATATGCAATATATGCAATGGATGTTTTCGTAGATATCGTTTCTATAGCTTTTTGTTTCAGAACTAGTGAATTGCTCGCGAGGGTTGCCATAATAAACAAGACACACCGAGTTCTCCCACTATTATTGGATCATCTTTTTCTCAGGGTGCAGTATTATCACTTTATGAAAGCTTGGAATAGTTCCAGAAGGTACTACAGAATAATGTTTCCTGCAACCAGAGAAATTGTATTTTTTGTTCTGTCAGGACACCGCATGATCTGATATAGGAAATATGCCCATTAGATCACAGTAAAAAGCATTTTGATTCGTAATGCTTTAAATGATCCAATCATAAAAAACAGCACTAACTGAATGAAGCATCCCCAATTATGTAAATAATATTCGTCTGAACAATACTGTCTGATTCATCAGCTTCCTCCGAAGTTTGAAAAAAAAAAAGAGAGACCAGTTCGATCCATTTTACGCAAAAAGATCCAATTGATGTTTTCTCAAAGCGCATTCAACAAATAAATGAAGAAAAATTATCTTCATTGGCTGTTTCTTACCTCCTTCTTGGTCATCAGGAACAAGCGATACAAGTCCTTTTGCTTAACGCCAACATGCCACTCGAAGAATACCTCCGAAATTGACCTCCAATTTTTACGAGGTTTTTTTTAGCGGTCTCATTTGAATAGTAAAGTATAATGAGCTTAAATCATGTTAAGGAGAATTCAACTTAAATCAAAGAATGGTCGATAAATTTTTGTATGATATCACCTGATGTCTTTAGGTTCAAGGGGACTCAGTTAATGCCTCAATTATTTCAACAATGTTCTATATGTTAATAAGATCTTGTTTAGGTAGTTATATCTAGAACAACAACATATTTTAAATGGATAGATTCGTTGGGAATTGTTAATTGTGCAAAGATGGACTCCAGAAGTAAGGCGGGTACAATCAAAAATTTGGTAACTACCTTGGAGCAATTTTATAAGAATACGTCGCACTTGGGTGCCAAATTCTGTATCCGTCACAAGATTCGATGCACGTTTCTTAACGCAGCGGAGTTTATAAAAATGGACTTTCCTTCACTATTGGAAGAAGAAAGTGAAAATATTGAGCCTTGTGCTCAATTTAATGCAGATATAAAAGAGTGTATCTGCATCTAATAATTTTTGGAGATATAACTCGGATGGCTTGGAGAACTTTTCAGGTTTGAATGGAAACTTAGACCCTTTTGAATAATACATGCTAGTCTCGATGCGCTCCCCGTTCGATTCGGCCCCTAACTTTTCGGATAGCTAGCCACTACTGATGGTATCTCAGACTACCCTAAACAGACAAGGATAAGTATAACCATTTACTTGAACTCTAATATAAAAGGCAGGATTGATAGTTTTGAAAAAGTGTCAAACTGTACGTAAATATGGTGTCAAGGATGGTGACGCTGTGTGCAGAAAGCGATTACAATATAAAAAATCGCTCAATATATTAGTATATTTAATCTAAATCGCCCCCGTAAAACATATCTATTAATTATGCTTTCTATAAGCCAGATTGCCTCAATTTTGAGTGTTCGTAGTGTCAGTACTGTTGGATTGGCAACGTTAATTCTTGGGGTATACTCAATTAAGTATCTAGATGATTATCACCAATGGTTAGAAATCGAAGTGCCAGGTGGCCCCCCTCCCAATAGAATCGGATACATGGCGTCTTGTTTCCTAACTCTACTTTTCAGAAGAGATAAAAGAAATCCTAAATCTTTGAAGAGCGATGAAGCTGGTGGTTATTTGAATGCAAAAGATTTGCCTACGCGTTCATCGAGCCCTCCAAAAATGGCGCACTGGGTTATTCCTCATCGTCAAGTAACTCAAATTGCCTTCGATTTGGACAAAGACAACACCGAGGCAAGCAATGTCGACAGCTTTTTTAGCGAGTTGATAAAGAAACATAATGATTGTTTTACTGGTCCGTCTAGAGTTGAAAAGAATATTAAGGCGCTATTCTTCAAAACTGCTACTGCAAAAAATGAAGTAATTCATAGACATGTAAAAGATGGATCATTTCACGTAAAATTGCATTGCCAAGATGCAAAGATTGTACTTGAAAAGAAATGGGGTGAACTTTTCCCAACTACTTTGAAACTTTTTACAAACTGTACTCCTATCGACGAGATCGTCCTTTTATATGCTCCTCAAAGTGAAAAAGATTATCCAATATATAAAATTATAGTTGAAGCCGCTTTGAAGCATTATGAATCTTTGTCTTGAATAGGTTGCTAGATCCATAACTCTATCTTTATGCGCAATCAACGTTTATAGATTGTGATGTTGATCAAGTTCTCTCTAGGGACTCTTTCTTTGCTTTGAATAAGTAAGGCTCCCTCATTTTTCAGCGACATCGGAGTGTTACTATTCTTCACCTTGTGGGATATGCAGAATGACGTGCAGCCTCAAAGAAGCGATTGATGGGCTTCCTTCGTATGATCTCACTACCGACAAGATATCGTCATAAGATGCGCACGAAAGGAAAAAGGCAGGGGGACTTTGAAAACGAAAGTAATTTTAATGGCTCCTGTGATTCTTTAGGATATAGCAATATCAACACTCTGTCTTGAGGTTCAATATTCTATGGATGATTATTACAATACTCCTTAACTTATAACTGATTAAAGACCATTAGTAATTTCTAAGTCCTGAGTGGCATTATCCTGATTTTTTTTTTAAAAAAAAAAATAATTATTTTAGAAGCTGATCTGGACTTTATGTCACCGGACCTGAAAAGGGGCGAGCAATCTGTTTATAGAACGACACCTAAGGCGATATTTGGTAAATTTGGTCCCTCCTTTTAAAACGATAATGTCTATTATCCATTCCTACTAAAGCGGTCGCTTGACTGAAGGATACAAAAGTGTTGAAAAACCTCGAGACGAATATATTATTATCTTTCTAAAATTAAATTTAAGCTCTAAAGTATGTTGGTCACTTTGGCTTTTTATCGAATGTTTCTTGAGGTTATTTGATTTCATTCTCTATAAACTGGTATAATTGTTTTGAAATATCTATAACAGAATCTTTTAATGGCCTGAATTGAATACCCAATTCTTGAGTTGCTTTGGATGAATCTGTGGCAAAGTGTGTGCTGGCTAGTCTTTCTCCAGGGTTACCGATTGGAATATGACAAAGATTTGCGTAATCTGACGCTTCTCTTAAGATATCAGCAATTTCCTGGTTGTCGTAATTCCCAGCAGATACTAAGTATCTCTGATTAGCAGCAATTGGCTCAACGAGAGCCCGAACGTGGGCAAGCGCTAAGTCCCTAACATCGACCCAAACTGGTCCCCTAGTAGGAGGTATCAGGTCTTCACTTGAGCTAGAATTTAGAACCTTCCAAATTATAGTATTGCTAAAATTCAACTCACTTACTGATTTAAGGAGCCTGATAGAATAGAGGGGCCCGAAAACCATGGTAGGACATAAGACTGAAATACTGAAGTTGGGGTTTTCCCTCTTTAGAAAATCCCACGCTGCTCTCTCAGCGACAATTTTTGAAGCCCTATAGGCGACCTTAGGATCTTTTGTGCTGATTCCATCTTCCCAAGTCAACGGGCTAAAATCCTTTTCTGTTAGGACGGTGTTTGGTTGTTCACCTTTGCTTGAGTCATAGACTGCAGCAAAGGAAGATGTTATAACAACCTTCTTGATCTTTGGTTCCAACAAAGCAGCTTTCAATATGTTGGTAGTCCCTATTACAGCTGGTTCCATCAATTGTTTGCGAAAATCAGTAACGCTGTAAGTAAATGGTGACGCTAAATGTAAAATTCCATCACAATCTTTGACAGCTATTAGTAAGTCATCATATTTTAATATATCAGAAAGAAGGACACAAGTTAACAAATGTCTTTTCGTATCCGGAACTTCTGCTTTTAACATTTCATATTTTTCGAGAGACCTCGACAAAGCTTTCACTTTAAAATTCTTCTGAAGCAATTGCCCGACGCAATGTGCTCCAATAAATCCCGTAGCCCCTGAAATCAATATAGTAGATCCCTCTGATATAGTTGAAGATGCTGTCATAGCCTAATAAAGTGACAATTTTAATTTGTTTTAGCCTAAGCGTTGTTGTTTAAGGTCTTTATATCAACAAAGTCGCAAAATTGCGGAAAGAGCATCGATCTGGCGTCGGAAAAAAAAAAGTCACCGAGTAGTCTTCTTATCAGAGAAAAATAGTTTATATCTACAATAAACATATAAAATGAATAAGATGATGCTTGAAACTAGTATATCGGAGCCGAAGCTTTTATAAACCCAGTCTCTTTAAGTATGGTGTCTTCTGTGATAAAAGAAAAGGTTTTTCTTGCAAAAGTCAATGAAGAAATTGCAAGCTATGATGATAACAATGATGAAAAAAGTTCACTAGATCTTGATAAAAATTTGGAATTCATCAAGCATTTTGACTCCAAAGCAAACCTGGAAGAAGTTTCTGACAGAGTGATCACTAAAAAGCTTGATAAGATTTTCATCCTTCCTATGACAATAGTATATACATTACAGTTTTTGGATAAAGTTTCATTAAATTATGCGAAGGTTATGGGTGTGACTGTCGAGCTCAATTTTACCGGAAACCAATTTTCTGACTTGGCTACTTACTTTTTTGTAGCTTATATCGCTGCTGAGTTTTTACAAGGTTTTATTATAATTCCAAAATTTCCTGTGGGATTGGTTTTAGGGGTTAACGTAGTAATTTGGGGGGTTACAACGATGTGTTGTGCAGCTCCAACTTCTTTTCGAGGGTTATTGGCAGTCAGAATCCTTTTGGGAATCTCAGAAGCTGCCGTAGTTCCATGTTTAACTTTAATCACCACTAACTTTTATACAAAATCTGAGGGTAGCTTTAGGATTGGATTATGGTATTCTGGTTTAGGGTTCGGTCAAATTATTGGAGGTATTTTGTCATATCTTTTTCAGCTTGTGAGCCCTTCAGCTGCAGTGAGTGGCTGGAGAATCTTATTCCTAGTTGTAGGAGCTGCTAATATAGTAGCGGGAATCTACGTCTGTTTCTTTATTCCGAGTTCTCCATTAGAAACGAAGCAATTAACCCCCAAAGAAAAATACGTCTTGTTAATGAAATTGAGCAGCGAAAAGATTGGTGTCGGTAATAATAAGGTATCAATACTGCAGATATTTGAATTGATACGTGATGTTCAAGCCTGGTTGTTGCTCCTCATATCTGCTACCATTTCATTTTCATCAAACACTATCTCAACATTTTCAGCTACTGATATCATCTCTTTTGGGTTTACTTCAAAAGAAGCAGCATTACTAAATATTCCATCAGGACTAGTAAGTGTTCTATCTAGCTGGATATCTACTTTCCTTATTATGAAAGGGGTTCCTCGATATTTGGCTATATCCGTATTGTTAATACCAGCAGTGTGTGGCGGTGCCTTGATGTCATTTTTACCTAAAACAAATAAGGCAGGCCTCTTGATTGGAATTTATATGATAAATACAGTTACCCCCCCTTTAGCCATTTGTTATTCGTGGGCAGGGGCTAACTTTGCTGGATCAACCAAAAAAGTAGGGAGCACCGCCGTCTTCATTTGCGTTGGGTTTGCATTGGGAAATATCGTGGGACCCCAATCATATAGAGTTGAAGATTCGCCGAACTACTATCCGGCAAAGATTTCAATGCTTGTAACGCAGGCCGTGAGTATTCTACTTGCTCTTATCATTGCCGGAATTTATTATCGACGTAACAGAATAAGAGATAAAAGCCTATCAAACGAGGCTTCGAATGAGAATGAAGAATTGGAAACTGTGTGGGCGGATTTAACTGACTTTCAAAATAAGTCATTCAGATATTCATACTGATATGAAAACCTATAATAAAAATACGACCTAAATATTTAATCCAGAAGTTCAAATTTATATTTTCATAAATATTATGTATACTGAGTGAGCGACGAGAATTTTTTTAAGAATGTGACAAACTTTTTCCAAACAAGAACTTAGATATAATATACGATCGTACAAATGTTGCTTATGTCTATCTGTTTATGTATTTCTCCTAAACAAAAGTCTCTATAGTCCTATGTGCGAGAGCCAACTCAAAAGCAGTTCTTTTAATATAATCTGACGCTTGCCATAAATCTGCATCCATGTGCATGAATGGGTGGGGAACTCCAGGATATCTTTTGAATACAACTTCATTACCATGTTGGATTAACTTGACTCCATATGCTTCACCTTCATCCCTCATTGGATCACATCCTGCCGTAAAAATAACCGTTTTGGGAAGATTAGAAAAGTTTGGAGCTGTAATTATACTCTTGAACCACCCAATATCTTTCAATTGGGACAACCTAGTAGCCTCATCCGCTGACAAAGACATCCACTTCAAATCGTCAAACCACTTTAATCTGGACCAGTTTAAAGTTGGAGCAAATTGGCATTCTGAATTTGAAGGGTAAGGAGAATCTTCGGCCCTTTGATAAGACAGGATATCGTCAACCTGAGGTGTTCCCGCAATACATGCGACAAGATGTAAGCCAATATCTCTACATAGATGTGAAATTGCAAGACAGATATTACCACCCGCAGAGACTCCCCCAATTGATATACTAGTCTCCTTAAAGCCAAGCTCATCTGCATTATTGTACACATATTTGACAGCCTCGAAACAGTCTTTTAGACCCGTGGGAAATGGGTGCTCGGGCACTAACCTATAATCAACATCGACCACAGCGATCTGTGCCAATTCAACATAGTGTTTAATAATATGGCTCTCCGTATCCAAATCCCCAAGGCCCCAGCCTCCACCATGAAAATCAATGTGGACGGGCAATTTCACATTGTCCTTCACTCCGTTTGGTGTATAGACTCTAAGTCTAACATTATATCCATCAGAGGATTTGAAATGAATATCTTTTACATCTTTGATATCTGGTGATGGCCCTGTCCCGTAAGAATAAATCTTGGAATAGTTCTTTCTTAATAGAGGTAAATCAATTGGTTTATTTGGTGTATTCGCAACATGTTCATTATATAACTTGATAAAATCAGGATCCATTTTGTCAATCATCGATGGATGAATTGGGTTAATAGCTTCATGCCCTTTCGTCATTTGAGTCTTGTCAATTGCCAGCCGGAGTATCGATTTTAGTAAATTTCACTCTTTAAATGTACCGAGACTGCATTTTTAATGAATCCCCGGAGACTTTTTTGGGCGGAGCTTTTTCGAAAATTGCGACAAGACATTCGGAAATCAAGATAAGATAAGAATTATAACCGACATAAGGAAGATAAAAAAAAATTCTTCCGAAGAATATAACGTGAGAGGATATAAAGCTGAATTTGCAATAGATCGTAAATTGTTTATAATAGAACTGAATTGAGTGATACAATAATGACAGTAAAAAAGGAATTGAAGTTCGTCATCAGTGGGGCTGGTTTAATAGGATTACTTGTTGCGCATTCATTGAAGTCCAGAAACATTGACTTTGTAATTTTTGATCGAGATGAAAACGAAAGAGCCAGGGTAGCATCTGGCTGGGCGATAACGCTACATTGGGCATTAGAAACATTTGAACAATTATTACCGAAACACTTGTTGGATCAGATCTATGATGCTGAAGTCAGACCTAATTTTCATAAGGTAGATACTGGTAATTTCAAGTATATAAATGCATCCTCAGGAGAAACAATCATCTCTATTCCCCCCTCTCGAAGGCTTAGAATAAGGAGAGAGCAGCTTAGACAAATCCTTTTGCAAGATATTGATGTTAAGTGGAATTGCAAGATGGTGAATCTTGACACTTCTATCGAAAATAAAATAGTTGTGACATGCTCCAATGGTGAATTTTTTAAAGGCGACGTGTTATTAGGATGCGATGGCTCGAATTCGATCACTCGAAGGTTAGTTTGTCCAGACACCGGCAGTTTGTACCACCTTCCAGTAAGGTTTTGTGGTTCTAAAATTAAATTGTCTGGTGAAGAAGTCGAGAAAATTTCAGAGAAGTTTGATCCCTTACTTTTTCAAGGTACAATTCCTTCCAATGAGACCTTTTTTTGGTTTTCGATGCTCGAAACACCTGAATACACTAAGAAAAACGATTCGTATTATGCGCAAGTTAATTTGTCCTGGAAGTCCTCAGACGATGATGAGGAGCCATTTAAATCTAATCACGCAAAGGCTATCGCTATGATAAAGCATGCAGAGGGCTTAAATGATGATTTATATTGGTTGGTTATGCGGGCTGCACAAAATAAAGATTCGATTCAAGAGATAAAGTTATGTGATTGGCCCTTGGTCGAGTGGGATTCCAAGAACGATAAGGTGATACTTCTAGGTGACTCTGCCCATGCGATGACAATGTATAGAGGTGAGGCCGCAAACCATGGTATAACTGATGTGAGTAATTTTATGCTGCAGTTAGATGAGTATCTTTCTTGTTCAAAGTCATGGAGGGAAGTCGTCGCAACATATAGCCTGGAGATTAAAGCTAGAGCAGCTCCTGCTGTATTATTATCAAGAAAGGCTTGCTTGGATGCTCATGATATGACCCAAATTAATTCTTCTTCAGAGTCTCCTCTACTAGCAATTAGAAAGAGACTTTAGGTTACTTATGTAATATACTTAATACGAACGCTCCCTCGCTTCATCTCCTTCCCCCAAAAATTATATGTAGGATTTAAGTAAACTGTAGGTAGAAATTAACTTGACAGCTCTGATTGTAAAAATTGATATTACCATGAAATTGGTCAAAGCTAGATGCAAAAGATTTCAAAAAAGAGAGCTTGCGATAGATGTCACTTTGGAAAAAGGCTGTGCAAGGGAGGATTACCTTGTTGGAGTTGCAAAAAACTGAACACAGAGTGTACTTTTAAGCGTCCAATTAATAAAAATGGAAGACCAAGAACTAGAGTTGGTAAAAAGGAGATTGAATCTTCCCAGAAACAGAAGTATAGTCATAATGGCTGTGTCAATTGCAAGCTAAGAAAAAAGAAATGCGATGAAAACTGGCCCATTTGTGGAAGTTGTCATAGGCAGAATGTAACTTGTTCAGGGGATATATCAGAAGGTAATAACAACCTTCGAGAGGTGGCCGAAAATCGTACTTCACTCCATAATTCACTTGAATTACCGTTGGATATATCAGAAAATTGCCACAGCTCTAAAGAGAAACGTATTCTGGATGAATTACTCTTTGTTTCAGATGCTTTAATTGAAAATAGCTATTCTCGAAAAAGGGATGTTGGAAAAATTTGTACCGAAATGGATTCGTTTTTTCGTTCAGAAGCTCTTTTACCATTTAATGGAAGAGAAAAATTCCTTCTTAACTCTTTGGTTGGTTACGAATCAAAAGATGTGACTGGAGCATCTGAAAAGTTTGAAGAACTCAATAAATTAAGAAGCAAAACCAATGAGATTCAACAAAGTAGTGACTCAGGAATCCCTGTTGGGAAGTCTTCAGGCAAGAGTAAGGCATTTGAATTCAAAAGAAATGATTTATTAACTATTGTACAGCTAGCGAGCTGTGAGGTTCCAAAGAAAGAGATGGACCTATTGATGTACTTCATATCAGACGTTTCATGTCTTCTTTTCGTAGATAAAACGTCAACAAAGTTTTTGAGTACAATTATTCCATTGTGTATTCAAGATGAGCAAGTTCGCTATCCTGTCATTAGCATCTCTGCATCGCATAGAGCCAATACGATAGAAACGGTTCCCCAATATCACAGGGATGCCGCATTATATAGAGCGAAGTCCCAAGGACAGCTAACAAAAGCAGGAATGGTTGGGATTAATATGGAGAAGCTTCTTTTAAGTGTCCTTTTAATCGCTGTTCAAGAAGTCCTAGAGGGGACTTCTCTTCTCTGGAGCATTGCTTTAGAAAGGGCTGCTGAGATAATTCATCAAGAAGGTGGCTTGAAAGAAGTCTGCGAAGCTTCTCCAATCGCAGTCCAGCTATTTTGCTACTTGGATTTGATATCATCTCTTAGCACATGCTCAACCCCATATTTGGAACGAACTTCTTCACTGGAGCGACCGTTTCTGTATGATGAAGTTGACGAAACTTATATCGAAGACATTTTGAATTGTAAATTTGGATTTAAATTTGGTATCGGTGGTCAGCTTTTCAAAATTATTGGCAATATTTCAACATTGGCTAGTTTAAGATTCTCAAGACACAAGAGTAAAATTTATGAGGAACAGTTCAATTCACTCGCAACTATCATAGAATTGAAATTGCAAGAATGGTCGCCTCCTATTGGAGATATAATAGATAGATATCAAATCAATGGTTCAGAGGACAATGGAAAATTGCAACTTTCCTCATATACGGTGGCCTTACAATGGTCATCATTCTTGAGATTATATCAAGTGCAATATGGTTATAATAGAAAAGATCCTAGAGTAGAGGCTTGTCTCAGCATAATTTTACGCTCTGTAAAAGTAATTGATGTTTTTTCAGACCTAGAAACTAGTCTCATGTTTCCGTTAGTAATGGCAGGATCCGTTGCTTATAATGATGACGATAGGTCGTATGTATTACTGAGAATTAGGTCAATAAGAGAGAGGTTAAAATTTAACTATATTCAAGAGTTTGAAAAATTATTAACTACTATATGGAGTAAAGACAACGAGGAAGGTGATATGGTCAATTGGGCATCAATCAGATTTTTTCGTTTTCTGGGTTTGGTGATGTTCTAGAAACGGAAGCTAAGCGGCCAAATGTCAGGATTTTTTATAGTTAGAAGTAAAAAGTAATGGAGCTCTTTGTAGACTCTTTCCAAGATTCGGCATTTTTACTTATAGCAGATAAATTTTTAATCATATTTAGGTATACAGGCTACTTTCTAATGAAGGAAAGTTTCTATTTTTGAGTTATCGTTTGCTATTGTTACTCTATTTTAAATTTGCGTGTGGACTTATTTTTAGCAAAAATTTGAAAAATGACGAGCACTAAACGTTGTTTTTAATTCACCCTCTTCTTCGAGTCAATTACTGGCTTGCCTCTCATTTTCAAAGGTACTTTAAAAATGATTTCTTTATACTCTGCTCTTCAGGTCATCTTAGGTGTATCTATAATGATATCCCATTGGCGATACTTATGAGGTGAAGGAATTAGACACAGTAAGTGAACATTGAAGTTTGTAAAAAAAAAAAAAAAGAATGTAAGCCAATTCAACTTCGCCCATCAAGTAATAGCACCCGATTGAACACTGAAATTTTGTGGGATACAAACCAAAACCTTCAGATTGATATTGGATGCTAAAATTATACTCCATCTTTTGGCTCAGATCAAGTTCATATATTTTTAGCAACAAAAAGACACAAGCTTAATGTTGATAAGAAGCTATAAATGCAATCATATTAGACCTCGTTTGCCTGCTTTCACCTGAAAGAATAGTTAGCTTTTTTGTCGTGAAAGTCTGTAAAATAAAGAGACACCTATAAAATTAGAAAAGATAAAATGAAACACTTGCTTAGTTTGCCGCTTATCTCTGTCATCGGAATCGTCAGTGCAAACACGATAAAATTAACCACAAAATCGGATAATACATCATATAACGGAAAAAGTTTAACAGAAATAAGGAAAGAGCCACTCTCTTACAACGTCGCAATATCAGACGACTATGGCAATTCAGATTTCGACTTCAAATCCAATGGTTACATTGGTATGCAAGATTCGGTTGAGCAAGGAGAGGAAGTGTACTTAGGTACCGATACAAACGGGGATCTTACTTTCACTAAAGGAGGGCTGAAGATTAAAGATGTTGATGGATTGCTCCAAATCGGTCTTTCGAAAGATTTTTATGCCTGTGAAGATAATGTTTTGCTGACCTCAAAATATGGGAAACTGAATTGTGTTCCAGTCAATATTAGAATTGTTGAGGATTCTTCTCCCTCGCCATCTTCATCATCACCTTCATCACTCCCACCTTGTCCACTGAGTTGGGACCCCAACGGAGGGGTAGGACCAGAATGCGCACCGATACCTTCTTCGTCTCCTTCTCCATCTTCGTCCGTACCTTTATCGTACACTCCTTGTCCGCTGGATTGGTATACCAATGGAGGAATAGGACCAGAATGTGCTCCAATACCTTCTTCTTCTTTTTCCTCGGGGTATCAGAACACAACGATTGTCACAACAAAAACCATTACAGATTTTGTCACATACTGCCCAGATTCTACGACTATTACAGTAACAACATGTTCAAGCGACATCTGCAACCCTGACACTATCACTGTTCCTGCGCCAACTACTTTGACAGTTACTGGTCCTTGTGTCGTACCTATTACTTATCAGCAACCACAGCCTGCAGTTTCTAGTGGTGAATCAAAGACCTCTGAGCCAGTACCTGAGTCCCCAGATTTATCAAGCTCATCACCAGTTGGTCAATCTTCCTCTGCGGTAGTTTCAATTGTCGAAAATGCTGGAGAGAAGAATTTTATTCAAAGCTCAATAAGTCCAATTTTGGCTGCAATAGCTATTGGATGCAGCTTTTTACTTTAACTGAATAATTTCAAACACCTAAAAAGATTTTTTCTTTCTCTATGCCTTGCTCGATGGTTTTTTTTTTTTTCTACACCATATGGATGGTGACCGTTAGTATTACTTTGTTTAAAAAGAAAGCCCATTTATATATATGAAACAATCCTTAAATTGTTACAAAATATATTGTCTAGACAGTATTCGTCTACGGGACTTACTGTTCCACGCTCTTACCAAATACTGATTGAATCAATTTATTATCATCCAGTCTGCCTCTTTATGACTATATTATAAAAAGAATAGACTTAGAATAAGTATGATGGGGCTGGAAGCTCTTTTCTTGCTATATTCAAAATGCGCGAATCTATATAACCTGTTCCTGAATACTACTCCAAATAGTTCAAAAAATCTTGAAATTTTTGTGATGATCTTGCATATTAATCAAGTTTCTCATCACTCTCCTTTTAATCGAAGTTCTTCTATTAAATGTCTGTGATCTTACATAATTAAGTTTTTCGGTACAATGGATACACTATTGAAGTCTTTCATAGATTGGTCACATAGAAATAATGTTTTCATTAATGATAAGATTGATTTTCGAGCTGATGAGAGGAAAGGTATGTTTGCTGTAGTGAAAGAGCGAATGTTAGAAAATGAAAATTTGATCAAGTTACCTAAAGAACTCGCAATAGGGCCTGATATGATAAAATCGTTGTTTCCGGACGTGAAATTGACCACTGAATCTAACAGCAACAACGAGATGATGGTTTTACTCATTTCCAAACTTAAATTTGATACTACAAGAATTGGACAGTTCTTCAAGCCATATTTGGATATACTACCTAAAGCGCCATCGCTGCCTTTATTTTGGGAGCCCACTATACGAAATCAACTCAAATCGACTGATGCAGAACTGAAATTGGAAGCTATTTTATCCAAACTTTTAAGTGAATGGTATAATTTGATGACTTTTCTTTTAAAAGCCTATCCACATTTGGTCAGTAAGATGACCTTAAGTTCTGAATTGAAATATTATGAGCATTTACTTGAAGATACATACCAATCTAGTGAGCTTTATGAACATTTCATACAAGAAGGTAGTTCCTGGACCAGCTTTCGTTCTTACGTTTGGTCCTATAGTATTTTGACTTCTAGAGGATTTCCCTACTTTTTAGTTACTTCGTCTATGTCTGAAAAGGATTTGAAGACGCCAGTTTTGTTACCGGTAATAGACTTATTGAATCACAGGAACAATTTCAAAATAAAATACCTCAGTGTCAATGAGACTCGTGAAGAAAATGTAATCTTCAAACTTGATGAAAATGTAGCTGAAAACCAAGAGCTATTTAACAACTACGGTGATAAGCCTAACGTTGATCTTTTACTTAACTATGGCTTTGCTGTAGAAGGAAATGAGTACGATGAGACTACGATTACTTTCAAAATTGATGAAGGAAAGATTTTAGAGGCAATAGACTTTGGAATTGAATTCTATGAACGTAAACAAAAGATAGATGATCCTAAATTATTGAAAAATGGAATAAATTTCTATCTTGATTGGAACACTCCTTTTCCACTCAAACTAGTAGACTTTTTTGCATTTTTAGTACAGATGAAATTTGAGAAAGAAACTGGAATGACTTTAAGAATGAAACTAGAAGGATTGACAGAAATAAGAAAGATATTAGTCATGAAAGTTGAGACATTTAAAGAAAATGAATTAGATGTCCCCAATGAAGTTGATGAAGTGTTTAAGTATATAAAGATTTACAAGAAAGGGCAAAGATTAATATTCCAAAAATCATTAGACTCTTTACAAAGCTATGAGAAAAAATTGTTGAAACAACAAAAAGCTAAAATGATCTCCTTCAAAACGATTTTGAAAAATGACGAAATTTTTATGAAATATCTCTCTACATCTCTAAATGTCTACTCCTATGAGGATATTTTAGGGAAGAAGATCCTTGACGTTGTAATTCTTTTATGGATATTAAGGCTTTATAATTTAAAAGAATACCCAAAGGATAAATTCCTAAATGACAAGGCTTTCAAGAGCCAGATTGATGTCGTTATTTCGCAGTTTCAAAATGTAAAGAGAACTATTGATATTACTCAAGAAGACCTCCTCGAACAAGAGTCCTTCCTTTCGTTGTATTTTTCTCTTTTGCCCAATAAATTCTCTGATATTTATGGAAGAGGGGATTGGAAGATAGAGGATTTTGTTGTTGCAAGCACAGTTGCTGATAGAATTATCTACTTACGTCCGATTAACCAAGAAGCCTTTATTGTACCTACAATTAAGCTCTCCTGAGTTGTTCCTGAATATTGAATTTATTTTCTCTCTTGATAAAGAGGGTGGCCCCTATTAAGTTCATCCGCATTGATATCACAAACTACTTTATCTGGGCACTCGAAAAAGATCGAATGAGCTATGTGAATAGCTGGATATTTATTTCTCGTCTTCTATGAACAGGTTGACAATACACTGTTTAGCAAGTCTTTCGGAGGTAAAATTCGATTAAACTAAAAGAAGCGTAAGAGCAATGTACACATAATAAATCCGAATTTTTCAGATAGACAGCAAGGTTGTAGCAGTCTGTTATGATTCAGTGTTTATAAGCATCCCGACTAAGATCATTCCGTTCATTTGATACTCTGCAAAAAAATATTGGTAAAAATCAGTCCACGAAGCAAAAGTCAAATACATGATTCAAAAAGAGATAGAAAATAATTTATGTGATTCGAAATCCTAAAAGTATTAAAACAAATGATGTGAATCTTAAAATTTCAGCCTTATTTAGTTATGGTACATCTGGGTGTATCTGGGCCCAATTACACATCTGCATGCCGAGTTTACATGCACGAAAGACAACTACCGGGCCTGGGCTATCTCGCTCTCTAGTTAGTCTCGACTTTTGCTCTAGAGTAGTTCGCTTAAGTCAGGTTTATAATTGCATCCTTATGGGTTCGCTTTCAACATTAGTCTTGCTTTTCTAGTAAAAAGGCATGATTTTCACTAGTATGTTACTCTTCAAGTTGTACGTGTTGGCGTCTTCCATTTCTCGAATTTGTAGAGTAAAGAAGTTATTTGCACGTCTGTAAAAAAGAAGTTTCCATGACAGTTGGAAAGTTTACTCTTCGCATGCACTCTGTTTTCAATTGTCTAGTGTGTTGCCTTTTGCATTCATTGTGGCGTGGACTTATTTTTTTTTTTTTGATATATAACATTAAGTAAGATGACAGTTGAATGTGAACGATATGTTTGGTTTCTGGGAACCGGCTTAGGCTCAGCCTGTGAAAATGAAGAAGGATCAAATAGATTTGATGTGCAGTAAAATACAAATAAAATGTACATATTTAACGGATACTTCCATGATACATGACTTGAGTTGAAAATCTACTTCGAAAAATTCGTATTGGAACTACTTGATAAAAACGACAATTTAGTTATGAAGATTTCGACCGTTTAATCGCCAACAGATATCGTGGATTCAGTTATACAACTAAAGGGATGCGAGAATTACGTGATATATGGTATCGTCCAGAAAATGCTTCGAGTTGTGTAGTACCTTAAAATTTAATGGTTGTCAAAATCTTCAAATAAAGAGTCAGTTTAAGAAAAAATGTCGAATAGTGTTTACAAAGGGAATTTCTAGTTCTACTATTTAGACATATTGAAAGCACTGTCAAGAGAATGGGAGGCGTAAACTTTAAAAACAATCGGAAATAATAAAAAGGAATCATGCGGAGGGGCATTGATGAAGATAATGTTCTCTTTGCAAAGGGTGGAGAAATATACATTAATGACTCTTTGATAAATGAAAAGGATAATTGATCAAATAAGAGGCAGAAACAAGGTATTTAAAAGAATTACTTCCACTTTTCATGTTTTATACTATTTTTATCTTGAAGTCCTGCGTTATAAGCCTGCTCACAAGCTTATCAGAAGACTCACCATACAGAAGACAGCTCGGGCAATTAGACATATTAGGATATTTCCACAAAATAAACAATTCACTAAGCTCAATACTCAGTATCATTATTAAACGATCACAAGCAAGCCTCAACCATCTATATGAGAATACCAAGGAACTGATAAAATACCTATAATAATAAAATGAAAAACTTTCAAGAATCAAGTTGAATGGTCTCGGTCCTTTTGTGCTATTTAGCCTATTCTGAGTATTTTGAAACAGAAAACAAGACTGGAAAAGAACTTAATTGATGACTTTAGAGTTCAGATTAACTAGGGTTACATCTTAGGCCATGATAATAGTTTGAAGATTGACGGCGGAGAATCATATAAAAAAATATTCTTATAGAGTAATAAATTATGTTTTAAATTACACATAGCATTAAATTGTGAAGTTTGTCTATTGACTTAAAGTATAGAGAAACGAGGCCAATGGCTCATATTTGAAGATCGCAATGCTTTATGCAAGGTCGAATTAAAAACATGCAGATAACATCACAAAAATTTTGCAGCATGAATTACTTTTAGTTTAAGATGCAAACTTGCATATAACTTTGTACGTCATACAAGGTAGAACTCAGCACAAATATTTCTATACTTATGCATTCTAGCTGAGAATATTGATCAGTTTCAAGAAAAAAGTTACCTTTAATAATATACTTAACGTAGGGCATAAAATATTATTTGATTTTGTTTATTTCTTGCTCTATCTTGAGGTCGTTAATAGGGTATAAAAGCCAGACTTAAAGGTGAATAGTATCTTTCTTCAAATTTTTATTATTTTTAAAATTTAATACATCTATAAACTCCACCTTACAGGATAGTCCCGAAACATAGCTAAAATATATACTCTTAAAGACTAAATATTATGCTATTCGTCTCATAGCAAGATTTTTTAACAAGAAATTTGATCAAAAAAAAAAAGAACTATAACTCAAAGCACTCTTCGTAATAATTTATTTCATGATCACTATGAGATTCTAATCTATATTGATTGACAGCACTTCTTATATTATCACTAAAGACAGATGGACCACAGCAGATGAAATAGGTTGATCTTCGAATTTGATTCATTTTAATTAGCTTGCGTAAGCATGGCCTGGTGGCCACAGGTAAACAGGAAATTTTAAAGGAACTGTTTTCAACCAATCCAAACTCAGACATGTTGATGTTGTAATGATCTGAGTCATCACTAGATAAAGCGTCAGAGCTTTGAAGGCAGCAATCCGAGCTAGATGATATTGGTAAATCATTATGTTTTTCGTTATGACAATGTGGTAAATAGTATTTACTTTTATTGGTAATTATTATCTCTATCTTGAACTGTTGCTTTTCATTTGTAAGCCCAAAGTACTCAGTCAAGTGTCTTATCTCTTTCTTGAACCATGATAAAACGTCAATATTATGAACGATCCAAAATAGACGAATTTTTTGATAGTCATTCTCGGAAATATTTTTTAGGAGTTTCAATAAATAGGGATATATGCTACTAATCCCCAACCCTGCTGCGACGAAGACGTAATCTCTTGAACTATCAATTTTCAGATCTGCTAAAATTGGTTTCAACCCATATTTTCCTTCCATTATAATAGGGATATTTAATCTTTTTTCTTTCTTCATAGATTCTCTCAAAAGGTGGTGGTATACAGATTTAGTGATGCCTCTTTTAACTTTGATTATACAACACAATTTATTGGAATCGTTGGGATCTGGATAAACCGAAAAGGGATGCGATTGCCAACCTCGTGCGAAAAAGTTGGGTTTTAAAAAATACAAGAAAGTATAATCACCCGGTTGATGTTGCAACGCTACTTTCTTTGCTGGAATTGAGAGCTTTATTAATGATGAATCAAAGTATTCTACTTCAGCTCTTTTAATCAACTTTCCTGAAAAAAAAATCTTGACCAACCTGATCAACTTGTCCCAACTATAAATAGCTATTATTGAATAGCACCAACTTAACCACCCTAAGGTATAAATATGGTAATATATTGATACGATAAAGGCAATGGAAAAGAAATGGTGTAAAAATAGAAACACGTCATATAATACCATACGGAGCCATTTTATACTGAATAATAGTATTAAAGATATAGATACCATACTGGATATTCCCCATTTCCAGTAAGCATCAATAGCCCACGTAGAATAATCTCCTTCTTTTATAGTATAAGCAGTCCATACGCAAGAATGAATAAATGCCAAAAGTGTCATAGCTAGTGCAATGGTTTTGTGAAACGTTATAAAAGTCTTTCTAGACCATTGCACAAAATTATTCAACGGATTGTTTCTGATTCCCATTAAGTACATCGAAGGGAGTAAAGAAATTGACATGATGCATGTACGGTAAGAAATAAAGTCCAACAAATAGTAAAACTTCGAATCACCCATGTAGGCGTTCGGTATCATCATATGATAGTCAACTATTGAAAAGATAATGACAAGTATCCAAAAACATGTGATCGCCAAAAATTCAATTCTGGTTGGAATCATCATGGGAAATATATCAGCAAAATAGTAGGGAGAGTTATAATTTTTCAGTGCTGAGAGTGAAGCCTGGATAAGTATACTTTTCATGTTGTTCACTTGTTTCTCAGACAAGAGAAATAGAACACTGTGACGATTACTCCATATTACCGAAATCATCATAATAAATATCCAGTAAAAATTCAACGCCCAGCCAAACCATTGGGTTTTATTAACTTGATCTCTCACATTTTTGAAACTGTTTCGATAAAATTGAAAGTCAGTTTCATTTAATTTAAGTGGAACTGTAACCAAATCCACTGTATCTTTTGAATTGTTAGCCAGTCTCAATAAAGAAGACGTATTTTTATGATAGATATAAAAGTCTTTCAATGAAATTTTAATCTCTTGTTTAGATTTTTTGTAGCATCTCTTACTTGCATGCAACAATGCATGATCTCTTTGGCCAACATTACTAGATTCCTGGAATATACAATTAGAAATGGATTCTAACCAGACTTCATTCCCACATCGACAAGTATACAGCTTTGCGTTATTCCCAGTCGAGTTGCAACCCCAATTGAACTGCTTCATATAATATATACATGAGGTTGCCACAATACTATCCACTATCACAAGTCCCAGTATCAAAGATGTAAGTGCACAAGAACATAATAATAATGGGTATAATTTCATGATACTTAAATTTTTCTTCCTTCGATATTTTTTCAGTTACTTAAGCCCAAGCTGTCATTAGGGTTGCATGTCTCTCTCAAAAGTAGGACTTCCCATCATATATTAAGTTCATTTTATGTTAAAGATTTGCTTTCTGGTGTGTGTCAATCAGTTTTGTATCAGGAAATTTTAAATGCTCTTCAGGTATCACGATTAAGCGGATTGACCAACGAAATGGTAGCGTGATAACTTGGCCGAGAAATTTGCGAATGTTCTTGGCACAGCCAGATTTAAGGCAGTAATTTCTTCTTGATGTTGCAGGGAGATTTTTAATCATTTGACTCAAAATGATGGGTGATATGCCTAGCTCAGAAGAAAATGCCACCGATAGAACCAACTCTATGCGGCTGACTTTCACCAATGACTTTGAAAACGTCCCGGTATTGTTCAACGGGTTTTTTGCTAGAACAAAAAGTCAGGCTTTCGGCATTTTTTGTCTAATATTTTTCACAGCATTTTTATTCAGAACCTTCATATTTATTTATATCTACGTCGAAGAAGGTGCTTGGAAAATTGCAACAAAGCTTCAAAACCCTAAACCCAAGGAGACAGTTCAATTTGGATTCGATGACGAAAAAGACCCAGAAGTGCTTTGCCCTAACTTTGCGGGACCAATATACTACAAACGATCCGATGATGCTTTATCGCTATCCTCCTCTTCGCCTAATAGTCACATTCTCAATAATAAGCAAAAGGTACTTTGGTTACTGCTTTTTTATACTAGTTGGAAAGAGTTTGAGAGAGACTTTCTAAGAATCATATTGTCATTCATAATTGCAACACTAGCATATTCTTTGATGTTAGTAGTGATGACATATGTGACATGTTACTTTTTTGCTACTGTTTTAGGCTTGACATGCGGTGAGGTTTGGTTAAAAAGATTGGGTAGGTTATTATACTCCAATGGACACATGACAGCTAATAGTGAGGAACTTTTATCAGAACCAAAAGTATTATGTTAATGTCACTTCATTGACTGTATTTATATGTTATGTCAAATCTCAGATATATTAGGGCTCTTAAGGTGGATGTCTTCAAGAAACATAGTTGCACGTATTTTGCAAAAGATTCAAATTTTTTCTTTTCAAAACTACAAACAAATGATTCGACTGAGCTCATATTCCGAGGCTATACGTTCATATCAAGATGAGAGTGAATGTTTGAAAATGCTTTTGCAAAATGTTTCATCAAAACTTCTTATCAACTTGGAATGCTTTACATATTCTGTGGGGCAATAGTATGTTGTATTGAGCTTCAGGGCCTTTTCATAAGCCTAGTGAAGCTTAATTTTTATTGTTTATTTTGTTTTTAAATGAGAAAGGGTATTGCTAGTCTCAGTTAGACTTCGTTGGGTTTAAATTCCTAAACATACTTCTCTTTGCAATCATTTTTCATTACTTGTTTCTCTTACGTTAATCTGAGAATTATCACTTAAAATTCATCTTGGCTCTTAGTGCAGCGTTATTTTTAGTTCACTCCATGCTCATTTTTTGTCTCTCGTGAATTGTGCACTGATTGTGTATGAGAGCTTTCTTGGCTTGTGAGTGACTAATGATGTATCTCTTCTGGTATGATAGTATATGCTGATAGTATCGATGTTCGTTGAAGAGCTAGAACCATCCCTTTTACTAATGAAAAGGGGGACTGATATTACTTTAGTAGAATGTCAGTATTGAGCGGATACTTGATCGGGTACAATACCCCCGACATCATGTCAATAACATGACCCTGAACAGAATTTTGATTTCAGCACCCAGAGTTGCAAATCCTAAAACTATGTGCCCACCTAATTCATCTATATTTAGTGCAAACCGTAGAACTTTATTAAAGCGGAATTAACCGTAATTTAAGCGGAATTAACAGTGCTATATATAATGCCTTAGTATAAAGTTGGAAAAGATAATATCATAATATACTATAGATTGCCTACGATGAATGAGGACACTACAGTACCTGTTTTAATTGTTGGAGGAAGTTTGGTTGGGCTTTCTGCTGCTATGTTTTTGCTGGATTTAAATATCCCTGTTATAGTTGTAGAAAAGCATGATGGGTCTATGAAACATCCCAGGGCGATAGGATATACACTAAGGACTATGGAATATTTTAGGCTATTAAAGATAGTAAATAAAATTCCACAAACGCCTGATTCTTTCAGGCTCGGAAGGGCCAAAGTTGAAAGTCTTGCAGGTAAGTGGCAGGAAGTATCATACTGGTCGTCGAATCAGGAAGAAGAAAGATCCAGGTACTCTCCATGTAATGGAGCCACTATCGCTCAAGATAATCTTGAACCTATGCTTAGAAGTAGAGCTATGGAGCTTGGCGCTGATATCCGACAAAATACAGAATTTTTGAGCTACGATGAGTATGACGAATGCATTGTCGTGAAAATGAAAGATAGATTGACAGGGAAATATTATCAAATCAAAACTAAATATTTAATTGCAGCAGATGGCAATCGGACTGTATTCAGAGACCTTCTAGATGTAAAATCTAAAGGTTGTGGATTTATAAAAAGAACTAAAAGCGTACTTTTTAAGTGTTCTCAAGCAGACGCCCTATTAAAAGACAATGTCTTTCAATTTGAAATCAAGCAGGAAAATTTTCAAGGCTTTTTAACGACTTATAATGATGGTAGGTGGGTTTTATTCTTGGATGACAAAGAGTATACAACTGAAATGCTTAAAGAATGTATCGAGAATGCAATCGGAATAAGTGGCTTAGAATTCGAAATTATCACAACCGGGAGCTGGGACTTGTCTGCCACCGTATGTGATTATTTCAGTAAAGGCAACATTTTCCTAGCTGGAGACGCAGCTCATACTCTACCTCCTAACAGAGGTGGATTTGGTGCTAATACTGGTATAAGCGATGTATACAATCTTGCGTGGAAATTGAAATGTGTTCTCAATGGACAGTCTTCCTCGAAATTACTAGACTCTTACAATTCTGAGCGCCAACCTATTGCATGGCTCAGACATCAGCAAATATTTGCGAGACCAGATTATGCTAAGTACAATTCAGAAATTGCTAAAAATGAACCTGTTTTAGACGATATCGCGTTGGAATTGGGGGAATTGGTACAATCAAATGCAGTTATAGGAGACTTGGGTGACTCTCCTCTTGCTATACATCCTAAGGACTGGGCTGGTCGCCCTGGCATTCGAGCTCCGCATACCTGGGTAATAAAAGATGGAAAGGAGGTATCAACTATCGATTTGTTCTACAGGGATTTTAAGCTTCTTTCACAGAATATTATATGGAGTCAAGCCGTGACATTTGTGAACGAAAAACTTCGGCTTGATATTGATTTCATTGATGTGTCTACTCTTAAATTCTTAGGGAATGTTACTTTTGAAGACCTTTTCTCCATTCGCAAACCGGGGGCTATTTTGATTAGGCCTGATGGCGTCGTTGCCTGGAAGACGGAAGAAATGCAAGAAAATATAGAAGAGACACTTCTCGAGGTAATGAGGAAAATATTGTATTTTGAGTCCCAGTAGCACAGCTTTGAAAATAAATATAAAATATAAGGATATGGAAAGAAAGAAGGATAGCTTAAAGTGTCACCAAAATCTTTTTGCTGTCTATATTTAAGAGGACTATGAAACAGGGAGCCTTAGATTACTTAATATGTGCGTATATTTCGGGAAATAGATTAGTTGAGTAAATATTCGATGCATTTCAAAAATCAATAGTGCTGCCACGTTACCCTTTTGAATTTAGGAAAACCTAATACCAATATACGAATTATTCTGAGCAACAATCAGTATTATTTTCGCTTCTTCCCCACCAATCGTTACCGCAATAAACGGTGTATCCCTTCCTTATAAATCCGGGGATCATAGTAGATCGTTTGTTTTTCAGCTGGGATAGTAGTATCTACTCAAATTGAAACACAGAGCGTTTGCTTGTACCTGAAAGATGAATAATAAGAATAAACTCATCTTATGTTGCACATCGTACTTTAAATCAGCTTGCAAGGGCTTATTTTAACTATGTAGTACTCTAGTGAAATACGAGCTTCATGACAACTTGGTTTTCTAATATTTTTCATATATACTCGTGGTATATACTTTTGTATTCTAATTGTCCTTGTGTGTATAGATTTTATCAAATGTGCAGCTCCTGGAAATCGCTTGGTGTCAAGGATGTTGTCAATCAATATAATTTAGGACCACAATGGCAGACTTATATATTCTTGCAAGATGACGATGTAGCTTATGAAATTAATAGAAGATTAATTGAGCAAAACAATGGCTGCATCAGCTTCTGTTATAAACTGGATACAGATATAAAGAAGACCTAAGAGTCGAATCATATTGTTTCTATCCATAAAATTGCAAAATGAGTTGGTTAGTAAGGAACTAAAGTCTTAGTTTGTGCTTTTAATCAGTCTTACCAAACAATGCTCACCCACATTTTCTCCTGTGATGCAAGGATGTACCAAAGAATTGAGCTCTCAATGGGAATATTGATTTGGCCATAATATGGGTAGCCGTGGGCCAGAAGTACAAAACATCAAGTTATGGTTGAAGGAGAACTCTTTATTTTCCTATGGAGGGTTTCTTCATTTTTCCTTTAAACTTCTCGATACCATTCCTCACAAATAAAATCATTTTTATCACAATCTTTTAAATAAGGTGAAACAGAGTTTGTGAACTTTTTATTTATCGCCGGAATTTTTTTAAAGCTTATACTTCGAGATTTTATTTTTTCACAATCAGCTACATACTCTCGATTACCGTGTTCCACTCCTAGGACATCATGAAAATACATGCTAAGGATATCCTCTAATGCTTCAAAATCTATTCATTTACATTCTTCACTGCATGGATAAATCGATGGCCAAAAAACTATCATTGAAACATGAATATCCAACTTAGAGACAGCAGATTTTTTAACTAATAGACATGAAACACTTTTAGCTTGAAGGAAAAAGGACGATAATTTTGTTTCTGATTGGCCAGGTTGAATTTTCAGCTGTAAGAATAATTAATAAGATGATTGTGATGGAAAAAATATGTTGAGGATTGTATATATGCAATATCAGAAAGAAGATAAAAATGCATTACAAATCATTAGGATTCCTCGAGTCTATCTCAGGCTATACGGGGGAGGGTGTAGCTGATGAGGAGTTAAGGAAAAGTATCAACAATACCCGAATAGCATCCTTTACCGATGATATAATCGCCTTCCTGAGCCCAATTTTCGATCCTGTCTTGAAGTTTATTTGCATCAACAGTTTTTTAGTCTTTGGTTACCACGGTGACGACAATGTTGATTGATATAGCTTCTGATTTGAACGCAGTTCCTCAAGTGTCTTGGATAGCGACAACTTATTTGTTATCTTGCATGGCTTCTCAGTCACTACTGGGAAACTATCAAATAAAGTCTACGTATTTTCTCTTCGTTATGCTTTGCTCTTGGCTGTCTAGTATATACGCTGGGCTCGCGGTTACAGTTAATTAGAAATTTTGAAGATATAATTTCCTTACAAAAAATGGTTCATTCGATGATACGACTAAGTTTATTTTATGGCATTGGAACTGCTTTAGGATTAGCCATTGGTGAGTTATATCAGATTGCTTTAGCTGCAGAAGCGTAGTTTTTTGTGCCGATTCCATTTGCATTATACCTGGGATTTTTATTTTGACGTAACTCGAAGTTTAAACAAGGCTGGAACAAAGAAACAAGCACAATGAATCAAAAAACAAAAGGAATTGACTTTTTCGGATCAAGTATTTTAGTACTGGCATTTGCTTGAGTAGCGCGCTGTTCTGAAACTGATTTTCTCTTTACCTGTGCTTGACTTTTCTCGGGTTAGATATTGCTGCAAATATTTTTTACGTGCGTTTACTGAACAGAGCCTCACTTTTCTTTTTATAGTTTTCAGGTTCTACAATTGCCAATCCTATTCTTCTATGGCTGTGAAAGATTCATTTCCTTATTTGATTACGCTATATGAAAATACGCTCTTCATTCATACGTCTAGTGTGAACTTTTCTTGACCAAACATTTTGGCTCCAACTTCAGAATTAATAGCAATGGTTTGACTTGCATACTCTCTCATTTTACTCTCGTAGACGCCTATCTTGTCAATCACTGCATCGATATCATTCTTTCCATGGATAAAAGCATCTAAGATATGACTAGCATCTTCCAATGCTAAATTGGCTCCAGAACCGCTAGCAGGAGACATAAGATGAATAGCATCGCCTAGTAACACAATCTGAGATGGCTGCCATCTTAAATTCCTTAATTTTTGAGGATCTACGCTTGAAACCTTCATTAAACCAGTATCATTTCGTACTTGGTGCTCGAGTACCGAACGGAGGTCTGGCATCCACCTTCCGGTTAATTTTAGTAATGCTTCCCCAAACAGAGAATTTGATTGATTGAATCCCTCCCCAAAAGCAGAGTCAAATGTTTTCACCTTGCTGAGAAAAACCCAGTATAGGTAATCATCAGTACTACAATGATGTTTGATTAAATTCAACTTATTGAAATAGACTGGTTCAGAAAATAGAACTAACTTGGTGCCATCACCTTGGACTTCAGTTGAAATAGACATTTTCTGATTCAATTTAGGATTTAGTGCGGCTTGGAAAGAAGAGTAGAACATTGTCTTCCCATATATAGCTCTAATTCCTGTATCAATCTTCTCTATTGGCAAATACTGAGCAGCAACTTTCGACTTACCACCATCTGCACCGATTAGAAAATTAGCTGTAACGGAAGAGTTATCTTTAAAAAAACACTGTATTTGCCCATCAGGCAATCTAGTATAGTTAAGAAACTCTTTACCGAAAGTAATTTCATCGGAAGAGATACCATTCATCAAAACAACGTTTCGAAATATTTCTCGATCAACTTTCAATGACTTTTCTTTTTCAAGTTCAGAATTAACTTTATCTGGTCGAACTAACTTTCCTTCTTCTTCGTTTCCTTCAATAGCGCTTATCTTCCAAAACCCTATATCATCCAACTGAGCCGAAGTATCCAAGAGTAAATTCCATGAAGACTGATTTAGAAGCCTCCTTAATGCTTGTCTCCCATTGGAAGAGATTCTGAGGCGATAACCTTGCTGTCGTTCTTTCAAATTAGAATCACGCTCAAAAATATGGAACGCTATACCATTTGATTTTAAGCCTTGAGCCAACGCCAATCCCCCAATTCCACCTCCTATAATAATAACTTTCATCAAGTCCGATAGAGTTAAAGTTGAGGTGAATTACCTTTCTGATTCTTATATATATAGCTGGAGGAGGACATAATACGGATTTAAGTTTGCAAAAGCGGAGATTAAACTTTTGAGCCGTATCTTCATACCTCTTAGAGATTGAGAAGTCTTACGTATTATAGAAATAAAATGGCCAAACTTTAAGATCCGCTAGTATTCAAATTAATATACAACCACCATCTAAAACTCTATATCTTATATAACAGCCTAGCTCATTCGTATTCACCTCCAAAGTGACTCAAAGATTTCCCACTAGATGAGGAGTCGCATATTCAATAGTCTTTAAAATAGCGGAAACATTCTCTGGAGGCGTCAGTGGCCCATTAAAATCTCGATCCGCCAATTTTATATGATCGATGAAAACTCCTTATCTTTTCCAAATCTCTTCGTCACTGAGCGGGGCTTGGCTGAAAGAAGAAACAAGCCCAGGACAAATGGCTAACACTGTAAAGCTACTGCATATTTTGCCGCAATGAGATTTAAAGCTGCCTTGGACAAAGAATAGGGGATATGAAATGGAATTTCAGTTTTCAACACAAGACTCATTGCAGCAAGACCTGAGCTTATTAAAGCAATTTTTTTAGTCTCACCCTTTTCTAGAAAAGGCAAAAAAAAGTTTATTAAGTGGATTTGATCAAGCACGTTTCTATTGATATTCTCGTTTACGTCGCTGCTGAAAGTCGCAAAGTCTTCATTAACTTCCACTGGACTTTGAGTAGACACGGGGAGATAAGCAGCATTTGCAATAAGTACATCCAAACTATTTGTCTTGGTGGAAGTAAATTTGAAAGCTTTGTTTATATCTTCTTGATTCGAAATGTCAGCTTTGACAATAATTAAATTTGACCGCTTTAGACCTTCTAATAAGGAAGTGTCCGATGTTTCACGTACAATCGCGAAGACAAGATTTGAGCCACTTGAAGATAAATTATTAACAAGTGCAAATCCAATTGCTCTCGCTTAATGAGTATTGCTTTTACCAAAAAGACCCTTCTTGTCTTCCAGCAACTAATATGGAAATTCTCTAATTAGACTGTATGAAGCTATTGATGAGCTATCTCAACTTGGTCTGCAACATTAAAAAAAAAGTGCAGCAACTCTCATAGAAGAAAGACTTTGACAGAGCCGATTTATGGGTCTTACTGAGCAGATA